AAGAAGGATTCTCTCCTTGACAAAATGACGAGACGGCTGAAAAGCCTAGGGACGTCCACGTCAAAAAGGTAATGGATCATCGCGGGGCTCGGAGTCACGTGATGTGCCATCTCGCCAAGGCCAGCCATCTGAGATGGCAGGACGCCGAGAGATGGCAGTGCCATCTCTACCATCTCGCCAAGGAGAGATGGGCAAGATGGCAGGACTGGAAGCAATGAGGATATAAGGATGGATGGATTTCATTATTACTCTCGTTGTGGTCAACTCAAATTGTACTTTCTTACTAGTATTGTTACTTCACAAGATAGTTACATGTTAGTCTATCCAATAGATTAGCGTTGTCAAACCCGGTTACATCCATAACTCTTTTCCACTACGAATCGCCAGACAACCTCACGGAGCTCTTCATCCCATCTCACTCGCCCTAACCCGGACCGAGCTTAGAGAAGTATCAGCACCCAGCCCCGTGTAACAGTATGTGACTTTGTTCTAACTAAGTACCAACAACTTTTTGTAGAATACTAGGATCAGCGGCTTCCCATGTAATGTATGAAGATCTGGCTATTCCAATCATAACAGCTCACTTATTCCAAAGCTTATATATAGAATCGGATATTAGATTAGAATATCATACCTATTGTTTCGTGTAACAGATACCCGCCAGGAAAATTCAAATTTGATTAGTCGGTGTTGTTATCGCTACTTGATTATAGACCGCTAGTGTATGTGGCATTCTCGCAGTATATGTGAGCGATAGTCTGCACGATTACGAAGCAACTTGTGATGCGCCAAAGCCCCCCTAGGTAGGCAACCTTGGAAGGCTGCCTCAGCCGTCCGCTGCTCAAACTTAGGCGAATTTTTCCGCAAGGCGATTCTCAAATCTGCTCATTTATAATCTTCGTTTAACATAGCAGCGGTCATGTTGGTGCGTTTTTCATTTCAATTTATATAGGCTAAAATTTAGAGAAATTAGTATGGGATTTGGAGTCGGACGGGAGCACAACGCCGAATCATGTCATGGATTTTTCTTGGCTTCTCCACGATGACAGCTGAGACAATACAGAAACATATCTAGTAGGTTCATATTCAGCCTACTGGTATCTTAGTTGAATAGGACATAGCGAACGAGTGGCTTTAATGAAATACGATTGTAATCCTCGATGTCTACTTAGCTAACTGCGCGCTTATTCGTATTTATTTCCGAAGTTGCTAGTTCCAGAGCCTGAGATGTCGTATTTGCCCGTGTAGATATGTCCGGTGCCAGTCGCGCCTCGTGCAACATCATCGCCAGAACTGTGCTTGAAATCCCTGTCTTCCCCCTTGACGGTCCATTCACCGCCGTATATATGAGAGGAAGAATTTCGGTACTTGATCGCGTGCTCAACCGCTTTCACAAGCATGTCATCGTAATCCCTTTCTGCGAGATCTTTCAGCATCTTTAGTTCACGGGGACTGAGGTTTTCAACGTCCTCCTCTTGCAGGTTTTGTTGAGTTGCCAACAGCTTTTCGGCCTTGTCTGGAGGGAAGACTTTCACTAAGTCGTCCATATAATTTCGAATATTCACCACAACTGTTTCCAATATCCTCTTGTCGTGTATGGCCCACTGCATCTTTGTTATGCCTAGTTGACACTTCTCCGTATACTTAGTCGTCCACTGCCGCACAGCATTGCGCACATCAGCACGTGTCGAGCCTTTGTCTTTGTCCATAAATTTATCAGGCGAAGAACTTGCAACTCTCTTTTGTGCCTTCTCAAATTGGGTTTGAATGTTTTTCAAATGCAATTCCAGGTCTTTTGCAACTTAGCTGGTCCTGAGACTGAAGCCTTCGTCCATGATTCCAATACAGTGTCCCCATCACGCTAGCCGGGCTTCGAGAATCTCAAGACGAAGAACTAGATCTCTGCGGTCATCTTCAAAGGTTTTTGCATATTGGATAAGTTCGAAAGATTCTATGCAAGTTGTGAACAGGCCTGGTAGACCTAGTGCAATAACCACAACTTCGGCCATGGCTTCCGCTGAACCCGATCATCAGCTCTGAGCAATAAACAATGTCAAAGAGGATGGATTTCTGGCGCTCACTTGTCAGAAGTACTGCGAGAGCAGCCTTGGTAGCGTTGGTTGAAGACCGAAAAATCTCTCGTTTGTAGTGTCAGATCGAGAGAGCTTGCACCCAATCATTGTGGTGGCTTAAGATTATGTTCACCCACTTACCATCAACAGACTCATCTCGAGACTTATTCTTGCCTTGGGCAAGCGGCATCTTTTTTTCTCAAGCTAAAACTCCTACTTCAATAGGCTGAAGACCTCTAAGATAGCTCCTCGACAACATCTTGGGTGATTCATTGAATCCAGATGCTGCAACAGTATTTAACGCAAAAGTCCTAGCAAGGATACTAACATTATATCACATGGAGTAAAACGTGATTATTTTCATGTTCAGCTGAGGCTGAATTCATGATCAATTTTATTACCAATCAATATTTAACAAGCAAGGACAGATGGCCCGAATCCACACCCATGGCGTCTAGTCGGCGCCAATTGATTGTGGCTGCACGAAAAGGTGGAGGCGCAGCAAATGGCGATGCCTGGACGCGAAGGATGAGGCACAGCCGCAGCTAGTGTAGTTGCTGCTCATCTTTATCTCTGCCGCACCGCTCCACCTCCCAGGCTTCAGCTTAGAGCAATGCCTTGTTCTTTGCTAGCGTTCCTGAGGAGGAGAAAGGAAAAGCGCTCATGGTAAGAATCTGCGAAAACACCGAGATACTCGATAAACACACGTTCCTTACATTCCACTAGTGATACATCAAAGCAAGACCTCCAAGCTACAATGCCAGCGGTTTCAAAGTTTACTGTAAGTCTCCGCTCAAAGAATGGATCTTCCAACAACTTACTCTCTTCCAGAGCAATGTAGCCAACACAATAGTCGACGAATCTACGATTAATTTGAAGTATCCGAAGCTGGAGAATGCCGATCGTCAGTTTCGTATGCTGGTTCTGGAGCCCTCTAGAGACTTCAGTACCGACATCAAATGCCATATCCATAATCGATCACAATATCCCAACCCAGCATACGAAGCCTTGTCTTACAGATGGGGAGATCCAAAGGACACTACTCCAATTTGCATCCGCCTGACTGAATATCAAGGGGAGCAAGAATCCGACGAGACTCCATATCTACCATGGCCAGTTACGCGCAACCTGAAACAAGCGCTGCGAGCTTTGCGACTACCTGATAGAGACCGTCTTCTCTGGGTAGATGCACTTTGTATAAATCAAAATGACGACGTTGAGAGAGGTCGACAGGTCCGAATAATGGGTCAGATTTATCAAAACTGCGTCCGAGATCTGTTATGGCTCGGACCAGAGAATGCTCAGATCAGCCGAGCAATGAGACTGATCCTGAAAATTCAAGGCCATGGTGAAAGCGGTCATAAAAAGACCTGTAGGTCGATGGTTGAAACAGAAAGCACAACCTTCTCAGCCTTCTCAGACCAAGACTGGGATGACCTGAAGAGTCTTATCCTGCATCCTGTCGAATGGGGCAGAGTCTGGATCATTCAAGAACTGATACTCTCGCCCGAATTTACCCTAGTGTGTGGCAAAGATACACTGGACTGGAATTGTATTGACAGCGTACTCGAGAACAACCGCGATGTCCTGAAAAAAATCGACTTGCAAGGCCCCGAGCTTGGAGCGCTTCTAGAAGTTATCGGCAAAGTGAGCACCATTCGGACGTATCGGATGCCACTGGAAATAACGACCCCTTTGTTTTCCAAATCTTTGCTTACTACTTTCTTTTTTCTCGACTGGGAAGCGACTGACGGACGAGATAAAGTATATGCAGTACTCAGTCTCACTACAGATGGAAAGGACTTGGGTGTGGATTACCAAAAGACGATGGATCAGTTATCAATTGACTTCGCTAAAACATGCCTTGCGCAGGGCAGCGTTAGGATTTTATCTCACAACACAACCTATTGCGTCGCTAAAACTCAATATCTCAAACAATACCCTAGCAGCCATGCGAACAGTACCACTAAGCAAGAGCTTTTAGTTCCTCGCAGAAAAGACTGGCCAACATGGATTCCTGATTTGTCAGACGACATTATCAAGGGTGCTAAGATCTCTGGTCTTTCCGTTGCAGGAGTGTCGAAGTATAACGCATGTGGTACTATGGGAAGCATGAAAGCTTTGCAAGTCATTCAATGCAAAATTACTCCTTCACTTGGACTACTGATGGCTGGAATCTTCGTTGATTCAGTTGCACTCGTCAGCCCGATAACCCTCGTGTCAGAGAACGAGACCCCAAGAAATCGATGGACTCGTGATGCCCTCGCTTGGGCACCACCTGAAACGAAACAGCCAAATGCAATCTTACAACTGTATCCATGGTCTGACTCACAACATGAAAGCGTTGTCTCAGCGTATTGGCGCACCATCATAACAGATCGTCGTGCGGATAAACGACTCAATGCAGAGGATCTAAGACAACACAATTGGTATGCAGACATTTCAGAGGGCTCTGATATACCTGAGGAAAACACGTTGCTGGTAGGCTGGCGCTTTGGCAAGACTGCAGCTGGGATGTACTGTATGCTTCCACCTCAATCGAAGGTTGGAGACACCATTTGCGTGCCGCTGGGAGGACAAGTGCCACTGCTACTTCGATCGCGAAATGGAAATGATGAGCTGTATGAGCTAATTGGGGAGGTATACGTGCATGGCGTTATGGATGGAATGGGCATGCTTCGGGCTGTCGCAAATATGAGTAGGATGTTGCAAGCTGATCCGAATCATGATTATGAACACATGGCTACAAGGCTACGAGACCAGACGATGGGCACGCAGTTCTATATGCAGACTTTTCACATCGTATGAAACATAATGGATTGTATCTACTGTCACTGTCATTATGGTTTTCGCTACATTCTGCTGATAGTCTTGTTCGACTGGCTCAACGGAGACCAGGGTCCATAGTATTTGGCCCCCAAACCGTGTCCTAAAATAGCCACTAAGTAAGCGTTGGTGCAGCACAGCCGCCTTCACCGGAACACATATGAGCTCAACAAAGCAGTTTTAATCAGGACACAAATCGACGACATGTCCATCTCGCCTCACTCATGCTGCGGGCGCTGCAGGGCACAAAGTGTTTCTCCGCCTACCTATTCACCTCTTGAACCCGACCAAATCCGGGTATTGCGGATCTTACCCACGATTATACCCGGTGGGAGCGGCCACTACCACCAAGATGGCGAGGAAAGCGATTGCGAAGAGGAGGACTGCAGAGCCGTCACTGAAAGCATGTTCGAAAGGGTCTTCGTGCAGGACTTTGAATGGGGCAAAAATCTGTGCGAGGAATGTTGTGGGGATGCGTGTATCTGTATTGAGTGTGACATGATACAGTGCGAGCTTGTTACCGTTTCGTTGGAAGAGTACTCAGGCGCTTTCGATGCATTGTCCTATGTGTGGGGCTACGCGGATGTCAAAGAGCGGATCAGGATGGACGGCAAGATAATCGAGGTGACGTTGAATCTAGAGGCAGCCTTGCGGAGAGTCAGAAATACGGAGAAGGCGGAGCTGCTATGGGTGGATGCTCTTTGCATCAACCAGTGGGATGTCGAAGAGAAAAATATCCAGGTTATGCGCATGAAGGATATATACACAAGGTGTAGAAGGGTGCTCGTCTGGCTGGGCGATGCAATAATGGACAGAACCGGAGATGGCAAGAATGAAGTCGCCGTTGCAGTCAAGGCTATGTCTTTCCTGAAAAAAGCACACAAAATCGCGCGTGGTAAAGATATGGTCGGCAAACCGAATTATTACAAGATGTTCATGAGTAAGATTGCGGAAACAGTGCCTTTCGAAGATCCAAGCACGGTTGGTCTTCCCGAGGTTGGTGCTCCAGAATGGGAGTGCTTAAGCAAATTCTTGAGCAGGCCATGGTTTAGTCGCGTTTGGATTATCCAGGAAGCATCAGGTGTAGATTATACGCTATTAATGGTCGGAAAGGATGCGAGACTCGGCTGGGGCCAACTATCACAAGCGACAAATTGGCTTATAGCTCATGCTTACCCAGACAACATAGATGGCCTCGAGGCATTGAGCAATATCTCCATGATTGATACATGTCGCAGGTATAAAGCTGTACCATTAATGCGCAGATTAGATCAGATATCTAGATTCAACTCTACTGTCCCACACGACAAAATCTATGCGGTATTGGGCCTTTCCATTGAATCCCAAACGCCCGAGAGATACCCGCGGTTACGAGTTGATTACGCCCGAGACTGGCAGTCTGTGTTCCGCGATGTTGTAAGACACTGCATCGAGATGCCTGGCTCCTATGGACCCAAATCGACACTGCATATCTTGAGTTCAGTACGTCAGGAGCGTGACGACGATGGAAAATTTACCTGGGACAAGGAACAATCCTCCTGGGTGCCGAAATGGGATAAAATTCACAGCAACTGTGCTATCGTACAGCGCATGTCTCACTTTACTTTTCAAACGACATATGATACCGAACCGCATATCGTCAAATCGCAAGACGACCGTATACTTTCCTTGAAAGGTGTCTTCGTTGATAGAATAGCGAAGGTATACACTCATCTAATAGACATACGTGAAGATCACGATCCGACGTTCTCCTTGAACGTTTTCCGCGCTGTTATAAAAACGTGGAAGGCCGTTCTTCAAGATCCTCCATGGAAGTTTCTTGGCGGCAATCGGTATTCGCTTATGGGGGAGGCATTTGCAAAGGTGATAACGGAGGGTTCTGCTTGCGGGCCGCCTGGAACAGGGTCGTCTGGGCAGTATTTCACTGCGTACTGGGAGGTGGGCCTTCAATACGCAAAAGAGAATGAGCCAGGCACACTTCCGAGGTTCAGCACTTTCTTTGCTCCTCCAAATACAGTGGTTGAGGAGTGGCCTTGTGTGGAGGGTGTTTCGGGCGAAGAAGCGTTGGAAAACCTGTATTCAATGGCGTTGAGGTTCAACATCGCTGTGGAGATTGACAGGGCCATCTTCATCACTGAAACAGGGTACATTGGCAGTGGACCGCCGATTATACGAGTTGGAGACGAGGTATGCGTACTGTATGGTGGGAAAACACCTTTCGTTGTGCAGAAGGTGAAGGAAGGACCCGACCGTCTTGCGTGGCTAGACGAGGATCCGGGCCCTTCCACTAGCTCAGTCGAAAAATTCAAAGGAATTTTGAAGAGTTGGAATCCGCTTCAGAAGAAGACGCCAAAACAGTGCACACCAGTACCTACAGAAAGGCATGCTCTTCCCCGGACCGATTGCTATCGTCTCGTTGGTGAGTGCTATGTCGAGGGACTCCAGAAGGGAGAAGCGCTAGACCTACGCGACAAGGGCGATCTCCAGGAGTGTATTCTGCATCTTGTTTAATAACCAGAGTGTTATTAATTCAAGTCTTATGAGAAACTCTCCTGTTCCATAGTTACACTTTTCTAAATTGGATAAGAACAGCATATCCTACGATATCAAGGCACAGTCGCAAATCATGTGATCTCAAAACGTGGGCTTACCGTACCACAAGGCTATTTAGCGTTAATACATGAGAGAGGCGAAATACTAGCTACTACTCTGAGGCTAGTATAACTGGAAATAGAAATCTAGTCTGTTGGCTGCCATAGCCTGGAATAGAGATATTGGCGGATGTTACGGTAAACAGCTAATAATAACGTAGTTTACAAGCGAGTGAGCCATACAAGCGAGTGAGCCACCCCACCAACTTTGCGCACCTCTGTAGGCGTATAGCTCTACCATAATATAATTATTTTGCTATATATTAATATAATTAATTAATTAGTACCTAGAGTATCTTTCTTACACGTACGCGCATTATAGCTAGTCTCTTTACACCTACTACAGCGCGCAAGAGCCTGGCGGCTGACACCTGATCGCTCTCCTTCTTGACGCTCTTTATGAGCAATCTGCTGATTAGCCTCGCGCTAAGCGAGTAGATCCTCTCTAGCTCCCTTTATTAGCACTCCTTGCTTCTGTATCCGCTTCTTCTTACGCTGCCTACGCTTTATTGCGGCTTCGTTCGCCTTCTTAAGGCTGGCTATCCGATCGCGCATTAGCTTAGCCGAGAGCATCATTACCTCAGCCCCCTTCTTAAGCTGATTAATTGCTATAATAATTAAAGCTGGCGATGAGCCTTAATGCCGCTGAACGCGATCACGTATTAATGTTAATTAAGCTTCAAGCTCGCGTGTGTTGCTAGGCGTGCGAGCCTGCCAGAGAGCCTCTAGAGCAGCTGGTAGAGTAGGCGTACGGAGCTTTATATCAAGTCTTGATAGAACAGCATCTAGCTAGAGAGGAATAAGGCCTGCGCCGCGGAAGGCAGAGCAGATATTAGATGGCGTGAAGGATCGATCGAACGCTACCTTAAACGCTGGCAGAAACTCGAGCTTGGTGATATGGTTAATATAATGGCGGATTAGGCTCTCCACCTCGCGGCTGTACGCGCGCTTTAACGGTGAGAAGCAGCCAACGTTAAGAGGCTGGAGTAGATAAGATAAGTGAGGCGGCATATAGAGCGTATATATGTTATTCTCATTGCAGAACTCTTAAAACTCTAGAGACTAGTAGCTCTCATGGCCGTCAAGAATAAGTAGGCGACGTATACTAATAACGCGAGTCTTTATGTGGGCATTGAAGTGCTTTATCCATGCGACGCCTAGCTCGTTATTCGTCCAGCCATTATTGCTGACTGCGATCGCCCAGTCGCGTGGGATCTCTGCCTCCTTATACCAAGCAGATAGGTAGTACTTACCAGCGAATACAAGGAACGGTGGGACTAACCAGCCAGCTGCGTTGATCGCTGCGATCAGCGTCACCCACTCACGATTACCTAGCTCAATTGCCTTTGGCCGGCCTCTCCTCTCTGACGCTGTAACGACAAGTTGAGTCGTAATCTTGCCTATCATAAAGCCAGCTTCGTCGAAGTTGTAGACGTCCTCGTCGCAGATGCCGTACTTAGCCTTTGTCTGCTCTACAAGCTCAAACCAGCTCTTAATTAGGACTGGATCTTCACACAGAGCTCTCTGCCTATCGTACGCTCGACTAAAACGCGTTATAAGACTATCTGTACGCTTAACAAAGTTACGCGGCCAGTGGACGCCGACCTGGCCAGCGCCGCGCGCAGCCAGGAGTCTATCAGCCATATCGCGCACAGCTGCGTAGGTAGGCGAGAATCCACGTAGATTAAGATCAAGTATATGGCCAATAATCACCTCCTCTTCTAGCTTGGTAAGCTTCTTTGAGTTGGGCTGGCAATCGCGTCGGGCAGGCTTGCCAGCGCGTCGGCGGTGGAGAGTAGCGCGAGAAACATTAAACGTAGCTGCAGCACGCCTTTCAGTTTGAACTTGACTTTTTTCAAGAGCTGATAGTGCAAGGTATATGTCAGCCTCACGAGGGACGTGTTGGGATAGATTTGGTGGAGTCATTGTATATTGTAACAAGAGAGGTGCGTAAAGTTGGTGGGGTGGCTCACTCGCTTGTATGGCTCACTCGCTTGTAAACTACGTTATAGGAGTCAGTATTTCCGCTTTTCCAGTCAGTAACAGCGCACGCGAGACCAAGGTTCAATTCACCGCTAGAGACCTTGTTATCTTGTTTTTCTTTTAGATAGGGGAATAAATACTAGTTACTATCAATATACACCTATACAGTTCTGCACTCTCTTTAAGTGAAGAGCTATCTTCTTCTCTTAGTATGTATAATAAAAGTCGAAGAGCTAGTAATAATGATAGAGAACTCTTTTACAAAAGAGCGTTTCCAATAGCTTGTGGATTCCAGAAAACATCCTTTGGGTCAACTTCACTTTTGATTTTTACAAGCTTGCAGTAGGTGGTACGTCAATAATAGAAATTCGGACTGCTGTTTAGCATTGGAGGCGGCGTGCCGACCCAAACGGACAACGGACCCGTTTATTTTGGAGATATAGTAGTGAGCAAGCTAGAGCGGGATAACTCTATCGCAATCCAGTACGATCACGATAAAACTCTAGAAAGTCACTTTTGTCGTACTGGATATCTTGTTCAACCACCTAAAGTCCTCCTCAACGCTGCACAGGGTCTGTCGATTGAGCAAATCATCACAGAGGATGATTTGGTTCCGCCCCACTTCCAAAGGATCAATACTAGGATACCAATGCTTCGGAAGTACAGATACCCAGGCCCGGATAGAGATAATCAATACAGGTCCGACTACCCACATCGTGTTAGAGGATCTCCATGCCATATCTGTGTATGCGATCCCTTACAACGGGTCGATCGGTATGCAAATAAGAGCCAAGATAACGATTTAGACTATGATCGCAGCTCACGGATTATATGTAGTTCATCACAGAACAATTGCCACAAGCGAGAAAGTTATTAAAGATAGTTGGCTGAGAGATAAGCTATACAAATCACATGGCGCTCTCTGCTTTAAGATAGAGGCCGCAGGGGTGATGAACGATTTCCCATTCCTTATCATCCGTGGGATTTCAGACTATGCCGATTCCCATGAAAATGATGGCTGGCAAGGCTACGTATCCGCATCCGCTGCGACGTATGCAAGACAACTATTCTTCCGTATACTCGATGACGAAGTGAAGCAATGTACAGTGGGAATTGCAGGTATTTAACACTGAAAGATGTATCCCACTCCCTTTGCTAAGTCTTTCACCTTGTCGCAGGTGTTTTCGACGAGCTGAAGGATGTCATAGGCGCAATAGAACATGCGCGTGGAAGTCAAAATGAGCATAGCCAATGGCAACGACAGCATAACCAGCAACAAGATTTTCGTGATGTAAATGGTAGGCGAGACCAATGCCACTAGGCGTTCAAAACATGTAGCTATGGATACCAAGGAGGGGTGGCGCAGTGGGTTTTCTTCGGAATACCAAAATTCTTTACCACGGTACTAAGGAATCCGTAAGGTCGAGAGCTCAAATCTCTCCTTCTATAAACTTTAGAGTAACTCCTAGATATTAGAAACCCTTCTAGTATTGAGAAAAATTTCTCTTCAACGTTTAGATACCATAGAAAGGAGTTTTCAAGCTTTAGTGCCAACGAAACTATCTTGAAATTTTCTCCTTGATTGACTAGTGCAAAAACCAAGTTAATAGCTAACCTATGTATCTAAGTAGTTTAGATAACCCGTATCAGTCAATACACACAACTATAATAGAGTAAGCGGTTTGCTTATGGTTGCTATAGTACCTCTCATTTGTCCCACCACGGCGGGCGTCCTGACACACAGGAAGGGTCATTATAGCCTTACCTTTCTAAAGTACTTATGTTTTTCAGGCGGCTTAATGACTGAACTGGCCCATTGGCTGCATGGGCACGATAATGTCTCTTAATGCTGAGGCCACCATCACGATAGCAGTATACTGTAACGCACAAGCTAAGCATACGTGCTAGAAGGCGCATTGCTGTCTCTAATTGGTGTCACACTCAGCTTCTTGCTCTGCCGTCCTGCGTAGTACAAATCTACTTGCTGCATCTCTAGCAAATCAAAACTCCTCACATAAACACGGGTTTGGTACGTATGACATACACGTGTGAGGAGCTTTCGAGCACCAAGACATCGGGAGCAAGAAGTCATTGCACACTACTAGCAACAGACGTTGTCACCATATCACACACCTACTAGCCCACGCTATAATGTATGTGTAGTAAGATTTGATAAGAATTGCTTTGGCATACGGCCCCTTCTAGGACAGCCACCCATTGTCGTACAATATATCACACCCTTGGGTTAATATGTCTGCTAACATGTAGTTGTGTTTATCTTACTCATCGCTAAAGGCTTCGTAGTGACTTCTTCTTGGTCCCCGAGGACGCCATTTTCCGTCAATAGGGCATTTTCATCCTTGCGCCTGTTGCCTGGATGATGGTCGAGGCATTTAATTGTACGGATCTCTTAGCATATAGGCACTCGCGGAACACAAGCGTTTAGACGTGACAAACACAAAACCGAAATGACTGAACCTCAGGATATGAGCCGCGAAATGCTAGATGATAATTCATAGGACCACGAGCATGATGATGATGATGATGATGATGATGATGATGGGTCGTACGATAATTTGGTCCAAAACAACGAGCTGACGGCGAGTGCGATCGATGGCGGAGGGAAAGAGGTCGATGTCAGTAAGCTGCATGCCAGAAAAAAGGAATGAAGATGAAGAACGATCTATGAGATACCGCGATAGCCGTAGGGTCAGATGTGTTCATGGAAACTGCAAAAATCTCCAAGCACAAATTCGAGCGTGCGAAGGCTCGGCAATGGGCAACGAGAGATATCTGCTTCTTAGTATACGATGACTCAGACGTCAAAATCGGTGGGTTTGACAGCGACGAGGAAGCGCTGCAGAAACACGCCCTACGGATGAGTTTAGGAGACAACGATACTCTGATACCAGAAGGAGACGAAGCCCAACGCTCGGAATATGCCGATGACTCGTGGAAAGCTAAATGCTGTGTTTGTGCATGGTATCCCGGATTTCCTCATAAATAGAAGCCTCGAAAATTTCGTCTGGTCAACCCAACGGTGGATCATCTAGTGTGGTTTGGTAAGGGCGCTGATCTAAACATTGCATCAATCCATATATGTCTGCATTATGTCGCTGTGTCATACTGTTAGCCGCCAAGAGACGACAACCCAATTCCAAGAAGCTACACCGCTCGGGACCTCGACGGGCGTGTTCGCACCAGTCGCGCTCTTGATGATGTTCTAGATCGTGCTGTGGATTTCGCCAACTCATGTGGCCTTCGAATTATCTGGATCGACCAAGAGTGTCTTCTTCAGCCAGCTAAGACCATCACGAACGAAGGTTGAGCTCCGTAGCTCTATAGTGGTTAGAGTGGGCTTATGCTCACGCGAACGAACTTCTAATATGTAATTATAACTCTTCAGTAGGGCGCGCACTTACACCTCGAAAAAGACGTGCAGGTTGATGATGTCCCGAGCACGTGTCATCAGCGACTCTCTATATCGAGTTAGCTTATCAAAGTAACTATGTAAGTCGTAGTTTACGAGGGATACGCTTATGCATCATGATATTTCCGTCACAGCCGCTTTATTACGCCTTGCCGCTTGCAGCCCAGGCGCTGGAGCTAGAACCTTTGTGACTGTCCCATTCATCATAGCGTACCGATGCTAGCAAGGTTTCCGGCATTTGGCTTTTCCCCGCCTTCCAGGTTCTCCCATTTTCTGGGAAATAAAGATCTATGCCAAGTATCTCGAGTGACCTTACGGTCTCTTTCGGTAGTGCGCTCAGGTACTAAGGGCGAGGTACAAAAGATGGTCTGAGTACAACTCTAATTTCTATAGCTTTGGACAAAATCTACACTAGCTTCGCTACCAATATGATTCGATATACTTTCCTACTGTTCCATATTGCATTCGCGAGCACACAGTCTAGCAATGCTCACGGTGCGGCCTACACTCAGTATGGAGGCAGTCCGCCGGTGTATCCTTCACGTATGTTGATTATTTGTCGTCTGCGTCCACACACTGACTCATCTCTCGCAGCAAACGTCACAGGTATCGGGGGATGGAACGAAGCATTGAATAAAGCGCGAGCGTTCTTAGACAATCTCACTCTTGAAGAGAAATCTCTAATAGTGACTGGTATGTTAATACCATACATAGGCTGTGAAATGCGTTCGTATTGACGTTGTGATTTCGTAGGAGCTGCAGGTCCTTGTGTTGGAAATATCGCCCCCATCCCGCGACTGAACTTCAGCGGTCTTTGTCTTCAAGATGGCCTTCTCACTATTCGTCAAGCCATCGGCGCTTCACTGTTTCCTGCCGCCCTCACGGTTGCTGCCTCTTGGGATCGTTCGCTCGCTCACCAGCGCGGTGCTTACTTGACCAAGGATTTCCGGGAAAGGGGCGCGCACGTCGCTTTAGGACCTTCCATAGGCCCTCTTGGTCGTTCGCCCTTCGAAGGCTGCAATTGGGAAGGCTTCAGTCCAGACGCCTTTCTTTCAGGCACTCTTGTCGAAGACACGATCAAGGGTATGCAAAGTACAGGAGTACAAGCTTGCGTTAAGCACTTTATTGCCAACGAGCAGGAAACAAAGCGAATGCCATCAGTGAACAACAACGGCGTCACTATCGACGCCGTGAGCTCTAATGTTGATGACAAGGTGAGCTTTAATGCGCGAAAATAGCGAGATATGCTAACGATCGAGTAGACTATGCACGAGACTTACCTTTGGCCATTTTCAAACGCCATTCGAGCTGGTTCGGCGTCTGTAATGTGTTCCTACAATCGTATAAATGGAAGGTAAGTGTCATGAGGGCCGTTGAAGAGCTCGGGCTGATAAAAGAACTCCAGCTACGGATGCCAGAACTCAAAGGCGCTCAATGGACTCTTGAAGAATGAGCTTGGATTTCAGGGCTATGTCATGTCCGATTGGGGAGCTACCCACGCTGGCATCGCTTCGTTCGAAGCTGGACTCGATATGGACATGCCCGGGGGGCAATCTCTAGTGGCGTGCCGTTCAGCTATTTCGGCAGTAACATCACAACAGCTGTGTATGTTTGAGGCGGAAACTACTAATTTCTCTCCGGGCTAACAATGAAAATAGGAACAACAGTACTCTCCATGTTGAAAGGCTAGACGACATGGTTCTTCGAATCATGACACCATACTACTTGCTGGGCCAGGATAGAGGCTATCCAGCTATTGATACGTACACGACACAGCTAAAGTTCTTACCGGAGCCTGTCTATACCCACAACTACACGTATAGTCCTGGATCGAACTACCGTAATGATGAAGCCACTCAACTCATCAGGAAGTTGGGAGCATCGGGCACTGTGCTTTTGAAGAACACCGACAACACGTTACCGCTTCAGCAACCGAAACAAATTGACGTGTTTGGAAATGATGCCGCAGACTTGACCACCGGTCAGTACCAAGCTATTGACTACGATATCGGGACTCTCCCTATTGGTAGCGGAAGTGGTACAGGCTTTTTCTACCATGTCATCTCCACGCTGGAGGTGATCAAATCTCGAGCAGCCTCATATAGTGCTCATGTTCAATATGTCATTGGCAACACATTCATCGCTCTCGGTGGACTATTTGAACTGGCGCCAAAGCCCATAAATGTATGCATCTTGTTTCTCAAATCATGGGCTTCTGAGGGTTCTGATCGTACCACATTAATCCCAGAATGGAACTCGAAGGTTGTCGTGGAGCGTGTCACTGGCGTGTGCGACAACACCGTCGTCGTCTTGCACGGTGCATCACCGAACACAATGCTATGGCGAAGCAATCCCAAGGTCACGGCTATTCTGACCGCCCATATGCCTGGAGAGCGAACAGGCAACTCAATCGTCGATATTCTTTGGGGAGATGTGAATCCCTCTGGCAGGCTTCCGTATACAATTGCGAACAACGACACGGAATACCGGAAGAATATTGCGAACAGCATTGCGTTCCAAGACACTGATGACCCGTCTGACTGGCAAGCCGACTTTTTCGAAGGCAACCTAATAGACTATAAGGAGTTCGATGCCGAATAAGAGCGTTGCATTTCCTTTCGGCTTCGGACTAAATTACACGACTTTTAATGTCTCAAACCTCGACGAATGTGGTGGTAGCAAATGCATCACGCACGCCAGGCCCTAATGCCCCGATTCATCCAGGTGGCAAGATGGAACTCTGGGACATACTCGTGACAGTCGAGGCTACTGTTACTAATACTGGTTCAAGACTTGGGGCCGCCGTTCCACAACTCTATCTCTCGTACCCCAGTGAGGCGAAAATGCCTGTGAGAAGCTTACGAGGCTTTGATAAGATCGACATCAGCCCAGGAACGACAGAGACGGTTCTATTCGAATTGACGAGGCGCGATCTGAGTTGCTGGGATACGAAGGTTCATGCATGGAGGTTACCTACGGGAGATATCACAGTACAAGTTAGATTTAGTTCTCGGGATCTACCACTGCAGAGTATTATTGGTATTTAAGAATAAACTTAGGAGACTAACTATTATAATGATAATTACGAGATTATCTTAGATAAAAAAAGCTAAGTAAAACCTAGAACTAATATGCTCTATTGCGCATGAGTAAAATACTAAGCTATGTATATCTACAAGTAATAACAAGAAGGATCTATCTCCCGGTAATAACTACAGATATTTAGGAAACCACTTAGGATTCTGCTAGAAAGATAATTATCGCAGAGCAGTAATTGCGTAACGGCAGCCTCCTACTAAGAGCTAGCCTCGTACAGGATGAGTACCACATCCAGCAGCAACGCTGGCGCCAGGGCCAGATCAGTCCCAGTATGACTTTCGCGATCCTTTGGAAATATCTTACAATACGAAGAAGATACAAGTCTATCGGGATGCAGACGCTCACATTACCGAGGCGCACAAGCAGCGCTTTCCCGATATTGTGGAGCTTTTAGGCAGCAACTTCTAAGGGACAAGAAGCTCTCAACATCCCACCCAGCTGATACCGAGTACAAGCTCAAAAAATGTGGCTTGTATCCAAAAGATAGCTACGTGTCAATTTTGATCCACCATCCCTTGCTGGATTTCAAGTAGGGCAAGTGCATACTGAAAAGCCTCAGTGTGAGCAATCTGGACAAGCAGTACAGCAACAAAAACAAGGGCCCAGTCTTCAGACTCTATCTCTTTCTTTCTCGGGACTTTCGGATGCTAGGGGATTCCATGAAGTCACACGGCGTACACATGGACAAAGAAACCTTGTTGGTGCCCAACTCGTCTCAAACGATGAACTGTATCAGGCCAGCACTATCACTTGCGGTGTCCAATTTGACGGAAACTACACTATTTTTGCTCTGATGTCTGCTCATGCATTTGAGGAAAGCGATGACTTAATTCCCGATTATAGTGGTTTAGAGAGCGACCATGCAAGCAACTATGGAACCTCAGGCATAGTTGGCGAGTACGACTAGGACAAGATTGAAACAGTAGAAGCCGCAGCGAAGAAGGAACAAGAATCCAGTCTCATTAGCTCCAAAAAATCAGCTCCTTCCAGACGGAAAGTTGGAAGAAATCCCAGCCGCTTCGAGATCGAGCCTGATGAGGTATGGCGCAGACCAAACAATACAAAATGGGAATAACAGCCAAATATTGACTGGGCTTTGATAGAAACGCCCAGTTTATGTGTACCTGTTGAGGAAGATAACCTATCACCGTCTAATCCTCCCGAGATCCCAGCTAATGTTTTTATCGCCACCCCTTCTAGATTGCGTATGGGCACCAAATCAAGTATTCCTTCTCACATCTCCAGCTCGAGGTATTCTAAAGCCTGGGCCAAGATTTGGACAGTTACCCTCGACGAAAAAGGTATGCCTTGGTCATCGGCGATGGTTATATTATTTCTGCTGACGACTAAGTAGATCAAATGCATGTACACATAGGTGATAGTGGCTCACTAGTAATTAAACGTACGCACAATGGAGTATAAGGCTACGTGACTACACTCAATTGCTTGGGCGAGCTTCATGTGATGCCGCTCCAAGCAGTATTGGACCAGATATAGGAGATGGTGCAGCCGCTCGAAATTGGTTCAAAGCCAAGAATAATCAGTGAAGTGCGATTAGAGACTTGGAATGATCACAAGACTACGGGTGCCGGACATGGACCCCCGGTTGTCCACTCTCCCGTTGTCGAAGAATGCGAGTGACCATCAGTCATACCTCAACGCTATTGCAGCACAATTGGAGGACGAAAACAGTTTTTTTAGGGAAGCCGCTGTCATAGCATTAGGCAAACAACCAACGCTACCCAGTCATATCCTTCAGGGTGTTGCAACACAGCTTGAGGATAAAGAAGGTGCTATTCGAAAAAGCACTCTCAAAGTACTTGATAAACAACCAAATCCGCCCGATAGTATTCTCAGAGCTGTTGCAGGACGAATAGAGGATGAATTCAAATTTATTCGAGCTTCCACTATCACAGCACTATGCAAACAACCAGCATTGCCCGATGATATTCTCAAGACCCTTGCAGCATTGCTAGGGGATAAACACAGCTTTGCTCAAGCCGCCGATATCGAAATACTGAGCAAACAACCAGTATTCCCCAACGAGATAGTCGAGGCTGTTGCAGCAAAGCTAGACGATAAAGATGACTTTATTCATGCTGCAGTTGTTGAGAAGTTGGGAAAGTGATCAGTATTACAAGAATTTCCAATCACCGAAGCAGTGGTGGAGGCAGCCGCATCAAACCATGGTAGCGGCGAGGACGTGATGATGCTTCTGCTCGGCCGGCGGGGAGTAGATGTCCCAATTCCAGAAACAGTGGTGAATACAACCGCATTAAATAGAAGAAGTGGTAGGAAAGGGATGAAGATTTTGCTTAAGCAGCGAGGAGCAGACGTTCGGATCACGGAAGAAGTGATGAAGGCGGCTGCGAGGAATCTGTATGGGAGCATGATGACACTACTTCTTGAATAGCGAGAAAAGGAGGTAATCAAAGCTATAGTAAAGATTGGAAAAAACTACAGAATTGAAATTCTTAGAGCACAGTTGTTTCGTGTAAGATCTCCTGGGTGTATAAGTTGCCATCGTCTCAAAATAGGAAAGTTCAAATCCTAATAGTACCTTGATACCAGTAACAGACTTCAAAATTGCAACTACCTTCACATCGTAATTTTGAGAAATCTAAGTTTTGTTATCGGCAGAGAGACCGGGCTAACGAGCTTACACTTGCATGTCGTAAAGGAGAATAATTAGAGAGAGAACCTAGGAACTATATCGAAACAATAGGAGGAGCTGGGTAGCAGAATGATTGAAAGTAGGATTAGAGTCGTCTAAGAGGAAGAAAATGATATGAGAATAGGATATGCCGAGAAAGAATTTCGCGACAGTGTGTAGGTAAAGCAGTGAAACTCCAGTCCAACCAAGCTATGTGGAACAATACACATCAACACTCCATGTACCGCTCACTTCAACTTTCTTTTGGCATACTCACGCCCTCCGTCTTTTCCCACTTCCCCCAACTCTCCAGCCTCTCCCACCCTACTCCAATTCGCCATCCCTACACAACTTCGACGCAATTATCGGATTACACCTGGCAGGTCTCCCCCTAGGCAGCCTCGCCACATAATCCCATCCCCACCTCGAGCTCATGCCCCAAGCAGGGTAATCCGTACTCACGATCTGGGCGCCGCTCGCCAACGCGGCCTCTCTCATCTCAATACTGCGGTTTAGCACCGTGGCAATCGGTACATCAGCGCGCGTACGCACGAGGTAACCTTTGCGCACTAGACGCTGGATTTCCGCCGTGTTTGTCGCATTCCGCGGCTCGTTGTACTTAACAAACGCAGCGTCGGGTGCGCCTTCAAGTGCGTTCGTGAACACGGTGCGGTTCTCTAGACTGAGTGCACCCGCAGTGTAGAGTTCGCGGGGGGAGTTCGGGTCGGACGGCTTAGGATCGTTGTCGAAGAAGAAGAGGATGCGGCCGCGGACAGAGTCGAGACTGGGCCAGCCGTGTGTTAGGATGGATTGTTCGAGAGTAAGGCCTGGTTGGCGCACGTCGTCTGGGCGGAGGAGCTGCTTGCGCGGGAAAACGGAGAGGATTTCGGCGTCGACACTGAGGATGCGTGGTAAGGTCCAGTTCTCAGCTTTCCCCGGGCCAAAACGGCTGAGATTGCGTGCGAGAACGTCGGTTTTCAGTTCTAGGTCGATGGTGATAGGGACATGGTAGGGGTGGTTATCTGACCAGGTTTTGATCTGCTGAAGACACTCGATAAAGGTGTGACAAACGGCGTCCGTATCGACATCCGTAATGTGAAAGATTTTGATCCCCGGTTTCTCGAGGACCTCGCCGTCGAACGGCGTTGTGGTGATGTTCGCGTATTTCCAGGTCAAGGGAGGATAATATAGACCACCTTTTTCGTCAGAATACAGGTCTAGTTCGAAGGAGCGGACGGATTGGTATTCTAGCTGGTTGTATAGCTCGGCGTGGGAATAGTATAAGTCCTGTACCGAGAAAAGTTGCCCCAAAGAGGGCATTATGTCTTCAAAGAATTTGCGCTCGGCTAAGGATATCTCGCGGTGGTACGAGTTGTGCGTGCCGATGACTTGGATGTGGTTGAAGCGGATGTCGGACCCTAATGCCAGTACATTTTCTTGAAGTTGTTAGTTATGCTGCACATTTTCGAAAGCTTTGGGTTACCGCACGTGCAAAGAGCAGCATGCTCGCGGAAGTCTGTCATCCTTAGTTCATTGAAAAATCTTCCTGCTGGGATGAGAGAAATGTTACCCTTGAAACCCACATGTTTTCGTGTTCCCTGTCAAACGGCGCGTACAAAATGAGACCACTCAAAGTAAGAAGCAATGCTGCCAGCAGCTGATTTCGCCAGCTATATACCTTCTTGCCCGTGTTGGTTCCTTCCATACCGGCATATTGCTAAATCACAATGGTCATTATTGCTGCTGTTAAGCGTATGGTACCTGCTGTTAAGCGTAAGGTTCCTGCTGTAAAGCGGATGGTCTCAACAGCTACTGCGTGCGTGGTCTTGTGTGTCCCTGCCATTGGTCAATCATCTAATATAGAAACAGCTTGCAACTTCCGAGAGACTATCTAGGCGTTCATTTGTTGTATAGACAACATATAATGATATGAGACTGGATTTGTTTTGTTTTGTCTTAGCGGTATAGGCTGATGGTGTAAAGTGATGGTAGTTGGGCAGAAGGACCTATCCTAAGCAACCCCATTCATACCTGCCAAGCCATTTTTTTCAACCACAAACATACATGACTCCTCCGCTCACTTGCCCGGTTGGATTGTTTCAATGGAGCTGCTGATTGATATTTTCTTCATTGCGTTCTCTACTAATGTGTCTTTTGCTCATGCGGCGAGATTGGCGTCGTGTTTGCACATTACTACGCCTTTTGTTTGCAGCACTTTTACCGCGCGCTTTTCTTTGTATACTGCTTTAATCTCTTATTATACCATATTCTTGACCTTGCCACATTCGTGATTACCTGAATTCTTCGCCGTTATCAAGTCTAATGATCTGCCCGACCGGTTTGAGCTAATAATTACATATATTAACAAAGGTTATTATAAGAAGAACTTTGGGAATTGTTTGGCCAAGGGTGTATCTTCACCTTCTGCATGATGTAGCAACCTTCATGATGACTGGACTGATAAATTTGGTGCTATTTGAAAATTCACATCATTTCGTTGTATGATCATGACTAATGTATCCTAACTCTCGACGCGTTCCGGTTGGCAAGGTCCAAGTTTTATGTGCCATATGGACGGGAAATTTTGTATCTGTCACCTAGTAGGCCAGAATGCTCATATTCTGATCCAAACACACTCAGAGTCCTCTTCAATAGCTCACCGGAGTTTCAGTCGGGTTGACCGGGCACTGGTAGAAGCGCTGAGCGTTGGATACATTGCCTTTGATGCCCTTGTTCTCGTTGTCTTTCTGGAGCGAGTGTCAGCAGGTTCACTTCTTCGCGAGAGGCGAAGACGCTTGAGAAGCACTTACATTGGTAAATGTTGCGAGACACTGGCTCTCTCCACCCCTGCCTTCGCCATCGCTGCCGTGACACAATTCAATGTCAACGTTGGCGCCATCGTTCTGGATGACGACCCTGTTTTAGTTAGCATATTTATAGGAGCCGACAGACGAGATGGGCGGGGTACTCACTCCACAGTGATTGCGTCTCTGATGTTTCTCGTGCCCTTGCCCCAGACCACCTTGGTGCTGGTAATGGTGCAGTTCTCCGGAGTCTCCTTACCAGCGATAATGAAGGCTGCTGGGCTCAGTAGGAAGAAGTCACCCTAGTCAGACGTGATGGTGAAGCTTCAGGTGGTTAGGCGCGTATGGGGGTTCACGAAGATCCAGGTGAAGGCTTTCATGATGTCGTCCGCACGGTCTCGGACCTCCTTCTTGTTGGAATCGCGCATCACATTCCACAACGGCACAACCTGGAACGAGCTGACTTCTGGATACGCATTAGCCGTCAGAATACACTCCTCGCGCGCCGTTCTGGACTCACCACTCTCAGGGCTGCCCTCAATTCTATTGGCTAGCTTTGTGTCGCCACCGCGGCAGTTACAGATCCTGTTCTGCATCTTCTCGTACGTCTTGAACAAAGCAATTCTCTTGACGTTGACATCGCCGCTGGCGCCGCCACTGACGCCTTTGTACTCATCCTTGACGTTGACTTGAAAGTCCTTGTCGGAAGCTATGTTAGTGATATCAGCCCAAGCGGTCTAAGCGTAGGCTAGTGGTGCCAGGACATGGCTCGAGGTAAGCAATGCAGGGCAAACGGAAATGAGAGAACCTACAAGTGACAGCTTGGAGCCATACGACGCTTTCGTGATAATGTGGCTCCGGAAGCGGTTGAAAAGCTAGTGGTACCCATCCTGGGCCTCCCTGTCATCGTCCTTCTAGGCCTGGACGTTCTGGAGTGCACTTTGAAGGACATTGTCAGCAACTATAGCACCCCGATTCTTCAAGAAGACATTCAGCACTCCTTTGTTGTAGGAGTAGAGATAATACGACTGCTTCGAGTTAAAGCTCGACGTTGTCGCGTATGAGAGGCTGGCGCTGCCAGACACGCAACTGAACTGGGTTGCGACTGAGGCCTTCGTGCTGAACTCGGCAGCAGCTTCTGTCCCACTCTAGAACACTTTCGAAACCACTTTCATTTACTACATGTCAGTGCATGAGCCGGTCAAGCATGGCTATGGGAGAACTGACCTGATGCTTTGGAGATGTCCTCGGTTACGCTAAAGCCTCTAAGAGCCTTCCATGTCGCACCGGTGATCGTCTTCATCTTTCCGCCCTCATCGTCGAAGTCAAAGATGTCGCCGGTACGTTTGACAGCGTTGCAGACCTGGAGGTGAATGAACACTGCTGTTAGCATCACGACTACGTTCTGTCTGCACTTCCTGACACAGACCGAGTGTTTGGAGACGACATACAGATCCAATGCTCGTGAGAGAACTCGATTTGGTCATGTCGAGACCATAGCCCAGCCACAAACCAGGTGGGAAGTCAGGGTTTTCTCCAGAAATTATGGATGATACTTGTTCTTAAAACTGGGATGAATTGTTTGGGGTGAAGGAGGAGTAAGCTGCTCAGGCTGTACCCAATTAACCCGTATGTGATTGTGGGTTCAAATAGGCAACTCTACTCACCCAAAAGCAATTTGCGCTGTGAGGATATCTCCTCGGCCCCGGCCGAGCATCCAGGTCTCGCCCATCAAGCCTCGTTATGCGTTGTCTTATGAGCTCCAAGCATGGGCATACACAACTACTCCACGCCTCTACAGAATGAACGCCCTGCTGCCCACGACAGCTTCGCAGTCGCCAGCCCCATCTACAAGGGTGGCGTCTTATTCAACAGATGACACTGGAAAATTGCAGCCTCCCATAGCAGTGCAAAATCACTTATTCAAAACATAGCCAAGTCACCATCCACTTACCTTTGAGGTGGCTGCAGCTCTAGTGAGCGCGAATTGATTTTCTATAAAGAGCATCATCAAATAGATTAGAATTTGAGTCTGCATATTGAATATTTAGTTACATATAGAAATATGTACGTTATAATAGAGATATTCAGGGTTATAAATAAGTAGCTTCGAGAGAAGAGATGGCTTGGAATGGAAGGTCAAGCCTCAGGCCTGCCGGTCGCTCCACCCAGCACCCGCGCCGATGTCGTCGGTCTCCAGCTGCCTTTTCACCGCCACAACATTAACACCAACGTCATAGCCGGCTGCAAAACCATGGTTTATGTGATGTGAATCGGTGCCAGTATCCAATAATCACCTCGAAGCCGTCCAGACCAGCAGCACTTGAAGCCAAATACACACACACCTTCGAGGAGAATAACATGATATGCATGCAACCTTGAAAGCAATCGGTCTTGATGTCTTTGCTCTTCGTACTTGCCCAGCATTCAGTGGACTACTGGACAACATGATGTTGTCCGATCGATGAGCTGGAATGCCGATATGAGTCTCGTACGTTTACCACAAGAGCCATCACTACGAAAAGAGTGAACCTACTGAATGAACTAGCATTTTTGGCTGACCATAGATCCTTGTCACACTGTTATACACATCTCAAGTTATTGTTAGGTATGTGTTTTAACAGTGATAAGATGTCGTTCATACCCCCTAGAACTAATCTATATATATTGAAACAATTAATGCTAATTCTAGGATATATCAGGAAAGCTGTTTGTAAAGTTATTGTTCTCATGATATCCAATACTGGAGAGTTGGAGTGTAGCTGGCTATTCTTTCCTGAGAAACAATACGTCAAAACGCTAGAAACGAAACAGAGATAAACAAATCAAGCAATAAGACGAGTGGAAAGTAACAGCTTGAGATTTTTCTCCATAAATATGCCTTCTAAAAGCTCTTGTCTGACTTGGCAAGGAGGTTTTCGAAGATCTTTCCCAGTCAGGATCACTACTCGGTAGCCATAACTCTGGCTTGCCAAGCCGTCGACCTTGAAGCTGAAGAGCCTGATTGACATTAACGGCAATCCTCTCAATCCAAGCCTGAATCTGCTTCCAAAATAGATCGCTCCAGCATTGCTACCAAATACCAACTTCATGTGTTCTGTTCTTTCGTATTCACCTGTTAATTCACCGCTTCATTGGATTAAGATTCAGCCAGCGAACTATGTGTGAGCTCACCCATAGTCTCAACTCACACAGTGTTACGTAAAGTGTCAAGCGGCCTTTGTTAGAACTCATTGGTAGTATATCGGTACGTGGTCATAGAATCCAGATACCGGACCTACCACTAAGCGCCACCAATACGCTAAGGGACTTACTGTACAGTGAGACGATATGCTAGCTGCCATAGCATGGTTATTATACCTTAAGACGGACATGAAATTACGATGTGCTGCAACTCAGAATTGAAAACTCAATCGGATATGTGTAAGTTAGAACAGAGAACTTAATCGACAATGCGGTAGACAGTTCCAAAACATCGCATTTAGGATATATAAATTAGCAAAAGTTAACGATTTCTAGAAAAGCATAACGACATGACATCCATTCATAGAGTTTCCACCTCATATTGCTATTTGACCTAGCAAGCGTCGGGGACAGCTGTTGTAAGTCAGTACCTCAAAGTGCACGCGTGATTGGACCGCGTATCGTGGGTGCTGTCAAAAACGCTCTCTGCCGCTAGGATATCTCTGGTTCAGAGTGTAAATGTGAATTCCCGGCAGCTGTTGCTTTTGTAATTTTTTCCAATGAACTCTGCGTTGTCAGAATGTAAAGCTTTTTTCTAACCAATGGTTGTACTGCCATGGGCCACCTTAGCTTTAGGAATATAGGCCGAATATGATATTCTGGAACTTCTAGAGCCGCACCGAAATGACGGTTGCGCGAGTCAAGAAACTGTGGGCGGAAACAAGGTTCATGCGCTCCAACTGTTATGGTACTTATGCAAACACCCTACCAAAACTAGTTCTTTCTCGCCGCAAAAGCTATCCTCTTCATTTTTGGATTGTTGTATAAGAATTTAATACTCAATACTATACTGTATATCAACCAAGCTGCGACCCCTCAGCGATATTTCATATTGCGAACTGGCATACTCCTCACTTCAAGCGGCACAATTACCCAAACAAAGCCTACTGCTGTCAGCGATGTCACCGTCGAGGCAGCAGGTCGGCTTACCATCGGAGCGCTTAGCCGTACCATGACCCCATACCTGGGGAGGCTTAGCGCCTACCCAATCCAATTTATCATAGTACCAAAGCCCATGCATAATACCCTTTGCATAGTAGGTTATAATACAGCTTAAAATATTACAAAAATACTAAGTCTATATAGTACTCTAGAGTAGAGGTTAGGGCAGGGTAAGCTTAGGATTATGGTTATTTAGGGGAAGGGTCTTAGGAATATTTTAGTCTTTTACTGCTAACTATGTTATTAATACATTGCGAATAACTATGTTGTAGACGTGTTCTAAACGTATTCTAAAGATAACTATTCAGAAAGTATTTAGCTACATTGCGTAAGCGCTCCTTGTTTTGGGTTTAGCGTGTGGGTCGTGATACGGCACTGAAATTACATGGTAAGCTGACATGCCTACCCTGTCACCGTCCGACTGACTGCGAAATTGAACATCGTCGGGCCCTCTGTCCGAACACTAAAAATCACCAGCCACTGTCAGAATACTTGGAGCTATGATCATTTAGTGCTCTACAAAACCGCAATTAACTTTTGGATACCCAGTCCAGGCCTTACGAGCAGGAATGTCATTTCACAGTAACATCGTTGGTAATGCTTCATATAAGACGACCATTGACTTCGCATTCGAAATGATACTTCTGGCAGTCACCTCACTCTCGGTTCTAATTGTATATACTACACACCACCATCGTTTTCGTAATAGACTATAGATCACATTCATTTTGTTGTTAATAGATAGCCAGTCGCTCTCATCATGTTGACCCTCGCTAAAGCCATTGCTATACTCGCCTACACCGGCGCAGTTACTGCGACACCTGTCCCAGATGGTACGTTGAACCAAATTCCTACAATTAAAAAGACTTGCGCGAGCTTAGCTAATACTCAACTCAAAACAGCTGGCGCCTCTTTTACTCTAGAGTCGAAAGAAGTCCATGGAGCCCCCATGCACCAGCTCGAGCACATCGTCAACATCAAGCGCAGTTTCGGCGTCGAGGTACACCCCAAGCTCGCAGAGGCTGCGAACCAGTTTGCGGTTAAGAGACACGCCACGCTGGCTGCTCGCCAGGCCACTGGCACTGCATTTGGTAAAAGTCCTGACCCGTGGGACACGATGTTTGTGTATCCCGTGCAGATTGCTGGCAAGACCTTCCGTCTCTTCGGTACGACGTCATCTTCCGATACGTAAGTCACCTCAGCCACATATGGGTAACTAATGGATTTTATGCTAACGCTTTGTCAAGCTGGGTGTATTCCTCCGTTATTCCCAAGAACCAGACTGTCAGCCACGCAGTCTACGACACCAACCCTGCCCATAAGAAACCGGGTAATTTCTCCATTGGATATGACGGCGCCAATGCGCAGGCAGAAGGCGATTTATACGTTGAGCCCAGTAAATTCTCCATACTGCAAAAAAACGCAACCCAGATATACTAACACCAACACCCACAGTAACCGTCGGCGGCATAACCGCCAAAACAACCTTTGGAGCCGCCACCCAAGCTATTGAGGGTCTCACAGACGACAAGACTGTGGACGGCTTCCTCGGGCTCGGCCCCACGGAATACAACTTCCTCGGCGACATGGGCACAGAAAACACTTGGTTCGTCAACGCGCTCCCGCAGCTCGCAAAACCCGTCTTTGCCGTCGCCCACACAAAGGGGCACGGCGTCTTCGAATTCGGCTTCATCAACCAGAAGAAAATCAGCGGGGCTATCACGTGGGTCGACAACGTCCTCGAAGACTACTGGGCCGCCTACAGCTTCTATGGCGAAGGCTGGAGCGTTGGCGACCAGCACGCTAAGACTGCGCCGCGCAAGATGAACATTCATTTGAATTCTGGCACGGATGTTAGTTTCACAGACCCGGATATCGTCAAGGAGTGGTACTCGCATATCCCCGGCGCAGTCACAAAGGATGAACAAGGCTACACGATCCCCTGCAACAGCAAGCCCCCAGGCTGGACCGTCGTTATCGGCGGCCGCAAGTTCTTCACGCCTGGTTGCCAACTCATTTCGCAGCCCGTCGATGACGCCGGTAAGATCTGTCTGGGTGGACTGCAGAACATTGGTGGAGGTGTGGATTTCCATCTCTTCGGCACAAACTTTTTCAAGGGCAAGTATGTCATTCACGACTTTACGAACCCCAAGAAAGTCAAGCTCGGGTTTGCGCTGCAGCCTAGTTCCAAGTAAGTGCGTTTTTTGTCCTGGATGCGGTTGTTATTGGCGGCTTCCCTGTCTTGTGGGATTGTGTCATAGACAGTGCGGGATTGAGTCTTGATGGGGTGCAACGGCCGAGGCATTGAGCAGTTGTATAGATGGAAAAAGTAACATGTTAATGTATTAGAGTGTCATTGCTCGCTAAGGATACTCAAGTAAACTGACATTAATGCACGTGGCGGAGTTATGGTAAATTTGGTAGATGTTACATATTTCTACATCCCGACACACGCGCCTTCAATGCTGTCCTCACGTGATCCCCATCCTTAGTATATTTTACCTGGCTTATTGTAAACCAGACCAGAGTAGTATAGTCTCTACTTTCCAGAAGGGTATTCTTCAATCATCTTGCGATTCTTTTCTTAGCTACATTCGCAGATGTGCTCTTTCCGCCAACCTTTTCCAAGAAATTACCGAGTTAAATGAGAAATTCCCCATTTCATGTTAGGGTCATGACGATGCACAAGAGCGCGAGGCAAATAAGAAAAGGCAAATCCTTCATATCATGTACATTCATGACTTCATATCAATTACTTGCACGCCATTACTAGCAAAAACTCTATATACACTACTCTACTCCATAGATCCCTACGCCTTGGCTTCAGCGCGATGGTTCTGCGTCTCAGCATTCTCCATCTCGACCGTGGTAGCCTTCTCGCCAGCATGGTCGAGAATCTCAGACATGGCACCCGTGCCGCGGGTAAGCTCTGCGCCCTTGCGACCAATGAGGTACCAGGGCAGATTGAACATTTCGTCGAGCGACTCAAGCGACTTGCCAGAGGTCTCGGGGAGGAAGAACCAGACCCAGACAAGACCAATTGCGGTGACGCACGAGAAGAAGAGCATAGTGCCGCCGTGGGTCATGGAAATGAACATGAGGGGCACGGCCTTGGAGTTTCCGTACTGGTTGACAAAGTGGAATGTCATGGCGATGGAGCCACCGAGCGCACGGAGACGAAGAGGGTAGATCTCGGAGTTGATCAGATACTGGATCGAGTTCCATCCTAGAGCCCATCCGAAACCGGAGAAGTAGATCATGACAATGGCGCCCATGGCGGCATGTTTCTGGCTTGAGGTTTGTACGGCACCCTCCTCACCGATGCCGGTGTCGATGAGCAGAAAGATGGCCATGTACAGCATGGATACGAGCTGCAGTGAGATACCGGCAGACAGAGAGCGCTTGCGACCAATGTAATCAATCAGGAAGAAGGCGCAGAGCATGGAACTGACAAACTTGACAACACCAAAGATGGCAGTTGCAAAGAGCTTCTCGCTTCGGCCAGTCTTACCCATCATTGCAAAGTATCGAGGTGCATAGATGGTGATGCCTTCACAGAGTTAGCAAATATCGCAAAAAGTTATATGCGCAGGCAACACATACTGTTCGCGCCGGACCATTGTGAGAGCAGTTGTGAAAAGACGGAAAGCTGGATACGGTAGAGGTTGGCCTTGCTGCTAAACAGCTCACGGACCGGTCCGAGCCAGGATGTGCCCATGGTAGCCTCACGCTCACGGTTGAGCTGGTCGTTGATGTCCATGATCTCAGAAGTGACGTAGGGGTGGTCTTCGGGAAGCTGGCGAAGAAGAGACAAGTTCTTAAGAGCATCCTCATGGCGACCAACCTTGATCAACCAACGAGGACTCTCCTTGGCAAAGCAAGAGAGGAAGAAAATGATGCCGGCGAACATGAGATGCATGCTGTTGGGGATGAGCCACTGGGCGTCGGTCTTGGACGAGATGTGGATGGACGAGCCCCAAGATGCAAAGTAGGCAAGCATGATACCAATGTATACGGAACCAGCGAATGCACCAACACAGAGACCTCGGATAGCCCTTGGTGCAGTCTCGGCAAGGTAGGTAGGAGCAACGACAGTAGTTTGGCCGATTCCAACACCAGCGATAAATCTTCCAACGTAGATCTGGCCAATAGATCCAGTCAAGGAGCTGGTGAGGAAGATGGTGATACCAATGACCCAGATGAGGCAGAGCTGGCGTGTAGCCCAGAGACGGCCAATCTTGTCAGTGATGAAGAAGGCGATCAAGGATCCTAGAATGGATCCCATCTGCACCATGGAGGTGATGTTAGACAAGAGCTCTGCCTTTTCGTGCTCGCTCTTGTGCTGGTCTTCAAGACCAAACTTCTTCTGGAAAGGAATGAGTTCGGCCGTTGTGCCAATCAGACCTTCGTCGATACCACGGGCAGCACCCATGATTCCAAAGACTGCGCTATTGTTAGCGACAAGACGAATGGGAGAAAGACGGTAAATTCTTACCAAAGACACCATACCAGAGACGCCAGTTAAGGCTCTCCTTGGGGGTGTCCTTCAAGTTCTCACGCCAGGGGTTCCACATGCTGTGCAAGATTTTGCGGCTGCTCGTATAAAGTGGTGGTTCAGTTACTCTAGAGCTGCGAAACCTGGGTCTGTCCAGCAGCGTGGAAAGGCAGTAGAGACTCGAAATCCAGGAAAATGTGCGAGCTTCTTATATGTATACAGTAAGAAGGTGGTGTGGGGTACGACATGCGGAGAGATTAAGGCTACCAGGCCATCATACCACACCATCCCTGATAGACCCCAGAAAATTCTGCCCCGGTGTAACTCCACGTTCAGTCAATGTCAAGGGGCGGCTTCTCGCCCGACGGGCGGGATACAGGTCGGTCTTCTCAACATTACTTTGCCCGACGTACGATAGGTCAAGCGCGTTGTCGGCGTTTGCGAGCGTTGCAACTTGGCCGTGTTGGGCAACTCGACCGCGTATCTTCTTGTCATAAGGAACCGAACGACCAGCCCATGGCCTATCGCACAGCAGGTCGTGCTGCAGGTCGCACGCCCAGACTTGCTCAGTGGCCCATTAAGGCTTGAGTGGAGAAAGCTTCCTTGTTGGTGCGTCTTGTGGAGCTTGGAGTTGGGCTAAGCACCGAGTCAGTTATTGGCACCACCACCCAGGAAACCCCGCATCATTCCCCAATCGATCCCGCCTCCCACGCTTTTTTTTAAACCAGCCCAGGCAGGAAGCTGCGTGCAATAATTGATAGCGGCCGGAGAACTGCCGTTACAGCCTATGGTATCGTTGGGAATGCCCGACGCAGAACAGCCTTGACGGGTAAAGTAGGGACGCTCATGCTGACCATGCCTCGTGACGAGCTTGGTCGCGCGGCAGAAATACCCCCGAACGGGTGTCTGGGCAGAACTTCGGCTTTTGAAATTAAGCTCACGGATAAGCCCCATGGCGGCGGTGTGGTGTCAAGCGATGCGGCTCCAAATCCTTCACCTGCGCTAACTGCTTGGCTCCTCCAAATGCATCTGCCGACTTTCGAGTGCTTCTCCGACTCAAACGGTGTTGAATAGACTTTTGGTTGTACATACTTACGTGGGGTCTTTTCATGTAATGTTGGGTGTTGTGCTTGCCGACAACACGTGGTGATCGTCACCCCAGCCATACGTATGTCATTCTCCGCGTTCCTGGTTTGGCAAGTTGGAAAGCGGCCCGCATGCATCGGCTGTCAAGGATCAAGCATGGTGGCAAAGTGACCAGAAAGCACCATCCGACACACACGACAAGAGCCTCTCGTTGCGAGAACAACGTCTGACTCGCAGGCACAAAGCTTGGCAAAATTGAGCGCCCCGGCTGGGCCGTCTGATGAAGCTGCCAAGGTGATAAAAAAAAGTCTCCAGAACCCACCGGCTTTTGCTCTTTCTCCGCAAAGCTTTGCGCTTGGTTTGTATGCAGGGCAGCAGATGACCCAACATAAAACAAGAAGCACGTCCGACGTTGATTCTTGCCAGTCGGAGCTCCACTGGCGTATCGGTGTGACCGCAAGCGCCTTGGCTGGGCTTCCTACAATGGAAGGGAAAAGCTACGATCCAAAGCTTGGTGCAAAACCAAGCTCATCATGTGTGTGCCAAAACTTTGAAGCTTCCTCCTAAGCAAAGCCGACATCGTGCTATCGGTTGATTGTCTAGCATAATCTTTACGTCAATGTTATGGTCTTGTCGTGTTCGTACGGGTGATGTCTATGAGCACTCGGTGTATGACGGCGCTCCAGTTTTTGCGGCCGCGGCTCGTTGTGCGACTCCGGTAGCATCGTGCAGGTAACATCGGCCGTAGCGAGGTGCCCGACTGCGGTTATCACGCCACATAACGGAACCTGGCTGACGGATATGCTTCTTGTTGGGATGTCTATAACTGGGGGTCGCGTGGCTGACTAAATCTGCTGTCGGAGTTGGGGGCAGTCGTGGGCATCTTCCATGACTAGGTGGGTATCTTCCAAGGCGCCAATGTTGGGGATGCCCCATTTATACTCCATGGATGCGGCTCAATTCACGGCCGCGTGAGTCAAAGAATTCTTCCGTTTTACGAGAAGGATTGTTGTTACCGTCAATATTTGAGGGGTCCTGTGAGCGAAATGGGGATCAAGCTCAACTGGAGGCATGTTGGTGGACGGCAAAACCGCTGGGGACGGAGAAACTCATGTCGACCTGTCTCCTTGGTTATTCAGGCTAGATGTAGTTGTTATTAGAGGGCTTGGAAGCGGAGGTTGTGTGCATGGCGCTTCACTGCTTTGAGGTTAGTGGTAAGGATTGTGAGGAAGTGGAAAGTGCGAGGGCGTACTGGAGGAGCAAACAAGATACCAAAGTACGACACCATCTTGCACGTATTGTAAATGTCAGGGAATTGCAGGATTCACTGTCAGTCATCATTGTCTTTGACTATATACTCGCTGGAGTGAAGCAAAAATTATCGCCCGGATACTTTTCCGTGCCCACTGATTCCCACTCACCCACAACAACTCCCCACTGCGGCAATAGATACAGAACCCACTTGCACAAAACACGTTTCTTTGTGCTCACAAACAGGCTGGCGCCGAAAATTCTGCTATCTCTCCAGAACATAAGTCTGATATGTACTTTTCCGAACCGCCGTTGACTATGCTGGTGCTAAGCAACCCCATCCCAAGTCCGTCACCTGCTAACTCCCTATCCCTCCAAAAGATTTGCCTTAGGCATGGACATCTGTACTATCTTCCAAATTGACACACTTCATCTTGCATCCTCCTCCCCATCCCTTTCCCCTCCCACCTTTCCCACCCCCTACTCCTCCTCCTCCTCCGCAGCAACCTCCCTATAACACCTCTCCCCCTCCTTTCCATGCCTCCCATGCTCATGATACCGCCTACACCACGCCCCCTCAGTACCCTCCTCACACTTCATCGTCAACCGCCTCCTCACCATCCTCAATCCACTCTGCATAACATTCCACACTAAATCCGGATGCACCTCCACCCCCCTCCTCTGCGCCGTCTCCATCTCTTTTTCCGTCTGATCGCCTGCCAGCGCTAGCGCGTCGGCCCACAGCATGCGTGCGCCGCAGGTGGGGGGCGTGTGGTGGTAGAGGAGGTTGAGGAGGTCGATGTGCGTGTCTGTTATGTTGGCGTCAAGGTCGGGGTCTGTGGGGCCGAGACCCAGGTTTCGGGGGTTAGGGTCGAATTCTGAGGGGATGAGTACACCGGTAAGTCGGGCGCGGTGGGCTTTGCGTTTGCGGTTTTCGAGGGCTTTGTTGGAGCGCCAGAGGGTGTAGGCGGGGTCTGTGTAAGCTTTTTTGCGGCGAGAGTGGAAGGCGCGGATCCAGGTGTCAGTGATCAGGTCACAGAGGTTCCAGAGGTTTTGGTGGTAGCATGTTATGTAGAGGTGGGTGAGAAGCTCGGCGCTGTAGGGTTGGATGGCGTCCGGGTCGTTGGTGTTGCTGAGACTGGGGAGATCTATGTGGGTTTTGGTGGTAGCCTTGAGGCTATTCAAGATGTCGTAGACGTCCTGGCTTGGTTGGAAGCAGGTATGCTCGAGAGAAGACTGAGCTGGGAGAGTGGATGACGATGGCCAGTCTTCTTCCTCGCTGACCTTATCCAGGTGGGATGTGAACGAGGGTTGTTTGCGGCGTGGACGACCCACGCTTCGCTTTTTCTGACGCTTGTTTGATGAGAAGGTTCCCGAGTACCCTTGGGCGTTAGCCAAGGCATGTGCTGTGTTGTTTAGCAGTGCGCCCTTGTATAGGTTTCCCGAGGAGATACACTTACGCAAATCACTCAAGAAATCTGGCTGAAACTTGATGTCGTCGTCACCAAAGCCCTGAGAGCTAAGACCCATCAACTGGTCATAGTCACTGCCCTGTATGACATCCTCATGCTGCGGTTTATGTAATGTCCGTCCAGTTCGCGTGTTCGCTGACTGCTGCGAAGCAGGGTACTGTGGAAGGTCACTGCTGTAGCCTGTACTCTGGTCGTCCACCATCGTAGGAAACGGATTTGTCTTCTTTTCTGGATTATTGAGATTGAGCCTGAGTTTCAGCTTCAACTTCGGCAACGTTCCCATTTCCGCGGCCTTTGAACTTGGTGACGCTGACCGCGATGACCTGACTCTGGAAGCATTCCGGCTTTGGGACGAGCGCCTGGATGTGGTAGACTGCTGTCTCGCCATTGAGGCGTCGGTATTCGTCTTGATTGATTATTTCTCTTTGCTGTGATCGTAGTTGAGTGTACTTCTGTGTATTCGCTTTACACAATTCGGATCAAACACTCCAACTTATAACTGCAAAGTGATCAAAACATTGTGAACACCTAGTGAATCTCCATTCGCTCACCTCCTCCAAACAAACGCCCAAACCCCCTCACCCCCTCACCTCATCTCACCTTCACTTCAACCCCCCAATACCTCCCATGCACCCTCTCTCCCCTCCCCACACACTCCTTACAAACAACCTCATCCACCTCCTTCCATCCCACATCCCTACAATTAACCCCGCACCGCCTCTCCGGCAAACACCAAACCCTATGTCCACACTTCAACTCATGCGGCACGCGTCCCGGCACGTACAACACAGGACACAACAGTTCTTCTATATCCGACGCGGGAAGCATCGTTGCGCCAGCAATAATGGCGCGCGAGAGCGCTAGACAGCGGCGAGGATGAAAGCGGCTTGGGGGAGGCAACATAGTGTATTAGTTATCAAACGGGATTCCCGTGCAGATCTCGCAGTAGATGGTGTCGGTATGGATATCGGTGCAGGCATCGGTGAAGGTGGTTTTATCGTCGCTTTGTCTGTGAAGTAAAATTGTTAAGGAGAAGGAGATGGTCGGAGGGAATGGAAGAAATGTACGCACACTGTGGCTCTGGGAATTCGCTGGAGTGCGACGAGGGAGTGGGAATGGTGTGGTGACAGTTACGGGCGCAGCGCCGGTCAGGGTGGTTGATGGTGATAATGTGGCCGCAGGTGAGGAGGTGGTAGAGCATTGGGAGTGCGAGATTGTGGGCGTTGGGGGCGGAGGAGCAGGGTGTGATGACGGTTAGGTTGAGTAGGTTATATGGATCGATTGTCGAGATGGTGTCGACTGATTCATGGGCTTCGGATTCGACTTGAGGGGGGGTTAGAGGCATGTTGGTGTAGTCCATACTTACAGTCGCTAGTTCAGTGGATGATGTAGTTGTAGAGAATCGGTCAGAAGTGAGATTTCAAGTGCGTAGAAAGCGCAAACAGTTATCTTTTGCAGCACTGCAAACGACAGGCGATGAGAAACTAATGTGATGGTGAGCGAGAACTACATGTCCTGATGTGAAAGCAAAGCTGAAATCAATTTTTGTCTCGAGGAGCATCCATGTCCTTATACGGGTATCTTGTACTACAACTTGAAAAAAAGTCCACCGACAATATACAAAAAATGCGACACCAAACACTTAGTGCTCATGCGCATGCATGTCACCATGGTATGTCGCATCTTGCCCCGGACGTAGCGGAGGGCATCCATTCAACTCCAAACTAACCTCGATGCCATGCAGTTTCCTGAACCGCGTCCTCGCATCTTGAGTTTTGGCGTCTACAACCAACTCATCTGGGTGAAGTGCGACCACTCGCTCCATTATCCTACGCGGAATATGGACGATGCACACTATCTTGACCTCGGGTCGGGGCTCGTTGCTGGATGCCATTGGGGGGCTCCCTGCTGCTGATGAAGCATCACTGCTGGAAGACGAATCAAAGTTCATCGATGTGGATGGGCCGGAATACAGAGCATCACGAAGATTCAGGCAGAGCGATTCAATACCTAGCTCTCGCTCGAAGCGGAGAAACGTGGAGAATAGAGTATGTGAATCACGTGGATCTGTTCTGTTCGCTTGTGGATTTACCATGGACCCAATATGATGTGGCGCGTGGAACAGTGGTGGATGAATGCTGGCTTGCTGGTGCATCTGCAACTGTTGTTGCGCAAGCAAGTTGACATGCGGAGGGTGGTTCTGATGATGGTGATGACCATGATGAGGTCCACCTAGTCCCAAGGGGCCTTGTGCAAACTGCAAAAAGGGTATTGCCGGTGCTGGGGGCGGGGGAGGTGGAAGCTGGTTGCCTCCTGTTTGGGCTTGATTGCCTCCAAGAGCAACCTGTGCATTCGCATTGGCCATGACCTGCGTGAGGTTCTGAACCTGTTGCTGAAGGGCATGCATCTGCTGTCCCAAGGCGATGGGCAAAGCTTGAGCGTGTCCTCCCGGTCCTCCCAAAGCACCCACAGGCGCAGCTTGCAGACTCCCAAACGCAGCAGGCAGCCCCATTGCGCCACACCTCAGAAACACCCATAGACTCTTTAGCTTAGGGAGATCGCCCTTCAAACTCCTCTCTGCTTGTTTGCTTCCCAGATACGCGGTCCATAGCTTCAAGTCTTTCTGTCTAATGCGGAAATAGATACTCGTTATATTGACGGAAGCGGAAGATGCGACCACGCGGAATACGTTGCAGTCGCTAGGGTGGGTAAACAGAAACCTGTTCTGCGAGTACAGAATTTCGATTGACTCGCTGTACACCTGCTTGTTGGTGCGAAGAAGGCTGGCGCTGACATTGTGATGGTCGGTGTCTGGCGATTTGGATGGCCACCAAAAGGGCGAGTCTGAGACGAGAGCAAATACATAGACGCGGTCCCGTAGCTCTCTGGGAAGCGACAAGAGGAGCGAAAAGGACGGATCGGGCCGGGTGTTGAGCGAGTGCATATGCGTTGTCGTGGGTGTGGGGAGATGGCCGTACGAAGGGTTGCGGAGACGGGCTGGGCCGCTTGGGGATTGCGGCGCTGCGTCCATCATGGTGGCATCGGAAGACGAGGTGCTGTTGGAAGAGGAACGCGAGCGCAATGGCGTCGAATTACGCGAAGCCATGTTGTCTTACTACGTACAATGTTCGTACACAGAGGCGAGAGATGAGGGCTGGTATGTAGCCAGCCTGGTGGGGCGGTGATGCAATACGATAATGCGACGGGGTATTATTAGTCGACAAGGACGTGCCGTGCCTGGGTATTAGTACACATGTGTGGTATAAGCGAAGGACCTCTGAGCGTAGAGTTTGCTGATGAAATCGCAGGGACGAAAAGATTGCTCAGCAATTATGAGCGGAGAAGAATAATCAAGGGCTTACTAGTCACCTGGGCAGGAATAAGGAACATGTTGAGGTGGATTGTTGGGTAGCCATGGCGGTGCCTTTGCATGCTGAATGGCTGAGATTCCATCATCATCCGCGCGGCTACACACGAGTCCATCTGTTCCACCAGCCGTCCAATCACTTGTGCCCTCTTTGAATTTGTTTTTTCGGGCTCCGTAGACGGGCCGTCCGTCTTCCTCGTGACATATATGCTCGTCGCCTTGGCAGGGCTGAAGCGCTGGCTCGTTGCTTTACGGCCGCACGCTTCATCTGTCAACGGCGTCATTCGTGGGAGGCTAGCCTCAGGACTACTAGTAGACAAGATACCAAGGTTCGTAGAGTGCTCTGATACTCCGACCCGTGGCGCTGCCGTTCACGTAAGCTAGCCGATCAAATGCTTCAACGAATATTGTGTGACGGGAAACTTGTTACGGGACCTGGAATAAATAATAATGAGCAACACAATCACGCTCAGCACAGAGAAACTCAGTCTAGTGAAAAGGCACTTCATTGGGTAGACGATAAGGAAAGATAGACCCTACACACTAACAGTTCTTCTATTTAATCCAAAAACTACAGATCAATATCTACCCTAAGTCACTCACACCTCCCTACCATGCTGACAAACCCCAAGCATCCCTCACATCAACCCCTCTCCACCTTCCCCCTCCTGCTCCTCCTCAACTCTCTCCCTTCCGCCACACAAACCGGTGGGTCCTCCACCCTAAACTCCCTACACGCCGATACGGGCTTCGCATTGAAGCTCGCCCTGCGCAGCGCCGCCGCATCAGTCCGAGCTCCCAGCAACGGTGGCGCAACCAGCGAAGACGACTTACTCAGCGGTGGCGTCAGAAGAGGTGAAGTGGCTCCTATTGGTCCCATACTCAACGTACTCGACTTGCGACGATACGCCGCATTAAGCAGCGCATCAATCTGTGCTTGTGTCAGGTAAGTTTCGGTGCCGTCGAGCGGGGCGAGGTCGAAGTTCGCCCACTCGGTGTCGTTGGTGGGGAAGAGGGCGCTACAGCTTTCTTTGCGGGCGGAGCTGGGTGATAGGAAGGTCGCGGAGCTGGGCGGTGGAAAGGTGGTGGAGATGAGTGGTGGGATGGTGGATGAGGAGAGAGCGGGTGCTAGGGTGCTGGTGGTGGCGCGAGGGGAGGGGAGGGTGTCGTGGGGTTCCAAGTAGTTGATGGGAGGTTTTTGGCGGAGAGTGTTGGGGCGGGATGGGGACGGGCCGAGGGAGGGGGCGTCGAAGGTGATTGTGGGCTTTTTGGAGCGAGACTTGCGGGATGGAGGGGAGGAGTCGGAGGAGTCTGAATCATCGACTCTTCGCTTTTTTGGTTTCTTGGAGGGTATCACGATTTCGTCTTCTGAATCTTTAAGTGAGTCGCGTCGGGGTCGTCGAGAGCGTTTAGTACTACTCTCCACTCCGCCTTCGGCGATCAACTGCTCCCGGAGTACCATGCATTCCTTGATTCGTTCCTTGATCTCTGGATGAAACTTGTCGTAGTAAGCTGAGTAATCAAAGTCTTTTTTCGATCCGTCTTTCAAGAACTCTTTGAAAGCAGGGAGCCGCTCGATCTTCTTGTCTACAAGCTTCACCTCCATGTCACCGCGGTGCACGGTGAAAGAGCCAGGCCGGATTGTGCGTTGGAGGATGAATTGCTTCATCTGCGACTTTGCACGGTGTTTAATGTTCATGTCGTATAGAGCGTAGACCAGCGTACGTTCATGTGGCTTGGGCGCACCCCGGGCATATTCTTCATGAACAGGGTAGTTTGCAAACTCAGGTGTCTCGGCAAGCCGGCCTCTCCTGGCAGCGTTGATAAACTTCTTCGCTACAGCTGCTTCATGATGGTGCTTGGGGCCGAATGCAGAGGCAAAATGTCCTTTGGGCTCTTTCTCCATGCTCACGCGCTGGTCCACTCTCACATCTGCAATCTGGCAAATGTATGCAAAGTCTAGGAAGCGCTCCATGCAGTACAGATGGACGTAGCCAACACAATCATATGGGTCGACTACACCCGGTCCATATGTCTTGTGCTTCTCGTCAAAAGCAACTCGGTAGTTGCCTACTTCTGCTGTACCTTTGCCAGTGTACTTTCGCATTGGGCACTTCTCGAATCGGCAATGGCTATGGGATGCAGATGCATATCGACGCGCTGAATCAGAAGCTACAGGTTGGATCCAGATACGGAGATTATCGCCAGGATACTGTGTAATGTACTCGTGGATCTGACGGGCAGACATGGTGCGCTTCTTGAACTCGTGCATGCCATTGTTCTTGCTGTACTCAAACGTATAGTGTGTCGATTCCCAATCCCCATAAGGGAGTCTCTTGGCCTTGTATTTATGGCCCTCCTGTGCGTGCTGATTGATTCGAGCTGTGCGAGTCGTTTCGCCCTTGGTGGTGTGATTGATACGGACCCAAGGTTTATCCTCGCATTTCTTTGGCTTTTCACCAGCTTTCAGGACGCCCCTACTGACGGGTTGGCTTAGAGAGCCGTCGTCGGAAACCAAGGATTGTTTGCGGGAGGCATCTGGTGACGAGATGACTTTTACAAGTTTATCCTCTCGTGGTCGCATAGTAGTAGGTACGTCGTCGTCCGAGTCCGTGCTATATGCCGAACGTTTCCGCTTTTTTACTGGCTGTGCTTCCATTTGCTTTGCTACTTTATAGTGCTCGATTGGGATTGGAGGGTATGCAGGGTATTGTTGTGAATATTGTTGCTGTGAGAACTGGAGATAAGGCTGAGTCGGATATAGTGAAGCAGATGGATCAGGATACATCTGTCGTGCTTGGCTAACGCTTGGATATTGTAACATTTCCGGCATATATTGAGTGCCGCCAGGAAGTGCTGAGAGTCCTAGGGTGGCACCATCATGTTCCGATGTCGTCCATGAAGTTATGTCCCAGACATTTGACCCTAGAGGTACATTACCATATAATTCCCTAGAGACTGGTTCGAGCGAGTTTAGTACATGCCCAATGTCATATTCAGACTCAGCCGTATATTGTAAATTGTTGTACTGCTCGGGCGGAGCGTACGATAGCTCTAAGCCAATTTCAGGTTGATCATTCTGCAAGAGGTCAGTGTATTGAAACTGCTTAGCATCGGGACCGTTGGCAGCCAAGTCAGGGTCATTCGTTGCAGCCCAGTCAAGATTATCGAAATTAAGGATACCGTTCGTAAAGCAATGGTTAGCAGTGAACTGATTTAGATCAAAGCAATCATCGAAGAGAGATGGGTCGATTACGCTAGGCAAACCGATTACACCACTAGAACCGCTCGTCTGCTGTGATCCCGCAAGGCTGGGCTGTCGGATTGTTGCAACAACATCGGCTTGTGATTGTGCAACTTGGGCCATCTTTTCGGAACAAGCCGAGTTACGGCGAGCATGACTAGACGAAGTCTCTGCTGATTTACAGTCTGGTTCATCAGATTGGTACAAGGTCTGGTCGTGTAAAAATGCACCCGAAGACTTCGGAGATATTTGCGATGAAGAGATGGAAGACATTGATTTTTTTTGATAGGGTGGAAAGCAAACAGGGTTTACTCGCGGGGTAACCAGCATCCAGGCATATATGTGACTTCACAGGGTTCTTTGATGGTCCTGTTACAGATCTTGGTTGGACAAAGGAAGCGTATATTAGAGTACTGGTCATTGTGCTAAAAGCATTTGTCATTGTCTTGAGCATACAAAGCACGTCCCGAGGGACGGTGAGCTAATGGAAAACCAGCCTCGTCTATAATCTTTTGTTGCTGTTGAAGATCCGATGCCTGGGAAATGCAACAAGGCCACGAGCTAACAAACGACCGTTTCTTTTTAAGCATTAAGACTACATTATCCGAGGATTTTAAAACACTGGGTGAAAGGTCTTTACCTGCTGACTGTTAGCTACTGAGCTCAGTAATGGAGGCAGCGCAGCAATGAAGAATCGTGCAAATCAGAAGATGTTAAGCAAATTTTTCGACACTATTGTTACGAACAGGTCTGTGAATTTTTGTCTTTTTTTCATCATATGAGAAAGAAAGCGAGAGATGTATAACTTACCAAGAGAAGTTAATGAGACGCTGACGCTAGATGAGAGGTTAGTACGTAGCGTTGGCGTAGCCAGATAGCATCATGAAGCCTGAATAGAGGCTGAAGAGCGCAGGTTTGCGCGTTTCGATCCGCGAAAACAGATTGCGAGAGTGCCAGATACATGATTGAGTATTGGTAGCAGACCCGGCCACCAAAAGGCGGCGCCCGTAGGTGTCTCTGCTTTGATGTCGGTGAGGTTGCAGTGTTGGAGTCGAAGCTCGAGGACAAAGAAAATCTATGCCGAGGCGCTAACGACGGAACAGCTGTTTTGCCGAGCGACCGAACTACGGCGGACCGCTCGCATTGACCCTCACGGACCTTGACACGAGAACAATGTTTGCCTGAGGAATCTGGGGTTCCGATGATTTTCGCGTGTCTGAACTGTCAAACGAGAGAGTCATGTCCTTATCCGCTTCGGCTCGTACTGTTTCCGGCTGCAATTTTCAACGGTGAAACACGTCTTGTGTTCAAGGATCAAACATAACATGTTTAGTCAAACGTCTGCGCCTTCGTGAGTACTATTCTGGCACATATATAGTGAGAGTGATAAAGCAATTGCCAAGGAAAATACAGAAAAATGACGTTTGACCCGATAAGATAGGCTGATATAGCTGTCTTCTGGCTGTGCCGCAGTTTCGAAACGGGTATCAAAATGGCCTTTTCGAGAGGACTTCGTCACGGGAATTAGTCAATGGTCCACTAAGTTGTAGCTAGCGATGAAAATGGTGCCGAAACAGAGTGAAGCTTGAAAGGATATGGGGAAAACGGCCCTATATGCATCGAAAGTGTTGACAAGGATACTCCTTCTCTTTATCAAATCAATCCGTATGCATTGATATGTCTGTTCACCAAATCCTTACAAGAGCACGCAAGTATCCTGCCGGTAAGCTTCCTAAGAGCCACGTGGAAGAACGGGCCATCCTTGTGGCAGGAAGTCGGACCCAAAACGTCTGAGCCGTGTCTCTATGACATTTTGGTGTATCACAAAACCATAGGAGTCACCAAGACTCTTACTAGCCAATCGGTGGCTGTGATCTCAACGACAAAGTTCACAACCCGGTACTAAACATGAAGCGACCCTTGGCCGGATCGCATGATACCGGGGTAAACATTTTCGAATTGACATTCATAATCGAACGACTGCTGCGTATAGTTTGAGGCCCGCCACCTGCTTCCTGTTCTCTTGGCCAACCTTTTGTCAGGTTGTGGTCGGGAGACATTTTTTATCACTTACAGTAATTATTTTTGTATTTCAATGTTTATTAGTATCACATAATGGACAGCGCAAAGGTTGAGGAGCTGGCGCTCCTTGGCGCCATTACTGTCCACCTCATAATCACCCTTTTAATACTCACCTATCTCAGTGTCGGCCTACGAATATGGGCCCGGTATCGCGTTACAAAGTCTCCTGGTTGGGATGATGCCGCCATGATAGCCACACTGATGCTGTTTACGGTTTACTGCGCGCTCATTCTCGCCATGAACTTTCGCGTGAAAAGCGTCAAGCTTTGGTCCCAAACCAGTATCCGCACAACTCTGATCGTACGTCACTGCTTGATTACTGATGTTACCGTACCCTCTGTTCAACAGGCTAATCAGTAGATAGCTGGTCCAACTTTCGGAAGTCTTCTATCTTCTTACAACAACCTTCCTGAAAGTCTCTCTTGGTCTTTTCTTCCTGCGAGTCTTGACCAAAAAATGGCAAAAGCATGTCTTCCACACCGTTCTTACAATTGGTGTGCTTTACGGCTTCTTTTACTTCTTCATTGTTCTCTTCCAATGCGGCGACCCTAGACGTATTGCCGACGGTTTTATTCAAAAGACGTCGGATAAGTGCCTGCCTCAAGCACTTCGCATGAGCACTGGATACATCTACGGCATCATCAACGTCTTGGCAGACTGGACATTCGTCTTGATCCCTATCTCGGTCTTGATGGACAGTGATTTGGATCGCCGGAGTAAGATGAGTGTTGGCATAGTCATGGCCTTGGGAGCTGTTGGTAGTGTAAGCTCGATAATGAGACTGGTGTATCTGGATGGCTTAGACATGAGCACGATGGAATCGTTGAACGGTACGTTTTTTCCTTCCTTCATGAGGTGCATGTTTAAAGAATGGTACTGATGTGCAAACAGCGCAAGCGGTCAAGGCGACCATTTGGGCGACTGCAGAGCCTGGGACTGGAATCATCGCAGCTTCCATTGCCATCCTACGCCCTCTGTTCCGGCAGATATTCAACGATGTCCGCAAATCAGCATCATCCATTTCCAACCCTCGCAAGGTGAAGCCTTCGGACGACGAGATTGCACTGAGGGGTCCTGAGACTGTAATGCCGAATGTGGACAGCAAGCCACTGAACGTAGAGACTAAGAGGATGAGCATGGACAGCACCCATAGTGAGGACGTCCAATCACCATGGAGCCCGATCATTGTGTCGACGGCGGGTGTGCCGCACATGATTATTGTAAAGGGAAAAACAACGCCAGCATCATGGCCAAAGGCGGGATGAGATGGTGTGTTTACAGGAGGACAATGAGTGAATACGTGCAATGCGATGAGAATGCAAACTTGAAATAAAACCGCATAGGACATTAGCCTTTTAACATGAGTTTTCGATGCATGTGTTTGTAATGTATAATCAGTCACACTAATATGGTCATGTTTGGCGCCGTGTGACTCTAAGTCTTGTGTGGTGAGAGCGATAGGGGGTGTTGGGTTGGGATGTGCTCACGTGACTCGGCCATTGTCAAGCAGCGTCTTGAGTGAAATTCGAAACAGAGTTCTCTCGTCGCCATAGCCGTCTCAAAGCACAGTGACTGCATACTGGGTGTAAATACTGAAGAGCGTGTCGATGGCAGCCAAGGGACTACTAAGAGGCCATTGCATCACCCAAAGCCACGGTCCAATGAGATGACGTAGCGGAAGAGGCAGACTCGGCAGAGCGGCCCAGGAACAGCGGCGGGATATGGGCGAAGTCTTGAGGCTTGGAATTGGGGTATCCCCAGCACATTCACCATGGCATAGCCACCTACCCATCCGCGCCATGTGTCCCTCGCAGCAAGAGACGACATGTGGACACCGATGCTGCACCGATCCCGAGTCTCTGCAAGGCCTCGGGCTGTTTGCCTGTATGCGCACGCCTGCAGGTTCCCCCCATCCGCATACCACGCCCTCGTCTCGTCATGCATGGTGCCGCTCGCCCGCCAGCACCGCAGCTTCCATGATTACTTCATAACCCATATCCCCTCGAGCTCCCTGTCGCCCGACTCGCGAACCCAGCCCGCGCTCCACCACCGACTCCCCCGTGACAAGAGCACGCCCTACAATGCCGACCAGACCAACCGCTCGCCCGCTGCCGTCGTGGGCCCGCCGTCGCGAGACATGACGGTCGTGCGCATACCGTTGAAGAGTGCCAAACATCACTTTGGCGTGTCATTGTCCCGAGGGACACGGCCATACAATGAGGATGCATTCCAAGCCGGCACCATCGACCTCCCCGCATTCGCGAAGCGGCGGCCCATTTCCCTGACCAGAAAGGGGCAGGGTGGAGGCGATGGCCAAGTTACACCAGAAGTAGGCGCAAGTGGTGATCCTCAGGTCTTCTACTTTGGTGTCTTTGACGGGCATGGCGGTGCCGAATGCTCAGGGTTCCTCAGGGAGCAGCTGCACGACTACCTGGAAAAGGCGACACAGAAATTTGAGCTTAAAAGCAGTCTCCTGCGGGACAGAGGCGAGGTACACGCAGGCAGCCCGAAAGCAAAGGGCCAAGCTACGTCTGGAGATCAAAGACAGAGGGACAAGGAGAGCCTGGAGGCCATTGAGACTCACACGCCGCCCGGGACGCAAGCTATGAAGCCACCACAGCCCGGTACCAAGGACCAGCTACCAACAGCGGGGTCCAAATCGACTGAGGGTGTCATGGCTGGCGTGCCGCCGGTCAAGCAATCGGACAGCATACGCAAGGCAGAGGAGCTGGAACGACAGCTAGTCAAGCAGTGGAAAGAGCTGGTTGGCGGATACTTTCGACGCTTCAGACCAGAGCACTTTTCCATGTCGGCAGGTGGACAGGGCCATGCTGCTGAAAAGGAAGTGGTGGCGAGGAGCCAGAGAAGCTCGTCGGGCATATCAGACAGCGTTGAAGAGGGCATTGGGATTGAGACTGTGCTCGAGTATGCCTTCCTCAAGGCTGACTATGATTTTGTTGCGGCACAGGTGGGCAAAAAAGAGGAGGATGTTGTTCGAGCGGACAAGGCGCTGAACGACGATGACATTCTTGGTCAGCCATCGCGCACCACGAGCAGACACATTGGAGGAGAAAACCGATTCAAAGGCGGCAGCACATGCAGTGTGGCACTCATTTCTACACCGACAGCATCGCCGTTCTGGCACCCATCATCGCCATCATCGCTCATCACAGCGCACGTGGGAGACACGCGGATACTTTTGTGCAACACGGCGACTGGACTAGCTGTGCCGTTGACGTCAAACCACCATCCGTCGCTGCCAGAAGAAGCCACTCGACTCCGACGGTTTGCCGCGTCGTTTGTAACAGACTCGTTCGGGGAAGAACGCATGTCTGGGCTGGCGAACACGCGGTCGTTTGGCGACATGGCGTCGAAGCGGGTTGGAGTGTCTGCAGAGCCAGAAATACGGCGGATCGAACTCTCACCGGCTGAATATTCATTTCTAGTTCTGTGCTCAGATGGAGTGTCAGGGCATCTTTCAGACCAAGAGATTGTAGACATTGTCAAGGAGGCAAAGACGCCGGAGCAGGCAGCGCGGGACATGGTTAGCTTTGCTGTGGAGACGTCGACGGGCAGCGAAGGAGCGGACAATGCGACGGGGCTAGTGGTGCGACTGGGAGGATGGGAGCGACGGGGGGAGGGAGGACTAGGCAGTTTGGGCACCAAGGAGATGCGGGACTGGAGGAGGCAGGAAGCAGAGAACCCAAGAGCTATGGGACGGATGTAGAAGCATCTTATTTTCTTCTTCTTGCCTGGGGTGGAGGGCAGGGTGCATTATCAGGCGCGTTTTCTTCTTCTTCTTCTTCTTCTTCTTCGTCTTCTTTTTTGCTTTGTAGCAGAGTAGACGATGGTGTTGCAGCTGTAGAAGGTCGATAGACATCACGTGCACTTCTCCGTTCTCCCTCTCCTACCCATCTTGCCTCGGTGTCCGGTGGTAGGGCTCCACTATGACGAGGGCATGTCTTCGGTAGTACATGTACGGTAGGTAGCAATATTGGGTATGTGTGTACTACTTAGCATGTACTACAGGTACGGGGAAACGGAAACGGCCGGAAGACATGGGCGAGTACTATTCGTCATGGTGATGATGTGCGGTGAGCAGCCCAATCGCCTCGTCATGGCTTCGCTATGGACACATGGAATTGCTTGGCATGCTCGCTCTGGTCGATGTACTATGTATGTACGCACAGGCAGAGCAGGTTTCTTGTTCCGAGTGGAGAGGGCATGTATGTATGCAGTAGTATCGATATGTAGATACATGTGTGGTGTGTGTTCCCGGGGAGGGGCAGCATCCTCTTGGTGCGCCGTGTCCAAGCAAGAAGATAGACATGGACCAGTACCCAGTACCCAGTACCCAGTACCCAGTACCCAGTACCCAGTACCACGACTCTACATACACAGTAGACACATAGCACCACGCACGTATCCAGACAGGGCTGCAGGCGGGAGGGCGAGCGTCGGGCGCGCGGGGGGAGTTGCAAGCACGATGCGCAAGCGAGCCAATGCGCCGTTGCCAGGCGGGCGCTGCTGCCCTCGACAACTGCGCGCGCTGTCTGTGTGTCTGTCGTCGTCGACGGTGCCTGGGCGAGACAGAACTACACCTTCGCCCGCCTTCCATACTTTCCCATACCCACACCCACACCCACACAAATCCCCACTCACACCCTTTGTCTCTGCCTGCCTGTTTGTTCGCCCTAGTCCCCTCCCCTTGTTCTCCAAACCTCCCTTACCTATCCACGCACACACGCACACACGCACACACACACACACTCTTACTCTCCCAAGAGCCATCCCGGTAGTGGGGCAGAAAGACCCTTGACAAGGAAAACAACACGTGAACTAGGCTTGTCTACGCTCGACCTTCGTTCGCTGCAAATTCCCTCCCTACGACAAACCTGTCCACCGCACCTTTTTCTGCCTTTACATTCCCTCCCTCTTCCTCTCTCTCTCTCTCTCTTCCTTGCACACACACACGCTCTCTGTGCCCCTCTTTGCCGCTCCTCCCTTCTGCCTATTCCGCCCCAGCGGCCTTTTAATCTCTTCGCCCACTAGATACCCCTCTTCGAGCCCGCCAAACGCTTCCCTTCACCCATTATGGATATCAATCAGGTGTTGGAGGGAACCTACGCTGCCGGTACGCCGCCCTCACCTCCTCGCCCGATGCTGCTTTTTGCTTTTTGCTTGCCCAAGGGCTTCTCCTCAGCTGACGCCCCCGTGCAGATGCCAGTATTCGTAACAGCGCAGAGCAGCAGCTTCAACAGGCTGCCGACTCTAACTTTGTAAGTCGCCCCAACCACAAGGCTGCACACCCGCCTTCTACCATATGCACGCACTAACCGCATCGCCTCGCTCCAGCCTCAATATCTCACTGTCCTCGGTGGCGAACTCGCAAATGAACAGGCCGCACCGCAAATTCGGCAGGCCGCCGCGCTGGCCCTGAAGAACGCTTTCACCGCCCGCGAATACGCCCGGTTACGTCAGGTCCAGGAGCGATGGCTCGGCCTCGACCCTCAGATCAAACAGCAGGTCAAGGCCATGGCCCTCGGCACACTTGCTACCCCCAACAAGGGCGTAGGCTCGGCTGCTGCGCAATTTATTGCCTCTGTCGCCGCTATTGAGATACCCCGCAATCAGTGGCCGGAGCTCATGACCACACTTGTCGAGAATGTCGGCCAAGGCACAGACAGCCAAAAGCAATCTTCTCTCACTACAATTGGTTTCGTGTGTGATACAGACGATGTGGAGCTGCGGGATGCCCTGGCACACCACTCCAATGCCATCCTGACTGCCGTTGTCCAGGGTGCCCGCAAGGAGGAGACCAACAATGACGTCCGTGTAGCAGCCATCAATGCCCTTAGCGACTCGATTGAGTTTGTCCGCTCCAACTTTGACAATGAGGGCGAGCGCAACTACATCATGCAGGTCATCTGCGAGGCCACGCAGGCCGAAGACATGCGCATTCAGCAAGGTTCATACGGATGCTTGAACCGCATAATGGGTCTCTACTATGACAAGATGCGCTTCTACATGGAGAAGGCGCTCTTTGGTCTCACAATCCAGGGCATGAAGAGCGACGAGGAGGATGTCGCCAAGTTGGCAGTAGAATTCTGGTGCACCGTCTGCGAGGAGGAAATCGCCATCGAAGACGACAACACACAAGCACAGGCAGAGGGTTCCACTGAGCTGCGAGAATACTTCAACTTTGCACGTGTCGCTACTCAGGAAGTTGTCCCAGTGCTGTTAGAGCTCATGGCCAAGCAAGACGAAGATGCCGACGACAATGAGTACAACACATCGCGTGCTGCATACCAATGTCTGCAGCTCTGGGCTCAGTGTGTCGGAAGCGGCGTCATGCCCCCAGTCCTGGCTTTTATCGAAAAGTATATTCGCTCAGAAGATTGGCATTACAGGGATGCGTCGGTTTCTGCCTTTGGTGCCATTATGGAGGGACCCGAGGAATCGGTTCTGGATCCTATTGTGAAGCAGGCCCTTCCAACTCTGATTGGAATGATGGACGACCAGAATATCCACGTCAAGGACTCTGCTGCCTATGCACTGGGCCGCATTTGCGAAGCTGTTCCAAGCGCACTCGACGCACAGCAGCACCTCCCACCACTCATTGGCGCTCTCTTCAACGGGCTCGCCAGTAACCCCAAGATGGCCGCATCTTGCTGCTGGTCTCTAATGAACCTGGCCGATAGATTCGCCGGGGAACCAGGATGCCAAAGCAACCCTCTGTCGCCTCACTTTGCACAGAGTGTCCAGAGCCTCTTGCAGGTCACCGAGCGAGCCGATGCCGACAACACGCTACGCACTGCTGCTTACGAAGTTCTCAACTCTTTTGTAAACAATGCTGCTGGTGATAGTGTTCCACTTGTCAACGAGCTCTCGAACGTCATTCTCGAACGCCTGGACAAGTCCATGACGCTCCAGACTCAGGTTGTTAATGTTGAGGACAAGCTAACTCTTGAAGAAATGCAGACCAGTCTTTCCAGTGTCATCATGACCATCATTCAGCGACTCGAGGGCGACATTAGGCCTCAGTCTGACCGTATCATGCAGGCCTTGTTGAGCTTATTGGCATCGCTGCCTCCCAAGTCCAGTGTTCCAGACACTGTATTTGCAGCCATTGGATCCATTGCGACCGCACTCGAGGAGGACTTCCAAAAGTACATGGAGGCATTCTCGCCTTTCCTGTACAACGCCTTGAACAACCAGGAGGAACCTGCTCTCTGCTCTATGGCCATTGGTCTGGTTTCTGACATTACTCGATCCCTGGGAGAACAGGTTCAACCTTACTGTGATGCATTCATGAACTCTCTTCTCAACAACCTCCGAAGCCCCGCTCTAGGCAACCAGCTTAAGCCTGCGATCCTGCAGTGCTTTGGTGATATTGCACACGCCATCCACGGTGCCTTTGAGACATACCTCCCCGTAGTTGCGCAGGTTCTTCAACAAGCCGGCCAAGTGACTATCACAACCGAGGGCAACTATGAGATGATTGATTACATCACCTCTCTCCGCGAGGGCATCATGGACGCATGGGATGGATGCATTGTTGCAATGAAGAGCAGCAACAAGACTCAGCTCATTGTTCCCTACATGGACTCAATCTTTGATCTTCTGCGAACCATCCAGCAGGATAGCAACCGCACCGAGGCGCTTCTCCGATCTTCATGCGGTGTCATTGGGTAAGTATTAGAGGCAGATTTATAAAAAGTAAGATTACTAACGTTTGTCAGTGACCTTGCCGATGCATTCCCTGCAGGCGACTTTAGGGAGTACTTCCGTCACGACTTCCTCACTGCTTTGGCAAGGGAGACTCGCGCAAATGCAGACTTCAGCGGCCGTACCCGCGACACTGCGCGATGGGCTCGTGAGCAGATCAAGCGCCAAGTTGGTATGTCGCTTTCGAACAATCCCTATCTCCGTCCTGCTAGTCTCTACTAGAGTCGGCATGTCACCCCAGTATCTATTATCCAGCCCACTAACACCATCTTCCTCCAGGCGGCAACCAAGGTGTTATGGCCTGAGCGTCTTGACACCCCTTCCCCCTTCCCAGCGCCGTAGGGTTGGGCTATGTATTGGCCGTGATGTTAGATAGCCTCCATTGAGGCAGTATCTGACGCGTGGCTGAAACATGGATTCTAGTTCCCTCCAGCGTTGCGCAGCACGTTGGCGATCGAACCATATTTGCGTGCACAGAACCGCAATTCTGCACGATCGGTTTTCCGTGGGCAAAATTACCCCCACGTGGTTCTGGATGAATTGCCGATGCCCCTGGTTGTTTCCAAAGGTGGAAATGGAAATGGAAGGAGGTCTCGCGTCGACCCCACGACGTATGTTGCAGGAACGCAAGCGCTTGAGTAGCCACGGCATGTGGAGACGACCGTTAGCCAGAGCATGACTAGCATGATACGGATGGACGATTACATCAACGACTCCGGCAGCTCACGACAACGACAATGACGAATTGAGGAACGAGCGTCGATGAGAGTACATCACTTCCCCCTTGCACACCGGCCCACCACACCATTCCCCAACACCGCGGCACACCTGACCCCCCAGCCCCATGCGCAAGTCCCCAGCCCGAATCGCATAGCCCGAATTCTCCAACACCATCATGTAGCACCAAAAGTCTTGTAAGGCAGAAGAGCGTTTTAGCTTCTTCTTTGCCAGGAGAAAGAATAGATTATTCGTCCTCTGTGTTTTTTTATATTTAATCGTCTGTCGACCCCGATTCATGTTTTTCCACCTTGCACTATCCCATGATGGCGTTTTTACACGAGAATGGTTTGTGTGTAAGTATGAAACAAAGCGGGAGGAGAGATTGTTTTTTTTTCTATAGTTGTAATGATAGACGTGGATATTTGTGTGGTGATCTTGTCTTGTGGTGTGATGTGAGTTATGTGTCTGTATGGTAAGTTATGAAGAATGATGTACTGTGATGTATATTTTGTATTCTTTTGTCAATTGTATTTCTGTGACTTGTATATTTATATGAGAATAATGCAGTGCAAATTATGATTGCGGTTTAGTAAGATATGGTTTTTCTTTTCTTCATTAATTTTTCATTCTAGTCTTCCATGACTTGGAATTTTTTTGATTCTTTTTTTTCTTTTCAAAAATGCCATGGCAAAGAAGGAGGAGGAGGAGAAACAAGTGAGTGCAGTATTGCAAACATGGGGGAGTCGCAAAAAGGGTAAAGATGAACCCAAGTTGGCTCCAGAAAACACAAAGTTACACATGTTCATTCATTCATTTACTTCATAATTTCCTCCAACCCCCCCCCCTTTCCCTCCCTCCAGACCCAACAAGGTCTTACAACTCCTTCTTCAAAAAGTGCTCGGGCCGATGATCAGTCTCATAATCGACATGGACATATGCCCGCTCCACATCGGGCAGGCTCTCAAGCTTAATCTGGAGTTCCTCGGCGACATCGTGGGTAGCGCGGAGGGTGTCGTCGGGGTTCATGACGATGTCTACTTCGACGATGAGGCGGGGGCCGGAGTGGTAGGCGCGGACAGTGTCGATTTGGAGGATGTTGGGGGAGTGTGTCATGGCTATCACTTATCAGCTTTTCTATATTCCCCAAGCATCTTTTCTTTTTTTTGAAGAGTGAGTGAAGGAGGGGAACCTACAAATATACGTAATATGCTGCAACATGCTCGTATCTGCCGTCACCCCAATGAGGAGCTGGAACTCGGAATACGCGGTCCTACTCCAGAGGAAAATAATCAAGACGGAGAGAATCATGGCGCCCATGGGATCGATCCACCATTTGAGTTTGGAACCACCAACGCTGGTGAGCACACCGAAGCCATTGATGAAGAGATCGTTGCGGTGGTCCTCCCACAAGATACGGACTTGACTGTACTTGTTGCGCAGCGCCCAGCAGTACAGGAAAAGACTGAATTTCGTAGCAAAGGCAATGGCGACGGCGATGACAGAGGGGAGGTAAAAATCGTTGGTTTCAGGTCCTGAATGCTCGGCGACGGTGCGAATGGATTCGACGATGATGACGACGGAGACGGTGATCATCAAGGCGCAGAAACAGAGGTTGCCAGCCGTTTCGATGCGGGCTTTTCCAGAGGGAAACTTCCGCGCGTCGACGCGAGCCACGGCGCGGTTGCAGAGGATTAGGGTGAGGTTGGACAAGGGGTCGAAGAGGGAGTCTGCCATTGTGGTGAAGAGGGAGAGGGATTGCGAGGAGATTGCTGCGTAGAGCTGGAGGACGGCGAGGATGATGTTTGCGGCGAAAGAGCCGATGACTGCGATTTTGTACTTGAGGTGGTTTGCATCGCCTTCTTCTTTGGCAGCGCGCCGGTGGTCGTCGACGGGTTTGAGGAGGCGCTCGATGTTTTCGTTTTGGGCAGAGTAGAATTCCTCGAGTTTCTTCGCGGAGCGCGATTTCGCGTTCAGGCTGATGGGGCCGCAGCCATCGCGCTTGCGAGACGTGTTGGCGCGGATCAGGGCGAGCTCGGATTCGGGCTTGATGGCGGCCGCCAGCCTGTACGGATCTGTGTCCGGCGTGTAGGCGGGCGGCGACTGCGATTCTACGTCGGCGGCACCGGCTGATGAGGCGGGGACATGGCGGGCATGATGGTCGGTGGACGTGGATGGCGAACGGTCAATTGCTGTGCTGCTGGCGCCTGTCTTGCCTCGGGTTGCACCGTCGCCGTGCGAGGAGCTGCCGACCGGAGTAAGATGAATGTGTGGGCTAGATGTACGTTCTATGCGGTCTGGATGAGTGTGGAACGGATGTGGTTTCATGGATATGGCACGGTGGAGATCGGGTTCCGACATTATTGCAGTGACGTAGCCTTATGCCGTAGCGTTATGCCGTATCGCAATGGGAGAAGTGTGAACGCGAGAGAGAGGACAAGAGTAGGTCTGGCTGTCAGCACGCCTATCTCTATTTACTAGTACAAATCATCATCGTCAACTGCCGTCGCCCTGCACGGCAGGGCAGCGTTCAGATTGGTCCGGTGGTGGCCAAGCTGCTAGGCTAAGATCGACGGCGTAAGGGCCAGGCTTGGGTCTTGGATATGGTGCACGTGGGGAAGATTGGTGGTGGAGAGAGGTGCTGCCATCCATTGCCTATGCTATACACGGTGAGTTTGCACGAGACCACAGTCTTGTGCAATGAAAGAAAAGACTTGTCACTACTACTGCGAAGTAACATGTTGGTAAGACGCTTGATGAAAGACTTTGTCAATCATCTGTCAACCCCCACCCTGTTCCCATGGCTTGTCATGACGCCGTGTCACTCCGCATCTTATCGATAACAAGCACCCGCTGGGCTCCGCACACCACTTGTAGCACAAAAACACCCGAGGCCAAGATGCGGACAAGATGCCAAGCGTGACTGTTCATGCATATTTGCCCAGGATAATGCCACTTCGCTTCATGTCCACTACTATCTGCCTCTAAGCCACGTGTTCGCTGTGACGTGCCTATATCTCTAGTCACCTATATCCCCCCCCTATCCGCTCAAACCTCACCTCCGCTTCATGCCAATTTAGCTTCAACCAGTATTTCCGGGTATCAAGATGCAAACAAGCCGCTCTCATCTCTAACGAAATAGCCCAACGTGCGTAAGACAAGAAATAATAACAAGAAAGGAATAAGAAGAAGAGGAAGAAGAAGAAGAAGCTGAATCGTACATGCTTACCGCCGAAAACGGTGATGAAAGGATCATAAAAGTGGTTTGTAACATAAGTTGCATGATAAATTGGGGGAATCGAGAAGAAGAGGATAAAAGAGAAAAGAAGATGCATCCATGCAAATACGGTATGAAGAAGAGAAATGATGTGAAAAAACAACAACAACGCTGTCATAAAACGTGAAGAAAAGAAGCCGAAAAGCGTGAATCAAAGTGACAAAGGAAAAGAAAAGACAACCCCAAACCATGTATACTCTCACCACTTATCAACTACTGCACCCCGTCAACCCATCTGCCCGACTCTGATACGTACACCTCTTTGGATGCACCACCCTCATCTCTTTTCCCCTTCGTCCTCCCTTAACCCCTGGGAAATGCGGAATATTCCGCCCTTGCGGTAATTTGTCCTCGTAGTAATCAAAACGTAAGAAACAAAAAAACTGATGCTTGTTGCTTACGCGTAATATCTTATCCCCTCACTTACGTCGGTAAGAAAAAGAAATATCACGGGGTACCCCGGGTCGGAGAAGGCTCCGAGACGAGAGGAAAAAGAAAAGGGTCAAATGGAAAGTGGCGAGGGGTACACAGAGTATGTGGTGCAAAGACTCCCCAATTGGGCCGTGGGATTCTGCCATGGGGCTGGACTGTCTCAGCCTTTTCTTTTCCGGACATGGAATGGCAACCTAAGTGTTCAATGTAATACACCTTTGTCGGATATGTGCCTTTTTGGCCTTGATATCCGTTTTTGAAGGGATGATCAAACGATCTGGTTAGCTGTGGATGGGTGTTGTTGTACTTTCTTCAATGGGACAAGTCCGGGTTTCCATTCATCCAGCATGGAGCGCCGGGCCCAGACTCTTGCACGGCGTGTGCATAGTCGTATTCGTTGCTGAGTCCAAAAGGTGGGTCGAGTAGGTCAGGAATGTTGGTATCCCACATCATGTCATCCCAGAAGTTGTTGAGGATAGTAGGGTCGTTCCTGGGTGCGGCCCAGGTTGGGGTGGCGGGGTTGTAATGGGCAAATGTGGCGGCGTGTTGTGCGTAGGTGGCGGCGGCATCCGTATTGAGCATTGCAGGCGCTTGTGTTCCTGGGACTGTAAATTGGGCATGCATCTGCTGGTGGTGGGTCTGCTGCTGCGGATACATGATCGGTGATACGACGGTCTGGGGCTGGTGGGATACTGTGGAAGCGTGGGTTTTGTATGCGGCATATAGTCGTGTGACAACATCGTAACTTCGCTTGGCAGTAATGCTCCAGTCCTTGGCCTGTCCGAAAAAGGCCAGTGCTGTCTCGATGCTGGCTTTCCACTTTTCCGTTTCGTCGGGCATGCTTGCGTCACTAAAGAGTGACACCAGTGGAACCATGCAAGCCTGGAAGCAGAACCACACTGCGTTCCAACAAGATATCAGATCAGGCATGCATTCTTGACTCATATCTTCAATCGTCTGGCAGGCAATCTGCCGACACTTCCTGACGGCAACCCTCTCTTCTGTGCTTAGAGCAGCCCACGGTGCGCGTCGAAGTGCGGCAGCAAGCAGAAAGGGTCGGTGAAGGATGATGCGAATGTTTTGTAACCGCCATTTCATAACCAGTCGTACTCGACGCAGGAACTCGGGACATGGCTCACTGGTATTCGAAAGGATAGACGGCAAGTCATCGTTCCATTTGACCAACTGGGCGTCGTAAATAGCTGTCTCTGCAGAAGGTAGGATCGGGCATTCGACAAGACGGTCCTGTATTCTAGTAGCTATCTGGCAAAATGCAGAGGCATAGGTCAAAGGAAGGGCCTTTAGTTGTGAGATATACTGAGGGCTGCCGGGCGGCATGTTGTGTACCTGGCGGCAGATTAGTTACAGACATGGAATGCAGCAAGGGCTTTGGTACTTACAGAATTCTCGGCCGTCCCAGGTCTGAGGACGGTAATAGAAGGGCCCATCCTGCCCAGTGAAGGTCGACCTGTTGTAGTTGATGCCCATGAGTCGAGACAAAAGAGACTCCACCAGATGCGTCTTCTCATCTCAGGGGAAATGGAGTCTTTTTCGCCTGGCACTATGAACTGTCCGCTCGCATTACTTCTCTCCGAATACTCGCGGTGTAGTCCTAACGCAGTGGCCATGCGAAGTGTAGCGCCCATGAGTGAGTGTGCCTCATTGGGGCGGTTCAGGTAGTGCATGTAGTATCCGCCCATGATGGCCAATGCTTGCAATACTTCTAGATTGCCGCTCCCAAACGACTCCAGAGACAGGTGCCGTCGCGATCGACTAAAGTACACATAGTGTGCCTCGTTGTCTGCACCGGAAGAGGCAAGCGAACCCATTGCGAAGACCATGTTCAGTAGTGCCAGCCATGCTGAGTCCTTGCGGTTGCCATAGAGATAGATAGACCAGAACTTGCCCTCGTCAATCATTGGAAAGAAAGGATGTACACGATCAAAGTAGATTTCAATCAGCCCCTGGCCCTGTTCAAGAGACGGCAAGGCATCCGGATTGTTGTCTATCACCTCAGGCTTTGGGGAACCTGCACGGCTCGGGAGTGCCGTCTCCTGCCGGCTGTGTGAAATGAGCGACTTTGCCTGTGGAGCGCAGCGTATAATGACCTTCAGTGCCGCTGTGATTGAAGAGATGCCAACGTACGATGACAGCCGGTCCACTGACATGGAAAGACCGTTTACATCATCGGATATGCCCTGGACTCTGAGCTGGTGCTTGCGTGCCTCGTCCCAGTACGGATCTTCGGGAGGCGCCTGTTCAAGTGCCTCGAGACTCTCAGGGGCTTCAGACACTGTCCGGGCATCAGACAAGACCTGTGAGTCCGTTGCAGATGTGGTTGCTGCTGATGGTGATGTTGTTGAGTCTGTCGGTGCAGAGGAGAGAGCCAATTCGAGGAGCTCTTCACGCGGAAGATCAGTCAATGACTCGAGACTCTTTACTCCATAGAGTTTGGTGAGAATACTCTTGTACTGTTCAATGTTGTTGGAAAGCTTGTCGAGCAGTCTTTGTCACCTTGATCAGTACAACATGTCGAAAAACAAAAGGGTTCGTGTGGTACACTGCTACTTACTTTCTGCTGGGTACGACTCGTTGGGCCGGTTTTGAGTAGCCGCATGCTTCTGGGTGCTGGTACCACTGGCACTGACCACACGGCTGCAGACCATCACAACGGATCTTGCGTCTTCTGCATTCGACGCAGGCGTTGCTGGTAGAAATGCGGCGTGAACCCGGGTGTCGTGATGGTTTTCCCGGGCTGTCACTATCTCCACCAGGCAGGCGCACGCCGACAGAGGACTGAAAGGTGTGAAACATGATGCGATAGTTTCGGTGGCACCCGGGTAGATGGTGCGATGCACGACGGCAGACAAGGGAGGGAGGGAACGAGGTGCAGCGCAGAGTGTCTGCACGGCAAGTGATTGCGGACCCAGGAGGCAGGTCGAGGCGTAGGTACAGTCAAATAGAGGTGGCGTGGGCGGTAGACGACCAGATACAACAGGCCAAGAAGATGGTATGAGGGATGTACCAGTGGTAGGCCGAGATGCAATATAGCTTGAGTGGGACTAGGGATGGCGTTGAGACCGGGATGGTTGATATATCAGAGACGATAGGAATGGGAGGGGGGACAAGCGGACAGCCTCGCACAAGGCATGCCACGGGCAGGCTTCAGCAAAATTGGGTGGAGGCAAATGGGTCAAGGGCGGTTTGGCATCTGGCAGCTCAGGCGGGTGCCGTCATGATGCTTGGGGCGGCGCGTCGAGGTGGTGTACTTTGCGGCAGCTAGCGGATCGCATAGTAAGGCCGGAGTGATAATGAAAGAGACGAGCCAAAGCGGTCCACGAGCGAGGGTATAGTCCCCGCATTATAGCCCTTGAACCCTCCCTCCCCGCCCCCTGGTGGCCCATATGCAGCAGGGTTCGCAGGTGGAGGAGAAAAAAAAACAGGCGAACGTTGGACACGGGCGGACGGGAACGATTGCGTCTGCGCAGCCAAGCGAGATTGGAGATGGGATGGGACGCGCCGCCGGCCGCCCCCCCCCCCCCCAGGCCTTCTCGAAGGCCTCCAGAAGCGCTGCGACGACGATGAACGCATGCACCCAGCTGCGCTCCATTGCCGGCTTCATCTTTTTTTTTCTTTGCCTCTGCTACCTTACACAGTAGACCTGTCCGTCAGAATGCGCCGGCGGCACTACTGCACGTCGTTTCAGCAAGATGCGGCTCATCCTTCCCGCCACGATGAGGCAGACGGCTCCCTCGATCGCACAACCAACAGTTGGGCCTGGCCGTATGGTAAATATGGTAATGCGCCCTCGTATTCGTGAGGCCGGACAGCGGGCCTATTCCTGATGATCGTGAACCTAAATCCAAACCTAGTCGTAAATGCTCATACACATACTCTTCCTCATACACCCGCTCCCTCGGGATAGCAGCAGCCGATCCGTGAGTGAATGCACGCTGCACGCTGCACGCTCCCCTCGCCCCCCTTCCCCCTTGCGATCCAGCGACTCCCCAGCCCACTAGGTGTACCGCCGCCTTCTTGCTGACAGACTACTGACTACACATCCATGCTACTACCATGTGCGTACTTCCTTACGTACCAGTACCAGTACCAGTACCAGGGCTACCAGGGCTACCAGGGCTTACCATCCTACGCCCGGGTCAACAGCACGCCTGGGCCGACCAAGACACCGTCCGCCGTTCGCCGCACCAAATGCCCCTCCCTGTACGCGGCATGCGGCTGCCCACACATGCACTTGCCAGACCCTCTCCCCCCTCTGAACAACAGCATGCCGACCAATGCCGAGCTGACCGTTTAATTACCCTTGGACCTTGAGACACCTCATATGGAACGCTTGGCCAGCCTTAACACAAACTACACGCCCTATACTAGCCTCACATATACCCGCCAGTTGTAACTCTACTCGACCAAAGCTTGTATGCCGCCTCAAATCGTCTTCAATCTCTCATATTTGCATATGCCCCTCTCCCCCTTGCATATAACACTTTGTGCTTCTAGGCCTCTTTTGATCACGCATACACGACACATTATACACGAACGATCTGGTAAAATCCCACGGGACTTGGTTTTTTCATGGGTCACCCCCTCGGGTTCGCATCTTCAATATTAATCTTATCGACACACACGGGGCTGACCAGATCCTCTTACTTCTCACTCTTACTCTCACTAGCTGTCCGTCAAGTAGCCGCCTGTCCTCATGCGGGCTGGGTACCAATCTGATAGCTCTGCATAATCCCACCGTTCCTGCCCTCATCATCATCATTATCATCATCTCCCGATCATGCTAGCCCCGATGCGTATGCATATGCTGACCTTTAGTCTTTGCCCAGATATGTCCACCGTAACGGTTCATCCTGCCTACCTAGTCCCCTTACTTTGATGACCTGATCGTCACCAGGGACAATGTCTATGGCACTGTCGTGTATCAGGACGCCAGAGCGCTCCTCGAAAACTAGGCCCTTTGTCGGCTTCTGGGCTCTGACTACAATCGTCTCGCCCTGCGGTATTACCTCCACGCCTCGACTCTCAAAGTCTAGGTACTTGAGCGGCTGGGGCCAATCCACGTCGCGCGACACAATCTCCCCATTGACCCATATGCGTACGGCTAGGACATGCGGCTCCTCGTTCCGGTTGTCAATCGTGCCCGACAAGACGTCCGTCGTACCGTTCGGTACAAGCTTGATGTTCTTCTTGACCACCTTGTCCTTAATCTCCTTTCCACTCGTAATGCTAATATACCGCAACTCAACCATCGCCGTAACCTCTTCTAGCTTCTGGTTCGCGACCCAGACTTCAAAGTCGCTCGTGCTGGGCACTCTTGCGTGCACCACGCTCCAATCAAAGTGCACTCGCTTGACAGCAACGGCAATGGGCGCAAGCACCCTGCGCATTGCGTAATACGCCGGCTTCTTGCGTTGGAAGTAGTCCACAATCGACCACGAAGTGACTGGCCAGCAATCGTTGAGCTGCCAGACCAGCGCGCCGCCGCAGTGCCTATCTTGTCCCCATTGACGCCTCCAGCCTCGATAGCCAAACATTAGCGCTTCGGCCTGCGAGAGTTGTGTGAGATGGATAAAAGACTATTCGTTGTTAGCATTCATACAGCCTATATTGCGACCCCACTTGGTCATAGTTCTCGACCATGAACCAGGTAATCGTCGAACGCGGCGCATACCTCCAAATCCGTCTTGGTGCGGAAATTTTCCACTAGATACGTTGCTATTCGCCGCTCGTGGCCATCTGCCTTGTTGTGAAAGTCGAGCATGTGGCTCTGCGGGTAGAGTTGCGAAGGATCGGTGCAATAGTACTTGATCGTATCGATATGGGGAAACGCCTCCATACCAAACTCGCTATTGAAACGCCCGCCCAGGGTATCAAAAATTTGGTACTTTTCCTGCCTGCCATGCCACACTAGATACATGCATTATTAGTTTGTTGAACCTGGCGCAATATGGGCATCGTTACCGTTCCATTGATGCATGTCACCCACTGTGGGGTTGGATGTTTTGAGCCCGTCGCCCCATGGCGAGCCCGGATGATACGGTACATGCGGGCTCTCCGCGGCAACGACGTCAGGTAGCAGCTGGTCGCATGCCCGTTAGTATCAATGACTCGGGGTTTGCCAGCATGTCTGACGCACGCACCTTCTCGTAAATGTACCGTGCAGGGAAATCAGTCTTGAGCCAGCTCTCCGGGTCCTTGTCCTCGTAATCGTAGGTCAAGCCATATTGTTCTTGCACCTGATAGTCCTCGTTGTTACCAGCATAGATGATTATCGATGGGTGGTGTCGCAGTCGGGTGACGTTGGCCGTGCATTCTTCCTTGATTGATCGCAGAATGTCCGGAAAGGCGGGATAGTTGCCGCACCCAAACATGAAATCCTGCCACACCAAAACACCAATCTCGTCGCAGATGTCGTAAAAGATATTCTCCTCCCAGATGCCACCGCCCCATATGCGAATCATTACCTGATACCCATCTACCATCATCTCGAGCCATTTGCGGTACTTGTCTTCGCTCACTCTAGGGGTAAATGAGTCTGCAGGGATCCAGTCTGAGCCACCACAGAAGACATCGACGCCGTTGACTCTGAAGTAAAAGCTTTTTCCAATGGCATCGGACTGTTGGACAAGCTCGCCTCTTCGGAAACCTGTTCTACGTGATGCTTGATGCAGCTCTGCTCCATCTGCCAGGGCCGTTGCAGTGAAAGTGTAGAGAGGTTGCCCACCGTAGCCGTGGGGATACCACAGTTTCGGGCTATTGACATGGAAATCCACATTCGCCACGCCGTTGTTGATCTTTGTCGTCTCCCTAAACACATTTGTCTCTCCATCAAACACATTGAAGCAGACACTATCTGCCGAGGAACCTTCGATGACTGCCGATATCGTCCCCTGAACTGACTTCAGGCTGTCGTCGAGTTGATAGTCGATCCTCAAATCTTCGATTCTGGCTGCGTAGGTTTCCAATCGCACTTCACGCCACGGGCCACAGGTATTGAGAATTGGGCCCCAATCCCAACCCCAGTGGTACTGAGCTTTCCTTACGCCAAGCCTTGCCATGTCGCCATTGAACCCAACCCATTTGTGCTCCGGGTGGTTGTCCTTAATTTTGATGGCCTCGAGGCGAGCAGATGCAAAGTCGATTTCCAAGACGTTCTTGTCCGATCCGAGCTTCTGAGTAACGTCGATGCGGTGTGGGATAAACATGTTATTACTTTCAAGGATAGTTGCTCCATTAAGCTTAACGGTTGCAAAAGTGTCCAAGCCATCAAATGCTAGGGCATGCACAGTGCCTTGCGGTGCTTCAGGTACTTTGGGCAATTCAACCTTGTACTTCCACACCTTGTCTGCTACCCACTCAGCTTTGAGCTCATTGAAACCTAGAAACGGGTCTGGAATTCTGTATCTTGTAAGTCCTTTCCAAGCGATAGTATTCTTCTTTGCTTAGATCAAAGCATACTTATCATTGTCTATTAGGTCTAGATGGACATTCGTCGGTACCGACTTCACTGGCATCCAGCCATCTTCGGCATCGTCAGCCTGTTTGAAGGTCCAGCCCTTGACCAATCGGTGGGAGTTGAAAGTCTGATTCCTTGCCATGATGGCTACTTTCCGAGGTGGCCAACCCGTTGGTGAACCTCAATCGTTACCGGAACTGCAGATGAGCGGAATGAGTGATGGAGCAGCGACGCACTGTCCTTTTGAAAAACAACGAAGGGTTTCTTCAGCATATATAACAGATGGTGGACTTTGCCGGAGTACGACATGCCGCGCGGAGACACATTGAGCAGTGCATGACACCGAGCGGTGGTCCGGATTAGGCGTGCGGAGGTGGTGCTCCGGTGCCAAACCAGTTAGGCAGGCGCGTCTAGTGGGCCGGCCTGTTGGAAAATATGGCGCTAGGCCGGCGTTGTCACCCGTCCACAGGCCACGCGGTACAGATGCAGAATGCGAAATCCAAGACGAGATCGGCGTGGACTGTTCCGTGTCATACATAGTCATATGGGGGGTGTTGGATCGGTTAGCGACTGTAATGCGAGCGTTCTAGGTGGGCATAGCCCACGCAGCATGGAATAATTATTTTGCGTCAAGTATCGCACTCTCGCTCTTGGAGACCGAACATGAATCTTCCTCCAAGGACTTGATTGGTACGATTTGGAGAGAACAGTAAAGGGGTATGCATTAGGCTACCACTATCATAGACGTAGCCCTCCGTTTGTATGAGCAAAAGGACCGAAGCGTAACATTGAAAGTTTATCTTGAGTAACAATCCGGTATGAAGGTTGTGTGTAAGATGCACTTCATTTTCCTCATATGGATACTCCACGGAGATACTAAGTACATAAGGGAAAGTGGCCCTTTCACAAGAAGCAGGGAAACCACTGGTATTGATGAATGATGAAGAGGAAAGAATTGATTCGCGACGTAGGGTATACAACTATCCAAGCACAGAACAGTACCAGCCGTATTGGGCGTTTCCCAAACCCACAGATGGTCAACCGTAGCAGTTTCTTGCTACAAAAATTGAGCACCTATAACGGTGGTTGTGGTGATGACAGCGGCTGCCAGCATAGCCCAATCTAGCCGATACGCTGCCAAAGCAGCGCTCCTACGGACCTTGTTATTCCGAGTGCCCATTAGGCTTATGGTAGCTTGCTTGTCGACTCTTCCCTGCTGTGCCAATTGCTGCACCTCATCTTTTTTTGTCATGAGAATTGTCGTGGAGCGACCGCCGGGACAAAAGACGACTTCAAACCCAGCACCGGATGGAATGATAAAAGTCGAACTTTCGTCGTCAAAAGCTAAAGCAGAATGTTAGCGATGTTTCTTTTGTACAATATGTTTGAAACACACCATAACTGTAGGCATCTGGGCACACTTTTTTGACGTTTTTGGAGTACAGACTCGGTGAGCACGAGCTAGGGGAGCCGTGTTTTCCAGTACAACAGTCCTCGGGTCGATTGTTCTTTGCACAGGCGGAATAGCAAGGATTGAACTGAGGTCTTTTGATGTTGTCGTCTGGGTAGGGATAGACGCCGTCGCCAGGCTTTTCCGGAGGGGTTTGTTGCAAGTCCCAGGGACACCACCTGGAAATTCTATTTCCATCCACGTCCTGGTCGAATGGAAGTGGAAACGAAGAGTTTGTGCTGAGGAAATTCGGATTTTCCGAATACGGATCATAACCTTGCGGAGCAAGAAGGCCGTCTGTACCCTGGCAGGATGGATTGGTCAGATTTGGGGGGAGCTCGTCTAGCGTGACATTTTCAAGTGGCTGGAGGACAATTGCCATTGGGAGGTTGTAGCCATCAACCAATGAAATGTCGTAGTAGGTGTGTCCGTCGCCAGCGTCCAATGTAAATTCAGCAAGCGAGACAGGAACATCGCCCTGTGTAGAGTCAGCAGAGGTTTGTTGCAAATCATAGCAATACCTACGCCAGTCTTGCAGTTGAGAGCACCCGCGCAGTCTCCGGTTGCACAAGCCCTCCCGCGCCCAGATGCTGCAGCCGAGCCGTCATCGTTGAATGAGCAATTGGTCCTCCCCCACAACCGGCCCTGCCAGTCTTCGGACACGGTCTGATTCTTGGTCTCTCCAGTTTTCAACTCGAACCCGTTCTCGCTTGGCCCTGTGCCAGATTGAGTCGAGATGCCCGGCCAGATACTCTCAGGGCAACGATTCGTGACGAGCAAGGGTGTAATATCCATTTTTCTTCGATTGGTTTTCAGTGGCGCCTTCATGGCCATGTGGTGTAACCCTTCTGCCAAAGGCAGTCCACCCAGTAGGAAGAATGCGGAGCATAGGCGAGCGATAGAAACGGGAATTATAGGCTGGGTGCCACCGTTTGAAAGGCTAGTAGTAGGCATGATGAGCTGTGATTGCGCATCCAGTGTGCGCAGTCACAGGACAGGTATTGGTGCTCAGAGAATGAGGTGTAGGGTACAAGATGCAAGGACCCGAGGACTCAGGTCAAAGGGACGATGTTGAGAAGACGGGGATGAGGTGAGAGGGTTCTTGAAAGCAAGGCTGGGGAAGTACGAGGGAGGCATTGTGGCGGGGCGATGCAGGACAAACAAGAAATACGTTGAAACCTTGGCTGATGCTGGTTGCTGGCTGCTGAATGCTGCCAGTGCGAGAGAGAAGTTGCAACTTGATAACGACCAGTGACGCCATAGGGTGTGCCTGCCCCTGGCCGCCAGGAATGCCGACAAGGATCCACCGAGGCTGACCAGCCCTTACCAGCCTATCGTGGCCGCCCACGCGAGCCCGTTTCAAACATTCGGTCCGGCTCGCTGTCAATACCTGGCATGTGGAGTAGAGGAAAGATGTGTGTACATGTGGAGATACGTAGAAGTGAAGTTTAAAAGGCTGACATGTCAGCCGTCGATGGTCATGTGCCAGCTTGGGTTTGGTCATACAGATAGTGAGGCCTAGTGCGCAGGTACTCTACGAACATGCCAAGATTCTACACACGTGACCTGCACAGATTGGGCAAAAAATACAAACTTGCAAAACCAAAAACATACGACAGCGGGGATTCGCCAGTGGTCACCCACCTGACTACTAATCTGCCGATAAACTGTTTATGTATGCCAGATCGGACGGGATGGCCAGCTGCCAAGTTTTCTGTGGTCGTATGTACCGGATCACTGAAAACGAACGAATTATATTGGCAAAAAATCAATGTTTGCGGACATGGACAAAGACTAAAGAAGGCTCACGTGATGCTATCGATATCCTTAACTCAGCTTAGCGCTTCCGCATAGGTAGAAAACAACATCTTTACCGCCTTTTCGTCCGGCATATAAACACACAATGTGTTAGCAGCAGTAATGAGTCTTTTCGTACCCAGTATGTAAAGGTGTGGGCGCAGAGTCAGTACGTTGCAATTATTCACAATAGTGATGTATTTGTGTAAAGGACAACCCATGGCGCCATTCTACAGTGAAAGGCTGTACCAAGCTGTCCCCAGCATGTACAAAGAGTATCTCATGGCTCGCATGGCTAACGGAGTGAACCTGCAGCTTGCGCAGTGAGTGCGCGAGTGCGAGGAGTGACAAGCCGGGTCATACTATGCAGGTGTAGTAGCCTGGCCGGCGAGCGTGCCAAGTTTGCCCGCGTAATGGGCAAATTCAAGTGCGGACAAAAAAGAAAAAAAATACTCCATCTAAACCCACAGCGGGAAACCCCCAGTAAAAGGAAATTACATCTCCTTTCCAACGACTGCGCTCTGGTGGTTGCTGTGCCATCTCGGAGGCGGACGGACGAGAAGGCCGGCGGTCTCGCCACCATTAGCTGCCGGTGGTCAGATCTGCAGGGCGAGTGATCTCTTGGCTCTCCTGACCAATTCACTGCCTAGACACATACATATGTAGTACTACATCCCCAAGTACACACTATACACGGTACACACCGCCCAGGCCTGGATACGATTTTTTCACGGCCCTGTTTGCTCTCCGACCCTATACATTCCTTCCTTACGCGTTGGTGTCTTGTGGGAACTTGGCTTCATCCACAGTACCGAGTCTCCTTTCCCCGCAGACCCTGCGTTATCTTCGCACGCACGTTGCCTCTCGAGTACACAAACTATATCCATCCGCGCATCCGCACCACATTCCTCCAACACGTCGCCCACCGCTCTACGGCCCTGAAGACACGGCTACCTGTCCTCGACCGCCACAATGCCTGGCCGCACCCTCCCGACCATTCCGACTGCTGAAGTGCGCGCCCACAACACCGACAAGTCGTGCTATGTTACAATTGGCACAAAAGTCTACGATGTCACAGACTTCCTCGATGGCCACCCTGGTGGTCCTGAGCTCATTCTCGAGTATGCAGGCAAGGACGTCGAGGCTATCTTGAAAGATGAAATCTCCCACGCACATTCCGACTCGGCATACGAGATTCTCGAGGAGAATCTCGTCGGCTTCATGGCTACCGAGTCGGTAATTAATGGTGCCGTGAAAAGCTCAAAGCCTGCCGACATCATCCCCTTGCCTCCTTCGCAAGCTGGCACACAGGAGCTCAAGGCCATGTCGCAGGATGGTAAACCGCTGTACGAGGCAACTGGAATGTCTTCTGAGGAAGACTTGTCAAAAGAGACGGACCCCAACAAAGACTACAAGGAGCATAAGTTTTTGGACCTCAACAAGCCACTTTTCATGCAAGTCTGGAATGGCGGATTCAACAAGCAATTCTATCTCGAGCAAGTCCACCGGCCGCGGCACTACAAAGGCGGCGATTCCGCCCCACTATTTGGCAACTTCCTCGAGCCCTTGAGCAAGACGCCCTGGTGGGTTGTTCCCACAATATGGTGGCCCTGTGTAGCGTACGGAACAGCAGTGGCTTATGGCGGGCTACGATCGGTGCCTGAACTGGCGGGCTACTGGATCTTTGGCTTGTGTTTCTGGACGATCATTGAGTATGTCCTGCACAGGGGGCTGTTCCACTTGGACGAGTAAGTATCATTTCTCCCTGTAGACTCAGCTGGTGCTAACATGCAATAGCCACCTTCCAGACAACCGTGTTGCAATTACCCTCCACTTCATCCTCCACGGTATCCACCATTACCTTCCTATGGACAAGTACCGCCTTGTAATGCCCCCTACGTTATTTACTGCTCTAGCAACGCCATTCTGGTCTGTCGCGCATGGTATCATCTTCTGGAACTGGCATGCTGCTGTGGCTGCCTTCTGCGGCGGTGTCTTTGGATACACATGTTACGATATGACGCACTACTTTCTCCATCACCAAAAGTACGTCTATTTCTTTCTTGTGCGGACTCCTGCTGACGTGAACAAGGCTTCCTTCCTACTACCAGCAGCTCAAGAAGTATCACCTGAAGCACCACTTCGCCGACTACCAAAACGGCTTTGGTGTAACAAGCCGTTTTTGGGACTGGGTATTTGGCACCGAACTCGACATGGGACCTACCAAGGTCATCAAGACTAACTAATTATCGAAATGTGACTACGCATCATTACTGTCCCCCTTTGGTTGACACTATTCATGAAGACTGGCATTGGGAGGCGTTGAACAGGTTGCAAGATCATTTTGGATCGCTTACACTACTGGCTGCTGGTACTATGCTCACGCTACTCTATCAAGCAGTATCTATGTAGAAATAATATTAATGTTCAATAAGACCTGTGGTTTTAATCCGCACATGCATCCTAGTGTTTGCAGTGCCTCCATTACACAAGCACGTGAATGGCTGCCTGCGGCCGCTAGCTTAGTCATGCGGGTCCCTTGCCAAGACCCCTCCAAGTTTTCAGACTGTCTCAATCGGGCCAGCCTCTTCGTTGTCCACCTCACTCACCTACAACGATCTGTGCGCACCAACGAACGCTTCAAAGCAAGCACGCTCCCATCGAGTGCAGTTTATACGGAGCATTCAAGACGTCATACGGCAACTGTGGTGACAGTTGTTTACGCGCTCACTCACTCACTATCCTAATTGAATTCACTATCTGAGCCAAGGCTCGCCTCTCAAACAACATCGCATCTTGCAGTGACCAAGCTCATCACTTCCGACCGACCACACTTATCGAGCGCTAGGCACTACCCACAACATGTCTACCTCAGCCGCTGTTGATGCCCTCCTCGAGGAGACGGCGCGCGAGGTCGAGATGAAGGACCGCGAGCGCAACGCTAGCAGCGAGGCGCGCGACCTCGACACCCGCCGAGACGACCGCGACCGCCACTCAGATCGACGCGACCGACGTGACAGGAGCAGGGGACGAGGTGACCGTTATCGTGAGTCCAATGGAGACCGGCACCGAAGCCGCGATAGAGATCACCGAAGAAGAGAAGGAAGCCGACCCAGATCGAGCAAAGGCGCTGACACAGATGAAGACCGTGATAGGCATCGCCGTAGCAGCTCCCGAGACCGGCGTGGCGGACCCCGTCGTGACCGCGGTGACTTTTACAGCGGAGGTGGACGCCCACGCACCCGCTCCCCTCGTCGTGACCGTGTCGATGACAGGTACCGTGATAGGTCCCGTGACCGCCGCCGCAACGGTGACGAGCGTCGCAACAGCCGTCGTAACAACACTCCGCCCGAGCCCGAAGTTACTGAAGACGACCGTGACAAGCGCACCATCTTCGTCCAGCAGATCTCCCAGCGTGCCGAAACCCGCCATTTGCGCGCCTTCTTCGAGCGAGTTGGCCCAGTTGTGGAGGCTCAAATTGTCAAAGATCGAGTGACTGGTCGCTCCAAGGGGTAAGCACTCTCTTCGCTGTACCTCTTAGAATACAACTAACATGTTCAGTGTCGGCTATGTTGAGTTCAAGGATGAAGAGTCTGTACCCCAAGCATTGGAACTGACTGGTCAGAAACTGAAGGGTGTTCCCATCATCGCCCAGCTTACCGAAGCCGAGAAGAACCGTGCTGCCCGCCCATCAGAAGGTGGTGCCGCGCCTGGTGCTAACGGTGCTCCCTTCCATCGTCTCTATGTTGGCAATATTCACTTTAGTGTCACCGAGAAAGATCTACAGGAGATCTTTGAGCCTTTTGGTGAGCTTGAGCAGGTCATCCTCCAACGTGATGAGATGAACCCCGGTCGCTCCAAGGGATATGGTTTCGTTCAGTGAGTGACTACTACTTTTCGTGGTACTGGATGGTGACTAACATGACCAGGTTTGTTGACCCCTCGCACGCTAAGAATGCTCTCGCAGAGATGAACGGCTTCGAGCTTGCCGGTCGCCAGATCCGTGTTGGTCTCGGTAACGACAAATTCACCCCTGAATCGACTGCTAACTTGCTCCGCACCTTCTCCCAGCAAGCTCAATCCTACCAGGGCTCTGCTTTTAGTGGAGCTGGTGGCCGTGGTGCATACGCAGGTGGCAGTGGCGGTGTCTTTGACCGCACACACAGCAAGGATGATCGTGGTGTTAGTGGTGCTTCTGCTCTTGACGATACTGATGTTGCTGGAGTCAACTTCAAGACTTACGATCGCAGCAAGCTCATGGATGCTCTCGCCCGCCGCGATAACCCCGAGCCTACGAAACAGGGTGCTCAGCCCGTTGTTAGCAAGCCACGCGTGCCCGTTGTTGATAAGCCCATGGCATCCAAGTGCATCAAGATTGAGAATGCTTTTGACCCTGATGAGTATGTTCCTCCTCATCCCATGGCCGACGTCGCTAACACTACAATAGGGAGCAGCGCAACTGGGGTGACAACTGGGTCAAAGACCTTGAACTTGAGGTCAAGTCTGAGTGTGACAAGAAGTACGGCAAGGTTGTTCACATTGCTGTCGACACTAACAGTGAGGGCGACATTTTCGTCAAGTTTGACTCCGTGTCTGGCGGCGAGAAGGCTCTTCAGGGTCTAAACGGCCGTAACTTCAACCACCGCACCATCCGCGCTTCGTACGTTGTCGACAAGATCTACAACTCACTCTGGGGTGCTGCTGCGAGCAGGTTCTAATGGTCGGTACGTAACACTGTTACAAAGGGACGCTCGATCATTCATCTCTGCCGGGTGCCCCGGTTACTCATGTGTACAGCACGCGATTGGCATCTGTCTCACACCTCCTTCTACGGCTCTTTCTCACGGTCTGTACTTCTGGTACAATCTTACTGGCATGGTACGTATGCACGGCGTTGGCAGAATGAATACCGATTCTTGTCATTTTCCTCCTTTCCTGTTTTTCTTTGAGTACAGGCCTTTAGGCTGTACTGGCGGGCTCCAAGGTGTGATACTTTGTCAGGTTTGACGACATACGGCACATGAGGAACGATGCTTGCGCGGCTATGGACCAAAGATTGTTCTGGGTGGACGACGGATTGGCTTGGTTTCTGCGAACAACGATCTTGGGGAGTGCTGATGGCTGCACGCCTACCTGGTAGCAGAAGGGGACCGTGGAAAAGCCCCCCTTTTTGTTTGGTAGGTGGGGAAACCTGACGTCGATCAGATCTTACTATGGTCTTCTAGGCTCCTCACGGACCGCTGCGTGCACCAGCGGCGTTGCCATTGTGGTATGACTGGGAGGTGGGGAACTCAAGGCTGCTAATAGTACATAGGACGAGCTTGTCCCTTCCTGTGTCTGGATGACTTGCCTGCAAATAATCATGCTCTTAGATATTTTGGATGCTCGCTGCCGTGGCCATGATGTGGACAGTAGTAAAGTGACGGAGTTTGAGCGCGGTTTGACCCTTTCCGCTGCTTTTGCCACGCCTGACGTTGTGACAGATACCCACCACCTACATGTATTGGGACAAGGAATAGTACCAAGTCGATTACTTACTCTTCAGCTGTCGGTTGACAGTACACTATATGATGCGGTTTCACTCGAGTTGGGGCTAAGCATCACATGTCTTTACGGCTAATGGATTGTATCCACTCGAGTGGCCAAAGGTAGGCAGGATCCTAAGTGATGTAATCTGTGTTCTGCTTGCAGTGTGTAAAGCAACGTGCAAGATACTTCCTGCTGGTATTAAATGCTTTCAAGAGATCGGCTGCATCTACTTCGCAGACATGTTATATTGTCTAGAGTGTAAGCACATCGTGTTATGCTATGAGGGCAAAGACGCGAGTGCATTCTGATATGATGCTATCAGCTTGGGCAAGTCTCTACCTGTGCAATGCATGATAGTCTTTAAGTTTTTTACATGTGATGCCTGTATCGTTGAGTAAATAGTTATTCAATCCTATGCTTGATTGAACCTTCAAAACTGTAGTGTACAAGTGTGAACAGATGCTACTGCATGTGCTAAGCCAAGCCGTCGTGTTCAAGTCCATATGTTGTCTCGCCAAAAGTAACCCCCGCGTGCACGTCCTCGCGAAAAACTTCCCCGCTAGAAAGTTCACAACTCGAAGCTGAACCACAAGTCGCGACTTTTAACCTGCACCCCCAAGTTGCGATTTCTGTGCGCAACCATGCCAAACTCTCTGGATGACGCCGCGCGGCCCACGAAACGTGCGCGACTTGACGATGATTCTGTTCCTACGTTCTCCGCAAGCAACTCTGCGCCAACAGTAGCAGCAGCAGCACAGCCTATACCCTCTGCGCCTGCAGGAATTGACGCCGAGCTGGAGCGCGAAGTGCGCGCTGGAATAACCGAGTATGTGTGCCCGGATAATCTCGGGTTCACGGGCGTTTTGAAGCAGAGGTACACCGATTTCTTGGTCAACGAGATTGGACTCGACGGGCAGGTACTGCATTTGAGAAGCACAGAAGTGGAAGCAAAGAAGAGCGCAAAGACGACAGATATTAAAGAGGAAGCAAAGCCGGCTGAGGCGGGTGCAAAAGATGAAAAGACCGACACAGACATGAAGGATGCGGAAACTGGAGAGGCTACGCTGCCTGTACCAGCGGCAGTACTTACAGAGACCAAGAACACCGAGGCCAATGGCGAGCAAATTCTTGGACAGGTCAAGACTACCGACCAAGAGGCAGGAGAAACTGTGAGTAATCACAGGATACAAGTGCTTGTTCATACTAATACAGTGCAGATTACAGACGAAGACCGCGAAACACTAGAATCGATATTTGGTCGCCAGACTACGGACGACATTATCAAACTTGTGCAACAAGTACGAAAGCGAGAATCGAAAAAGGCCAAAGACTTCAAGCCGGTCACATCACCGCCCATTACAGACAAGGATATGCGTACCAAAGCACATCAAAGCCTTCGCCGGATATTTCCCAACTTGCTAGAGAGTGCCATGGAGAACGACCAGTCAATCCGCATCAAAGCCACACCCCCAGCAGAGCGTAAGAACAAAAGGGCAAAGGGGGGAAATCGGGACCGAGAGGACCAGGGCAGGCGGAGAGGCGGTTTAGATTGGGAGGAGCTGGGTGGTGAATACCTGCACTTCAATCTATACAAAGAGAACAAGGATACAATGGAGGTTGTAGGCTTTCTCGGTAGCAAGCTCAACTGCGGAGCCAAAGGGTTCGGCTTTGCAGGTACAAAAGATAGGAGAGCGTGTACTGTGCAGAGATTGTGCGTCAAGCGTCAGACAGCGCAGCGTATACAGAGTTTCAACAAAGTGCTGTTCAATGCTGCGGTGGGCGATTTTCAGCATTCACATCATGATATCAAGCTGGGCAACTTGATGGGCAACGAGTTCACAATTACACTACGAGACTGTCACTTCCAGAGCGAGGAGGGCCTGGACTTTGAGCAACGACAAAAGCTTGCCAACGACGTGGTTCGCAAGGCCATTACCGACTTTTCCGAAAAAGGATTCATCAACTACTACGGCCTTCAGCGTTTCGGCTCTTTCGCCGCCAGCACCGATGCCATCGGCCGCAAGATGCTACAAGACGACCTCAAAGGCGCAGTCGAAGACCTCCTAGCATACAGCGATGTTGCCCTCGCCGCCGCCGACGGCACCTCGACCGACCCAACCATCCAAGTCTCCCAAGACGACCGCAACCGCGCCAAAGCCCTCCACATCTGGAGAACAACGAGCAACGGCAGCGAAGCCCTGAACCTCCTCCCCCGAAAATTCACCGCCGAACGCAACATCATCCAACACCTCAGCTCACGCAACAGCAAAACTGGCCGCCACGACCGCAAAACCGACTGGCAAGGCGCCCTAATGACCATCCCCCGCACCCTCCGCCTAATGTACGTCCACGCCTACCAATCCCTCGTCTGGAACACCATCGCTGGTAAGCGCTGGGCAACGTACAGCTCCCAAGTCGTCGAAGGCGACCTCGTCCTCGTCCACGAGCACCGCGATAAAGAGGTCAATCCTACCAGCAGTACGCAACAGCAACCCGACACAACCTTGGATCAAGACGGTGAAACAATAATAAACCCCCACGGCACCGAAAACGCTCTCGCCCCCGAATCAAACTTCGAGCGCGCACGCCCCCTTTCCGCCGCAGAAGCTGCATCTGGTGCGTACACAATCTACGACGTTGTCCTCCCCCAACCAGGCTTCGACGTCGAGTACCCGCCCAACGCCATCGGCGCGTTCTACAAGACCTTTATGGCGAGCGAACAAGGTGGGGGGCTCGATCCACACAATATGCGTAGGTCGTGGAGGGAAGTCAGTCTGAGTGGTGGGTATCGGAAGTTTCTGGCTAGACCGCTAAGGGAGGTTGGGTATGAGGTGCATGGGTATGCGAGGGTGGATGAGCAGTTTGTGCGGACGGATTTGGAGGCCTTGAGGGATGGTGCTGGGGCGAAGACGAAGGCGGAGGCGGAGGCGGGGGTGGAAGATGGAGAGGAGAAAGAAGAAAAAGACAAGATTGCGGTTGTGATCAAGTTGCAGCTTGGAAGTAGTCAGTACGCTACCATGGCGCTGCGGGAGTTGATGAAGGCGGGGGGTGTCAAGGCGTTTAAGCCGGAGTTTATGGGGGGAAGGTAAATATGAAACATGACAGGATCATAACAAATCGATCAGTCCAAGATGATAGTTTCGACTTGAGCAGTCCACGTGCAATACCGATCCTATTCATCATGAACCCCTGCCCCGGGTCACACGCATATCTATATATACAAAACCCCCTTATCCATACCACTCGCGCGCAACGCGCCCGCCCCTCTCCATGTAAGTGCAAATGTCAACCCCCTCATATCCCCGGAACGAACAAGAAAAACGAGAAAATAAAGAGACTCATATCCATTCACATCATGACTGTTATCATTTTCTCGAGCAAAACAAACAAACAAAAAGCGAGAGAGGGAGGGAGGAAAGATTAACGTTGGATAACCGAGCGATTGAAAAACGAAAAACCAGCGAAGAAAAGAGCATGAGCGTTCTAGCCACATGAGACAGGAGTCTGAAAGCCAGCAGACAATATGGGTGATGTGCAAGGAAGACCGTGTATGTGTTGCTTGTGTCGGATGTGTTGATTTTCTTCTTTTTTTTCGCGTATGTATAATGTAAGGTAGTCGTGAAAACGTGTAGATTGTGTGAGTTTGCTTTGCGGATAAGGGGCAGGGTCTAGGGTGATGCTTCGGAACGAACTGGGAGCAGATGCTGCTGCGATACTGGCAGGCGAACAAAAACCAACTGTTCCCTTCTCTTGCGTGCAGGACATTTACCCTCTAAACACCGACTTGTGTGTAAGCGGTGAATCAAGCGGTACAGGCGGTCCTCTCGACCGTCCAGCCCTCACAAGCGGCGTCTGCCCCGTGCAAAAAACGCAGACATAGACTGGCGGCAAACTCCCCTTGTCTAACCCCACACATATAATATGCAGCCACATATTGCAAGACTCGCACTGCACCATAGGTTTATCATCGTCATCGACAAGACCATTGCAAATACACCGCGTGCTTTCGCTCGAAAAGTTGCTTCGGTCCGTTGAGGGGGTAGTCGTCACTGAGCGGTTCAAGGAATTGGAGTAAGGATCGTAGTAGCCGTGGTGTCCGGGATTATTAAGTTCAGCAGAGGCAGCAGCAGCAGCCCAGCGTTGATTGTGGGCCTTGAGCGTGTTCTGAGAGGCACGTTCTGAGGGAGTTAGCAAAGCAAGGGGAGACTAGCTTGCAACCACCGTACCAATCCGTTGCTGCCGCGCCCCAACGACCTTTTTCAGAGCGCCCAGAGCGTTGCCAGGAGAGTCGGGCATGTGGTCTTGGTTGTCTCTGGAATTCTTGGTCGAAGGGGGAAGGTCCATGATGCCGGTTCGCCTTGTGGAATTATCGCTAGCAGATCTGCCAGCAAGCCGCAGTTTCTCCAGCGAAGGCTTGTCGAATGAGGTCATGCCTGGGCGTGAAGTGGATCGTGTCATTTTGAGAGAGTTGCTTCTTTCATGGCTATCGCTTTCCACTCGTGCGTATTTTGGTGCTCGACGTTCAGGCTGTGGTACGGTGAAGGATGTTTTACGACTAATCGCCGCGCCTGACTCGTCTTCTTCCGACTCGCTATCATCTGCTTCGTACAGACCGGGGTACTGTCGCCGGAGGTCCTGCTGAGAGGATTGGCGTAAAGCCTTTGGAGTCTTGTCCTCATCCCCAGCAAGTACAGTTTCTGTACGAGCCCGACCCGTCTCGTCAATGATAAGGCGTGTCCGTGGCCGTCGTATCTCTGGGATAGACTTGAGCGAACCGCCGCTTTGACGCTTGAGAGGTGAGGGGCGCCGTGGTATGTTCGAGGTATTAGTTGGAATGGCCGTCCAAGGTTCCATAAGAGGCGCTCTCAATGTCCTTACTCCACCATCGGTATTACTACGATGAAGTGCAGGCCTCACGTCGTCTATTGAGCCAGAGGAAGAATTTGTATTACTGCGAGAATGCTGACCCCTTGCCTTTTTCGCCATCTCCCTTTCAGCCTGTGCATCTCGCAACTGCGTCTCATACGGCAGTCTTGAACTCAAGTCCACGTTGGATAGTTGGGGCATAGCACCGAAAGAAGCAGTCATGTCGGGATTAGAGAAACTAAAGAGCATACTGGGATCTACGCCAGTAGTTGCAGATGCAAACGAGCCCTGCCGTGACATTTGCCCCTGATCCATGTGGCAATTTGCAAACGTCATTGGTCCGGGCGAAGCCTGGAAACTCTGGAAGCCAGGCGTCTGCATAATGTTGGCGGCATTGTGCATGCTTTGCCAGTTCATGCCCTGATCCATTCTCTGTGGCGTGGGGGCAAATCCATCTACGCCCATGGGTAAATCAAGATCCATGTGCATGCCATCATTCGCCGGATCCCAGAACAGCCGTGATTGCGGCATGGGTGGCGCTGTCATGTGCCCGTTGCTAGGAAACTGCATCATATCTGGCGTGTACTGCAGACTGCCAAAACCAAATGGAGTCTGGTCGAAGAGCGCTTCTGACGGCGGCATCTGGCTAGGGGTCCTATGTATGACCGTAGCCGGTGTGGCCACTCCATTCCCAGCACTCTGTTGTAGACTCTGCCTAGACGAGTCATCCCTTGTCGGGGGCGGTGTTTGCATTTGCGAAAAGTCCATGGTGATGGGCCGAGATACCCCACGATGATCTTGCGGTGGCCCTCGTGGGCCGGCGGCGGCGTTCTTCAGCTGGCCGAGATCAGGCGAGGAGGCCAGTCTGCGCGAGACGTCGACTGGCGGCAGAGGCAGATTCTGAGGAGCAAAGTGGTTGACATGGAACTCGGGGTCTTCGGGGGTGCGAACGGGCTGGCTGTACGAGCTCGACGGCCGGTCTATGGGCGTCGACAAAGCGAACAGGGGCGCTTGAACAGGGGTGTGCTGGGCATTGGGTAGCGGGGTTGCCCAGGCGTCGAGGAAGTGCGAGTGAGGAGCCGTATCAGTGATTGGGGTCTTGAGGGGAGCGTCCGGGAAGGTCAGCGACTTTGGTGTTGAGGATGGACTTGGTAGAGGCCAGTCGGTCGATCTAGCGTGTGACCCACGTTAGCCTGGGGCACATGCAGGTGCGAGCCGATGTACGGAGAAAAACGAGAAAGGGCAAGCGGTCAATGGGGAGCAGATGGGGAAGTAGCAAGGAGACGAGGAAGAAGGAGAAGTAGAAAAAGAAACATGTTGGTTTCTAGGGAATTGGGCGAGTTTTACTGGAATACAGTTTCGGGGGGAGAGAGAGCCTAGGGCCGGTGAGCAACAAGCTTCAGATGACAACCGTGCGGTGCTGCCTGCCCCTCTGCCTACCCCAAACCCCCATTGGGACTGACTTGTGTCAGATTCGACGCTTAAGCCAGGCAGAGAAACCATGGACGACGGCGGGTGGTTGTGACGGTGAAGCTTGTGGCACCGGCCCTGACAGTAGCACATGTCTCCTTGAGCCCAGGGCTTGAGAAAGAGGGTGCACGTGGGGGGATGGGAATCGGGCAAAAGGGAAGCCGTACGCATATGTATGCTGATCCAGACTCATAGCCAGCCCGGTAACACAGCGTTGCTGTCCTACGGACCATGTAGCGACCAATATATGACGACGGCGGCGGGTGGTGGAAGCGAGGCGTTGGGTGGAAGGGTGAGCGGTGTAGGCGGCAGGTGTCGTGGCCGAGATGGATAGATGGGGTTTATCTGTCTTTGTATCTGTCTGTGTGTCTGTTTATCTGCAGGCTGGAGCAAAAAGGTTTGAGCTAGTAGTCAAGGAGAGGCGTGTGGTGGGTGTTGGGTAGCAGGCTGCAGGCGGGAATAGCAGACGTGCCAGAGCGGTGATACCTCGACGACGACACAAGTCACGGACAGCAAGCGGCGCAGTAAAAGGCTCTCTGGCGAGGAAGAAACGGTGAAAGGTTTCTTCACGTACTAGGCAGCGAGCGCAGTGGGGCCGGGCAAAGAGTCTGAAGCTGCAAATGCAAAAGACGTATAGTTCGGCAAAGAAGGAGAAATCGTGACAAGTACCCCGATCGTGGCCCACCAAGCAGCAGCAGCAGCAGCGCTTGCAAACACGGGTGCTGAGGGACGCCGGGCTCGCCGTCTCTGCTGAGGCCTAGCAGCAGTCGTCTAGCTCAGGTACCGAGCTGCATGGGCCGTCCATAACGACATGGCGAGGCTGGCATCATTGGGTGGTGACGGCAGGGAGGGAGCCCGTGGAGGAATCGTCTTGCATCGCCGACGCCGCGCACAGCCTAGCAGCGAATAAGGTGAACGGCCGGGCCCCAGGAAAAAGACATGACTATACATACACATGGATGCCCTAGTAGTACCTCCGTACATAAAACCACGCACACACAAAGAGAGAGAGAGAGAGAGAACGACGTCCTCCACCATGGCCTTTTGCCCGTGACTGCAGCGTGCTGCAACAAGGTGATGGGTTAAACATAGACCTGACAAGGCCCGACGACTCGAGGCCCTAGATACTATGCCCTACCAAGGCCCTCCCCCATGCGCCAAGTCCGGGCTTTCTATACTCTAGAGTCCCTCCTTCGCCAGCCACTCATGCGCCCCAATGTCATGGTCCCTCCCTTGCCTTGGATCCTCCCTTCCATACTTACGAATAGGATCACAGCTTGCATTTTCCAATCAAAATACCCCGGAAATAAGCAAAGCAAAAAACCATCATCCCAGATAAACAAAGCGAAAAGAAAGTCCGCCTCTTTTTTAACCCTTTGCCAGCTGGCAAAAGCCTCTCACCGTGTGTGAGAGTGTGTCAGCAATATGCACCGCGCCATCCCCCAATCCCCCGCCAAGAAGTACATCAATGAATCTAGCCGTCATATCCTTATGCGAAATCTCCCCCATTTGTTACCCCGATACACAAACTGCCTCTCTTTTTATTTGCCGGTGAACAAAAAAACCCACTCATCGCCTCACTCATCAGCCGCATGCGCTCTTTTTACTACTTTCTCCGCATCACCAGATTGAGGGGATCGCTTACTGATTTGGCCCCAGCGCTCTTCCCGCCGATTAGCTTGCAGTTAAGCGTGTGGTATATACGTGGTGGAAGCGTCATTGACATTTTTGCATGTGCATGTGTGTAATTTCCAACACGCCCCCTTCCTCCACAATTCCAACTTTGTCCGGAGGGTGCGTGTGGGTGGGGGTGGGAAACGGAGATCGAGCTCGCTCCGTGGAACCATGGATCGTCCGGCTCGATGGATGGATGGACGGACGTAACTGTACCTAGTCGGTATCGCCTCCTGTTTTAGATCCTAGCAGCTACGTCTTGCATGCAAGGTACCGCCGCGAACTCTCAGCTGTTTCTGTCTTCTGCTCATCAGCTTGTTGGCGTGATTCGTTGGCAAGTAAGTATAGTGCCGGTATTCCCAGCTGTAGTTGCTGTCTAGGATCCTGGTGAACATGCGAATCGCGGGATTCAAGCACCCGTCAAGAAAGACGTGGGCAGAGAGGATATGCTGACAGGACCGGGAAACAAAAACCTCTCTATGTTTTCAACAGGAAACATGACATTTGCACCCTTAGCTCCCAGCCCACCATCCCACCATCCCGTACCTGACGTCAGTGCCAAGCATAGCGCGTACAACCCGCAATGCTCCGGCAAACCGATTGGTCACTGTCCCGTTGACGCGATCGAATGACCTCTATACTAGTTTGTTGCGCTGACAACCGTGCCGGCTTGTGTATCATGTGTTGCTAGTATATCGAGATGGGAAATCCCAGGATATGGTCCTTTTTACTGATTGGGAAAGAAAAAAGGAGTTTGAGGAGAAGGGGGAATGGGATTGGAAGGTAGGGGAGTAGATCAGATTTGTCGGGTAGATTTACTGGTTGCAATAGACAGGTGTGGCAGTTCATTGATTCGTGATTTCCTCAACATGAAATAGAGGTAGTGATGCACGTAGTCACCCCACATCTCAACATGTATGGAGTTGGGTACTGTGGGAATTTGCCTTGTAGAAATTGGCGAGAAAAAGCAAAGATAGTCAAGGTATGTTCCTGGTTACAGCTGATTCCTGGCAAATACTATCGCGATCAAACGATAATATCCGAAGTGTTGAAATGGTAATATACAACACTCACATCAGAATGAATAACATCATATGAATAAATCATTGAGTTGTTTTCGCTAAATATGCAGAAAATCAGTACCAACTACCCATACACATGCCAACCAAATCTTAGGAAACTCATTCCATAAGGAAAAACCGATAAACCCCAGACAGAAAGAACGATATAGATATATACATAAAAGAACACTCAAACATATACCCCCTTATCATCACCGTGTAGTATACGCCCTAACATAACGCTCACCCTGAATCTCTCCATCCTCCATAAACGACATGCCATCCTCTGGATCGTCAAACGGCGAGCGCGCCAAGCACACAGGGCTAACAGGCATGCGAACACTGCTGTGTCGAGAATTGCTCGTGAAGCTCGGTGGAGGCACACTACTGGGTCGGTAGGGTGGTGGTGGACCTGACAAGCTGTAGCTGTCAGAAAAGGGGTCGACAGACATGCGTGTGTTGGAGGTGATGGAGACCATGTCCGAAGTATCCATGCCGGTGAGGTAGGCGCCGTTGGAAGAGGATATGATGGGGCCTATGATTATGGGCTGGGGCTGGTTCCATGTCGATGTCGGCGGGAGATGGTTTGGAGGCGCAGTGTAATGTTGTGATACAGCCACTGCTGGCATCGGCGCAGGTAATGGTGCCATGTGAGGACGAATCGTGGGCGAGTCTGGCTCCAACTTCATTTCCTGCGCAGCAGCTTCTGCCCTGCGCTTCTTGCGCCTACGCAGACACACCAGAGCTACTGCCCCAATCATCACAAGGATTATGACGGGCACTATAGCAGCTGCAGCATACACTGGCGCCTTATTGGTACCCTCGTGAGACCACTCCCATCCAGAGGGCCGACCGCCATATGAGCCAATGGTCGACGATGGTGCTCCAGTTGTCGTTGGAAAAACATTGGTAATTGACAATAATAGAGTCGACTCCAACTCGGGGTACGGGGTTTCTGTAAGGGCTGCTGTCTTCGATATAGACATTTCCCAAGGGTTCGTCGTGGCAGTGTGACCTCCATATCCGTATGGAGGCCAAGGTAGCGTTGAAGGGTATCCATCAGGCCGTGTGCTGGGACGACGTCTTGTCTGAGTATCATCCTCTTCGTCGAGAGACTGCGTCTGAAAAGCCATGGATGTAGGCTCACTTTGTTCTGCGGACGCTTCTGAATATGAACTTATCGTTGTGACAATTGTCACATCAAAGTCGTCCTGGGTAACCCATGGCGGTGGGCCTCGTCCTTCTTTTTCCCAACCGTCTTGCTGGGGAGCCATTGCGGCTGAGGTGATCTGCTGACGAGACGATTTGAGGCAGACAGATGGACTGCAGTAGGTGGCAAGTATCAAGACCAGTCAGACGACGGCTGTGCGCTGAGATGCCTGATCATTCAAGTACAGCCGATTTAGAGGCTGGGGCTATGGTGGTGGTCGTCCGCGTCCTGGCCAGTAGCAGGAGATGCGGGGCCGAGAGGAATGCCAGGGCTGACCTGGTTTCTTGAATCGATGACGCGAGATAAGATAGCAACTTTTATGGAAGTTTATGTCTTGAATAGATTGACTGACTATCTCGGAGTACTTGACTGCAAAGAATAGATTGGCTGAAATAGAGAGGTGAAGCAGGAGGGGAGCACATAACAATATCCCAAGCTGAAGAGGCGCAGGCATGTTGCTGTTATCTGGCTGCAGGCCGTCAGGCCAACCAGCCCCAAGTCCGGTGTGCCGGCAGTAGGTATTCGACTTCATTGGCCACAGGCTGCGATGACCGTTCCAGCCATAGCCCCAACCTGCGTGTGTTGGAGACAGGTAACCCCACTGGCTCGGAATTGGGTATTTAGGCTTGGAGAGGAGGCTAGTCGTCGATCTAACAAAGCTTAGTCGATACAAACACCGTATTTTCCGGTTTGTGTGGACATGGTGCGTTGTTGTGCTCCATAGCTCGCATGTACCCCTCTTGTCTTGTGTAATGGGCTTGTTTGTTTCAGCTGGAAGAGGGAGTGTCCTGATCGACACGGGAAAAGCAAATGCGGGTGTACCAACAGTCAGCCTTTACACATGCTACGCCTACTCTCCACCGTGCGGAGATCCCTTTGCGGGGCGTTTGGTACCGAACATGATTGGCTGAGAAGTGTTATCAGGGTGATCCTGGGAATAAGTGAGTGGTAATGGGCCCATTTGTTGTCTTGGTGGTTACGAGTATATTCCCGTTCGGGCAATGAACGATGCCACCATCACAGAGGTGGAGCCGCCGCAATGTCAAGGTGTAATGCGGAGCGGGAGATTCTTATATCCGGCGGCCGTTCCCGCTCCTCTGCCATGACCTTGCTGCTTGTGTCGAGGATGCGTGTCACATGTTCGCATCAGAATAACTGGCCGCGTCGTGTATGCAGTTATAACAATAACAATCACAGAGGCGAGAATGTGTATATCTGGCATCCCAAAATGAGTCCGGCTGTTACGTGGCATCGGGTCGCGATGGCTGATGCGGAGATGCGGCCCAGCCTGACAGTTGCTGGAGCAGCGCTTGGCCGGTGATCTCATCGGCCGCACGTGCATCCATCTGCTATCCGCGGACACCTTCACCACGCCTAACTCGACATATACTCTTCGCCAGCATGGACAAGTTCAAGAGTGTAGCCAAGGGTGGCTGGCACCCAGAGAAAGAACGCACCACCAGCGGGAGCAGTGCAGGGGGGCAAAGCGATTCCAAGATTGGACAAGTGGTATGCAAAGGCACATATCTTTGACAGGCATGCATTCTGACTTGCTTCTGATATGTAGAAAGGCTGGGTTGGCAAGGCCCAGGGCAAGGATCCCCACGCAGAAGCTGCCCGTGAACATCAATCCACGCCTCTATCGTCGTTAAAAGACCCAGCCTCGTTTGCTCCACCGCCAAAGCGCCTCGACTACAACGCAGGCTCTTCAGCAGCAGCGAGCGCCCGCTCGCCCACTGGACTGGTATCTGCTCCCGCTACAGGGGCTAAGCAGAGGCTACAGGAGAGGGAAGAGGCGCGGCGACGAGCAGAAGAAGAAGCCAACAAGCCGGCTCCAGGACCTTATAGATCGAACACGACTGGATTGAGCACTGCTCATCTACCCAAACCCCCAGCCTTCCGACCGAGTGCTGCTTCAGCAGCGTCACCAGCACCTCCACCCAAACCGAAGCCTAGCCTTCCTCCCCGGCTGCCTCCGCGACAGAACTCTTATCCCGACGAGTTTACGCCACCTCCTCCACCGACATATAATGAGGCTACACAGCAAGGGACACCGGCGCAAGGGGTCATGAACCAGGCTGCGCTAGGTCGTCTTGGACAGGCGGGTGTGGCAGTTACAGGCTTGGGCATTGGCCGGACGGCATCACCTCCAGTGCCGCCTCGGGCGAACCCGTCTCCTCCCGTACCGTTGCGTGCGAAGCCTTCACTACCAGTACCGCCTCGGCAGAACTCTGGCCTAAGCGTCAGTTCACAGGAAACACTCACCACTAATCAGGGATCACAGATGAGCGAGCTGCAGAGTAGGTTTGCAAGGTTGTCGGGGCCAAAGTCGCCAGCAGAGCCTCCTACGACGGGTACATCGTGGGCGGAAAAGCAGGCCGCGCTGCGTACAGCGAGCAACCTGCGCAATGACCCTTCCAAGGTGTCTACCTCTGATTTGAAAGGAGCGGCGTCAACAGCGAACAATTTCCAACAACGACACGGCGAGCAGGTTGCATCTGGGTGGAAGTCTGCCAATTCGCTCAACCAAAAGTACGGAATCGCAGCCAAGGTTAACAATCTTGCGTCATCAAGTACATCACCACCACAGCCAGCGCCAGCAGTACAGTCGCCGGTAGCGAGTAGCCAAGGAGGGTTAGGGAAGAAGGCCCCTCCCCCACCACCGCCAAAGAAGAAGGATTTGAGCGGCGGCTCAAATGAGCCTCCGCCAATCCCGCTGAGCAGCAAGCCCAAGTTTTGAAGCTGCGATGACAAATTGGGTGTCCTCGGATAGACGTGCATGTATATATGTAGTTGATATGATATGCTCGCTGTTGTGACAATGTTCCCCGCATGTATTATTGTCGCTGTCTCCCAAGTCACCTTGCCAGTTACGGCCCAGTGGCTCTGTTCCGCAGCTTTATTAGGCTTGGGCTGGACCCTCGACGTGTTCGCTACAATCCCTGCCCAAATTTTTTGCATCTTTTTTTTTGTTGGACCTGATCTGGTGGCAATTGAACAGCACTGTGGACCGGATGGGTTTTTGGCATAAGGGCGAATGAAAGAGACTCGTATATGCATTCACACACACATAGAAACATGCCCTGGACTTCCTAATAGCGTTAGGCTTGCGAGGCTCACGGCAACGGCAACAAACCCAAAGCCAAGTCTTTGAGCCTTTTGTTAATTGTGGCTAGGGGGGAACTGGGGCCTGGGGCCTCGGCACGTCATAGCGATGTTATTCGCCCAAAAATGTTGCGTCGCCGCTAAAATCCTCACCAAAACCAAGAGTCCCGTCCAGGTCCATTGCCTGCTCTTTCCAGCTTCCGGTCCGATGCACCTTTACTAGATACGTGGTCGCCCCGAAGTCTATCTGTGCGCCTTGCTCTCGGTATATCTTGTCTTCGCTGCCCCGGATTCGTGTGTTGGAACCGTCAATTGCGCAAACGACACTGGCCATTGCGTGTGTTGGGGTGATAAAAACAACACAACAAATAGCCCAACAGCCACCGTTTCACTCTCCCTCTGCTGTTGCCTGGGCCTCGCTCCCACGACAGCTATCCCCACCTCTCGAGGCTTGTCGACGACGACGCTGCTTAGCGTAACGGCTCGGGATTGTGCCTTACCGAACCGCACAAAACTTCCCTCGCGGCTCCTTCACCACGCCGGATCACCACTACGCCCTGCGACCTCTTCGCTGAAGCATCCACACACTGAGCCATCATGTCTGGCGCAGGTCCTTCTCTGCACCCCGGCGACTGGCCGTCGAGGGCTGTCTTTCAGTTCCCTCCCGACGCTGCGCCCTCGCCCATCCCACCTCCGTGGACCGGCGAGGCGACGTTTGCAAACCCATTCCCCATTCCCGAGGACATCTACCAGGGCGCCTTGTCCTACAAAGTCCCGCTGACCATTGCCTCTGTCTACTTTGTCACCGTCACCTACCTCAACTGGTACAACCGCCAACATGGAAACAAGCCGTGGAGGATCGCCAAAACCCGACCCTTCTTCGCGTTTGTCATCTTCCACAACGTCTTCCTGGCCGTCTACTCGGCCATTACCTGTGTCGCCATGATCCGCTGCCTCAAGCGCTCCTTCCCCCACTACAGCGAGCCCAACGCCGTTGTTGGCACCATTGACGCCCTCTGCAAGATCCACGGCCCCCGTGGACTTGGCGACGCCGTCACCTTCAATAACACCAACGACTCTTGGAGCAGTCTCAACCCAAACATTGCCCTGGCAGCTAGCGGTCTTCCCGACAGCTCCGATCTTGGTAGGATCTGGAATGAGGGGCTTGCTTTCTGGGGCTGGTGGTTCTACCTCTCCAAGTTCTACGAGGTTCTCGACACGGCCATTATCCTCGCAAAGGGCAAGCGAAGCACCACCCTCCAAAAGTACCACCACGCCGGTGCCATGCTGTCCATGTGGGCTGGTATGCGCTTCATGTCCCCACCCATCTGGATGTTTGCTCTGGTCAACTCTGGAATCCACGCTATGATGGTAAGAATCTACCCTTTGCTCAGATTGACGCCTGCTAATCCTTGTAGTACACCTACTATACCGTATCAGCCCTCGGCTACCGCGTCCCCAATATCGTCAAGCGAACCCTCACCACAATGCAAATCACGCAATTCCTCGTCGGTTCCGCCTTCGCCGCTGTTCACCTCTTCATTTCCTACACTGTCCCCGTCTCGGTCGCATACAAGGTTGCTGAGAAGGTTGCCCAGAAGACTGCTCCCGAGGCGGTCGCGTCTACAGTCTCTTCTGCAGTCGCCTCTGCCACTGAGTCTGTTGCCGAGGCCTTACCTACCGTAACTGGCGTTGCCGTTGCTTTCCTCAGGAAACTCATCTACCGCGCAGCTGGTGACGAGGGTCTTGCGGAGAACATTCCCGTCCCTGGTCACCCCGTTCCAGTCCGCCAGCAACAGCCACTACAAGAGGTAGCCTCTGCGGTGCCTACTCCTCTGCACAACGCAGTACACAACTTGCTTCATCCTCACGAGACTGTCGAGAAGACCTTCTACCGCACCGAGTACCAGACTGTTCCTTGTGTCGATACTTCCGGACAGGCTTTCGCCATCTACGTCAATCTGATCTACCTCGCCCCTCTCACCTTCCTCTTTATGCGATTCTTCTTCAAGTCCTACCTCCGCCGCTCATCTCCCAATGCTAAGCGCTCGAAGCCCCGCACCATCTCCGACGCAGCTGGCGATGCTAGCCGCAAAGTAGAGCGTGAACTCGACTCGCTAGACAAATCAGCTGAAGATGCCATCTCTTCGGGTGTGAACATTGCTAGGGATGCTGTTCGTGGAAGGCGGCCGGTCAATGGCAAGGTCAAGGACGAGAGGCAAGGTAGCATGAGCCCGGCCAACCAAAAGTTCCTGGACAATGTCAGCCGCAGAGTCAGCCAGAAGCTACATGAGCTTGACGAGGGTGCCGAGGCTTCTGCCCAAAAGGCAAAGCAAATTGCCAGGGAGGTTGTTGCCAAGGCCGAGCAGGCTGGCCACAAGGTCGACCAAGCATACGAAGACAACGAAGAGGATGTGGCTGAGAAGGCAACGATGAACGGCAACCATCAAAACGGTCTAACGGATGCTGAAGTCGCAAGGCCCGAGTCGGAGCCCGAGCCAAAGGACATTAACAACACATTGAAGAAGGGTGATAGGCTGTTCTAGATGACAGTTGCAGCACTGTCACAAGCAAATGCATCCAACCGAAAGGGGACGAAGTAGTCTCGAGTTTAGCGGATCCCAAAGTTTGGTTGACGCCGCACTACTGCTACCAACATTCGGCTCGGAGTTTTTTTCACCATGTAGTACCGACTTTTGAGCGCTGTATTAGACCTGGTTGAGAGAGACCCAGACTTTTCTTCTTCAGGCTTAAACCTCCCTGGCATATTTGCAAAGGGCGTACGGAGAAGAAGGAGCAAAAAGCGTTTTGGAGAATCATGGCGTACACAATTTTTTAACATCTTTACAATTAGGGCTGGGTGCTATGAACTGGACAGGAAGGGGCGAATTGTGGAGGGTTGTACTTTTTTTTTGTATTTAAAAAATCAAGGTCCGTGAAAGATGGAATGGAAATGGGCCCAAGCCTTTGTCTTTTATTTTTCAAAATAATCTAAATGCAAGATTAATTTCTTACAATTGTCTCCGTACTACTTGGTATCAGTATACTCTACACCTATCGTATATCCACTCCATACCCCCCTATCCCCCCAACCCCACCCCCCAACTCCAACCGTTCCTCCCTCTCCCTCCTCCTTACCTTCTCCCCACCCTCCCTCGTCATAACAACCACCCCATTACTAACCTTCTTCTCCCCTCCCACACCTCCTCCCCCCACAGCACCATTATCCTCATCATTCCTCGCAAAAACCTGTAAACCACGCAAATGCGTATCCTTGCCATTCTGATGGTTCTCCAGTATCTTGACTTGCAAGAGATGGCAACGCAAAGTGGGCATCTTGGGGGCGCGCGGGCGCCGGACCGGGGGTAAGCGGCGTGGGAAGGAGGAGCTTGGGTGTGACGGGGTGAGGGAGGTGAAGGGGGCGCGGGAGTAGTGTAAGGACGGGGTTGAGGTTGGGTGGAGGGAGGGGGTTGAGGTGTAGATGTTGGCGTTGTGGGGGTCGAAGGAGGAGGTGGGAAGGGGGGGGTGGTTGATGGGAGTTTGGAGGTGCGGAGGGGGAAAGGGGACTGCGTTTTCGGAGTCGGAGGATAAGTCTTGGTGGGGGGTTTGGGTTGGGGCTGGGGTTGTGGTGGTTGCGTCTGTGAGGAGGTAGTGTCGTTGGGCGGTGGTAGTGGTAGGAGGAGGGTTAGTTCCGTCTTCATTGTCGTCGTCGTTGTCGCCTTGGTCGGCATGGTCATCGTCGTCGTCGCTATCTACGTCGCCGACGCCGGAGAAGTCGGCCCAGATCCAGCCTCGGGGGCTTTCGAGCCGCATTTCTCCCCATTCTTGGAGATCGTTCATGCCGCTGCCGGCGAGGAAGATGATGCGGGTTGGGGTGTAGGATTCATCTTGCTCGAAGTCGAGGTAGAGGCGGAGACCGACTATGCGGACGAGCTTGAAGAAGTGGATGTTGAGGTAGTGTGGTTGGGGACCGTCGGATTGCCAGAAGAGGTTTGTGTTGGCATGCCGGAGCTGGGGTATTGAGCAGCCTGGTTTGGAAGAGGAGACGGTCCATGAGGCCAAGGTACTGATTTCACGGAGATATGGCGGTGGTGGGTCCAGATTGGGCAGTGGAGTTGTTTGGGAGGGCGAGGCAAGCGCTTCGTCTTCAAGTTCTCCGTCCTCGTCCTCGTCTTCGTTTTCGTTTTCTTCTTCCTCGTGACCAGCGTGGTCTTCGTCATCCAGGCCTACTAGGTCGTCGGCCTCGGCTTCGCCCTCATCGTCGGTTACGTGCTCTTGACGACCTCCGAGGTCCATGTCATTGTCTGTGTCGTCTGCCTCTGAAGGCGGGGTTGAATGGTGAGGTTGGCCTCGGTGGCGACGTGAAGGCGGCATAATTGGTAGTATACAGGTGAAGTCGACGTCACAATTGGGGATAGAGGAGCAGGCAGAGGCTGCACAAGCAGCAGGGTTCAGGGATTTGTGTGTGTGCAGCAATTTGTTTCCGAAAAAGCAAGCCGAGGCTGCATTAGCATCAATGCCGAGCGTATACAGATGTTGGTGCCCTGCTCTGAACAAAGCCAGCAGGGAAGACAGATGCGGGCCCACGCGCGGCTCGGAATTCTGGGCCGGGCGCACAACGTTTCTGTGTGCTTCGTATAGACTTGTTTTGTGGAGCGCGTGTCCTCAGTGTGGTGCAAAGACGACGGATTAGTCCATGTAAGGTGGGTGGAGGAACCAGAGGCCCAGGCTCACGTCGGCCCTGTTGCTGCAAACCGCCAGGTACACGCCTATTGCTACTACGGGCGGAGACGCGTCTACCCGCTCCCACCCTCCCACGCCCACCATTCCCGTCGACTCCCGTCCACTTACCAATCCACACCAGCTGCCAGGTTTTTGCTACTATATTCTCATCGAGATGTCCTCTCGCTCTGCCAATCATAAGCTGCGGGGGCTTGTCTTCAGCCAGACAATACCTGGCATGTCGATCCCTTGGTGTAGGTCTGGCCAGCTGCTGTTTCACGACAAATCAGACCACACCAAGCCTTGGGCTTGCCTCCGTCACACGCCTACTACTAAGTAATCTGTCGAGCCAGCGTCGCCGATAGCCCCTTGACGCCATCCGGGGCTTCTGGGTAATAGCCTAGTCGTCTTCCGATGCATCCCTGCATAAACTATCATCATAGTTTGCCTAATCCTGTCCACGCTGCATGCACTCCCCTCAACCCATGGCTTTAGCAGCTTCACCAACCCTGCTGCCTCTTGCTTTTTCGCGGCACTTTGTTAATCAAAGAACTAACGCGGCACTTTCTGCACTGCCTCTTGTCGTTCTCAATCTGGCCCACGAACCGTTCCCTCTTCAATCCGTCTCTCTCTCCCCCTCCCCTATCTATAAGTGACATGTAGCGTTTTCAGCTATTGTTTGGGTCGCGCCAGTTCGTGTCGCGTCAATTGTCTTAGCTTCGGGCGTACGTTGTCCAACATATTCGCTTCTTCCTTCAATACGCATCTCTTTTTCTTGCGCCCTGGCGATCGAACACCTCGGGCGTGCCATTTCATATCTATCCAGACTGCTAGTCACGGCATCATGGATGAGCCGGCTCCTGGAGAAGTGTCACACCTGATGGTGCATACCTACAGGCTCATCATCGCCTTTCTTATCCTCTCATGGATCTTCATATCCTTACGGGTCTACACTCGCACTGTGATCATTTCTAACTTCGGCTGGGACGATACTGCCATGGTATCGGTAGGAGTAGGTACTGCCCCCGATTCACTCATTCTCTGTCTTAACCTGAGTAGGCGATATTCACTGTATACTGTGGAACAATCATTTACATCTTCCACCATGGTGGCGGTACCGTTATAGCCGACTTTGATCAATTGAACCGCCTGATGAAGGTACTCGCATTCCGTCACCCTTCTACCTCTGCCTAGCTGACTATTGTAGATTGCCACTGTTTCTGAATCCTCCTACGTCTTGACCATGATGCTCATCAAGATATCCCTTGCCATCTTCTTCGCCCGCATCGTAGTCAAGCGATGGCATTTGACGGTCATATGTGTTTTTGTCACTCTCAGCATCATATCGTCAATCTGTACCTATCTCTACATCTTCCTTCGGTGTGGCCCCGACCTGGATCAGTATCTCATCCGGGAACTGATTCGAGACTGTACGCCTATTCAACTCGACATATTCATGGCCTACCAGCAAGGTACGACAAGCACCAACCGACTCATAGCCTGTAAGAAGCTAATTTTGGTTCTTTAGCTGTATTCAATTCCGTCACGGATATCGCCTTCCTTTTCATGCCAGCCCTGGTGCTTTGGAATTCTCCAATGGAGCGACGAGCCAAAATTTCAGTCGGCATCATCTTGGTAGTGGCCACACTGTACGATCCTACAAGACCATATCCAGACTCACTACTAAAATTTGACAGCGGCGCGGTATGCTCACTCATACGATTCAAATACATCAAGGGCGTACTAAAAAATGGCGACTACTTCTACCAAGCCGTCCACATCTGTATGTGGAGTACCATCGAAGTGGGAACATGCATCATTGCCGGATGCACAGCCACACTAAGACCGCTGATGAAGGTTGCTTTGGTTCAAGTACAAGTAACGCTTCCGCTTTCGCGACTTGGTTCTGGAGCACCGCCTACATCCAGCACTCTGAAGAGCAGTCAGCAATCAAATCATCGCTCATCTCGTATGATACGCATCTCGGACAACGACCTAGAATACGGGAACGCCGACCCCACAGGATCAACCTTGCTGCTCCCCAAAACACCCGAGTTTGTCGAGCTGATAGTACGCCCGGACCCTGTCATCCTTGCGCCTGCTGCGGACAATACACAACCCAGGACAGGTTCCATGTTCGGATGACTCAAATCGAGACTTAGGGACTCGTTACTATCGCGCGACCGGCTTGAATAAAGTTTTGCTAGGCCAACAGACTGGACGGATACAGGCGCATCCACCCATATTCCGCGGAGCCGGATGAGGATTGGGGTGAAGCTAAGCTCGACCATAATGCCGCATTAGGCAACGTCCAGACAACTAGCTTTGGCGATCAGTACGCCCAGTGCACATAGCTTACTACTCCACGGATTTTTCGACACGTGCATGCGAGACATTCTTCGCAGCATTGTGCGACTTGACGGCTTGCGGTACCGGTATTGACAGGTTACCGTTATACTATCCTACAACCCCGCTGTTCGCAGGCACCACACTACGTACATACATAAACGCAATGACCTCGAAGGTACCTGACGTAAGGGATGCCATCATCGAGGTGCTCTTCTCCCTCAGCCTCAGGGCTCGGTTTCGCTTGGCTCCTTAGTCACAGACGCATACATGCGGTACCATTAATAAAACAGATATGCACTCATCCTCTGAGAAAGAAAAACCAACTGGATAAACCTTGGCTGCCTTCAAAGTCTACGACCATGCCATCTCCCTTGATGCCACGCCTTGGCGTCACACGGCAAGCGGTTTCCGACGCCCCGTGCCGAGCAAAGACAAGTCCCTGCTGCAGATAAGGCAAACTATATTTACGAATGTTGCACATTGCGTTTGCACTTCCCCTGTCAACCTTGTTTACGTACTCTAAAACCAGGGTTTTGGATTGTACCGCGCGGGTGTCTCCGAGTTTTATCGGACACGGCGAACTCCCTTTAGAGTTTTCACCACCCCCGAAGTTGCGACTGGAGGGAGGAGCAGGTAATCAAAAAGAATAAACCATGTATATATAACGATGTTTATGATTGAGGAAATCCTTTTTTGTCTTTTTTCTTTCTAATGTATGATGGTGAATGTGGGATGGGATATACGAAGGAAGTTAGGGCTGCATTGGGGGCGTTATTAAGTAGTTTAGTCCCTGCATACTTTTTGTTTGTATGTATGTATAATATCTGGTCAAGTCAATGAAGCATAAATGTAGGTGACACCTCGTCACATTGCGTTTACGCCCAATTAAAACTTCGCGTTTTTTTTCCTTTTCTACATAGTCGCGTCTCGCGCATTCCAATATCCCTCTCGCACCCCTTCCTCCCATTTGCACTATGTTCTTCAACGCTCCATACCTTGCGCTATCTCATCCCCTATAACGCATCTAGCCCAACGCCTCAATAAATAGAGATACACCGTGCACCTTGGCTTCGAACACCAGGTCGCTGAACCAATACTCGGGGTCGCCCGGGGAACTTCGTATCCCACGCTCCTTACTATCGAAACCCCCCTGTTTTCTATCCTTCACAAGGTGCAAGCGAGCATCGCGTATGCTCCGCATTGGTTACTGCGCATAGAGCGCGAGATGCACACGATGCACGTATTCTTCGTCCACACGTGTGCGGAAGTGGGTGGAGTGCAGATAAGCACAAGGCCTGTACTATACTTATGTCATGTAGTACTATAACTAAATTTTTACATACATAAACATGGGGTTAAGCTTATTCCTCAAGTCGACATTCGGTCCGTATTTTCCGATGTTGGGCGTGGCGATCTCCGATCTCGATCGGTGAGCTGTGTGCGTGTGCGTGAATGGTCGAGGTTGGGAGTTAAGGGGTGCGGCTCTTTGGGAGGAGAGATCGGGTAGGTAAGTTTATTGGGAGGGTGGAGGGTGGGCTATTGGTATTTAGGAGCTAGACGGGGGAGATGGGGAGGAGGCGGGATTAAGGGATTGGTCGGGTGGGGTAAGGTATCTTGAATGGGGTTGGTTGAATGGAGAGGGGAGTTCTTGGTTATTTTTGATAGTGGGCTTGTGCATATCTTTTCAGGCCGACGGAAGCTGCGAGGGAGTTTTCTATGCTGACGAGTAATCTGAGTTCGGGTTTTACGCTGAGGGTACAGTTTCTGGCTTACATAGCTCCATATCTGCTTCTCTCACTTTTTATGTATCTGTTGTGTAAAGTGTGTTCTAGTATTTAAATCTAAATTTCATTAGCTTGCCTATTTTTTTGACCTGTTTCAGCCTACTGGACAACCAACAAGATACTCTTGGATTGAACTTACCAGTGTACCAAACTTCACCGTGAAGAAAGACTTTGTCCATAGGTGCTCGATCGAGATTAGTCTTTTCCGCTTTGTTCATTTTTGTCATTTAGGTGCAGGGCTACATCATAAGTCTCGCCAGACAGAACCGTAGTAGAGCCATATCTTTTCGTTGGTGGCTATGTGGCACTGCGAAATGCAGATCAATATATCCTCTAACATCAGGCAGCAGGCGCAAGGCCAAGACAATACATCTTTTGACATCCCTTATTCCTGCTACTAATACTAAGATGCCCGTGCAAAGTCTTGGAGACGAAAATATATCGTCTCATAGGTGACTAATATTAAGCTTTGGATCGACGTGTGATATGACGTCTTCTATACCTCCATTAATAGCAAGCCCAGGGGTACAATTTACCAGCTTTCTAGAGTAACACTTTAAAATATTAGCATACGAGTTACTCATGACATCATGTGAGCCTTATTTATCAAGTAAACACATCATAATTGTACCCTTGCTTAGCTATCTACTGAAGTGTGGGACTTGCTTGGAAATATGAACATAAGAAACGCTACAAATAAAAAAGTAGTAAGCCTAAAACTAGTACTTCAACTGCTCTACACATAACAAGTGCAAAAAGCAAGGTCATGTCACTGGGACAAAAAGAACCGAAGCCCAAGGGGCTCGAACCCTCAACCTTTGGTGAACAGGCAGACAAGGCCGAAAACCAACGCGCTACCATTGCGCCAAGGCTCCAGTGGATGATCTGATGGAAAATTGTTGATTTGCAAAATTCATATTGGAGACACGATAGAAAGATTACACTACATACAAGAAGGGCTCGACCAGTGGGGGATCATGGTATGAATTTACTCAAATGGTGGGGTGGAAGCTTGGCCGAGCCCCTCCACATGCGTCTCCACCTTACGGATTTCTATCGCCATCGGCAACACAGTCGATGCTATTATGTCAACTCAGCTCAGCAGTGCGAGCAAGACACAAAATATCAATGGAAAAGGGATGTATACCCCAAATATATGCCATGAACTACGAGTTTTGTAATTGAGTGTACATTGCACGAATGAATCTAATGACAGTATTTCGAAAATACAAGCCATGTTACATGTGATGATGATGAAGAAGGCTATCAAATTTCTATTCATACGCCAGACCATGCTATCGCTAACCGACAAGACAATTTCTAATACACACCCAGTAGTCGCCAAGTCACACGGCTGTTCAGTCTCAATTTCGGGGCTTCCTCCATAGCTCCTCTACATCGAGTTGCCGAGTTGACTTCACACCATTGTTTGGCTGTGAAGCAGTGTATTCAATGCCGCAAGATCCGCGATCCAGAGCAAGAGTGTTCAAATCCCAATGTAGTTGCTCTTCTGGGTCTGTAGCTAAACTCGTCCGGGTTCGGTTCTGAGCCTGAAGCGGTGCAGGACCAGCTGTCGAGGTATTGGAGGCCATCAAAGATAGTGATAGAGAGTCGAGCTCGTTGGCAAATTCCATTTCCTCTTTACTGGCCTCCATGGCAGAGCAGATGTTACTTGGGCGCGTCTTGGCTTTGAGCTCCATCTCGTAGACTCGCTGGTCACGGGAGAAGTCTGCCTCCAACTGCCGATGTTCGGCATACCATTGATCGTACTGCTCCTGTGACATTTGCTCGATTGGTGAGTACAAAGCGTTGTGCTGCGCTTGTCGCTCTTCCCAAATCTTGGCAGCTTCTGCTTGTATGCACTCGTGGCAGATGAAGGCAGCCTCTACGGTGTTTCCGTAAGGTTCGACGCAGTTTGTACCGCAGTCTTCGACTAAATCTGTGCGGATGCGATGCGAACACAAGAGCTGATGGTAGAGACGGCCTTGACACGGTGCAAATCGTTTTGACCGTACATTATTGAATGTCGAGGCTGATGAGGAAGGTTGTGTGGCGGTGGCAAAGGGTGAATTTGGGCCACCGCTCTCTGCACTTGGCGAACTGGTCCACCCCCATCTACACGCCATGACGAGGTTTGCATGAGACATGACATCGTCTGAGACTTTGGAAGTCGGGGCAGACCGAAAAGCGCTACTTGAGAAATCCATTGTGGGGACAGCTAAAGTCCAAGTTTGAGTTGAGGGTTGTCGATATGGCAGTGCGTCAGCTGACGACGCGTGGTTGCCTTGGAAATGTCCAAGTAAGCGAGGGACCAAAAGCCAGGAGCAGTATCTGCTACTGAACAGACAACAGATGAATATGTGGTCAAGGGCGTGGTGAGACAATTGACGTAGTATTTCGTATGGTCTTGTGAAAGCGCATCGTGTGTGCACAGGGCACTTGCAGTCGTGTACAACCCACGCTAACTACACCTATCGCAAAGGGCTGGTCGGTTGTTATCGCAATAGATGTTGGGCGGCCAAAAGTGCATATTACAATTGAGGCGGGCCGATAGCGATGTTGGAACGAAAGCGCGAATAGAAGCCCGATGGATGATGCGCTGCTGGGATGGAAGGTTGTGGACGAGTGAGAGGTGATGAGTCGCGACGCGCTGGGCCACACTCGTGATGGCGCCAAGCTTTGCCCGGGCCGATGACGCTACAGAAGCTTCGAGTTTCGCTATTAACACCACCCACTTACACTAGCGAGCTTTGCATGCAACCGGACCACGACAAAGTATGCGACATGAGTTGTACTAACAGTGACTCGTGGAAATCCAGAAGGATAATCTTTACTACCATGCGACTCGTCATCCGGTGCGGAGAAGGTCAGGAGGTGGCAAAAAAAGCAACAAGAGCGCATAAATCACTTGACGCATATTACTAACTCTATCTCGTGCGCCCCTGCTGTCCTCCAAACTGTTGATATCGTCATTCTAGACCAAGAATCTAAATCCACGCTCTTGCCCGGCACGTGGGACACTGTTGATTGCGCCCTCAACATGTTCGCCTCGGTCAAGCCTCTTGTTGAGTCGTACAAGAATGATGCGCATAATGCCCGCCATGATAATCGCCAACGCAGCCGTCGCACAATCTACACTCAAGGGTACGGTCAATTTTGGCTGCCCCTTCTTTGGCTGTGGATACATGTAACTAGCATAGATCGAGCTCGAGTTGCTGACAGCGTTGATGAATGCCAACGCCGCCGCTCTCTTAGCAGGCGGACGCGGCAACGAGTTGGAAATCCAAGCCAATGCAACGACGTAGCCCGTATACACACCCGGTACCATAAGCATCATGGAAACGTATCGAGGTGCTGTTGTGTGAGTAGCAGCTGCCAGGATAAAGGCGAATACGCCGACACAGAGTGGGAGTACGATGTGGAGGAAGCGTTCGCCTGTACGGTCTGCGTGCCAGGCGTTGAGATAAGTCGTGATGACCGCAAGGAGGTAAGGCGGGGCTGTAAGTAACAGTGTTTCGGTATTCGAGTATCCAAGAGTCTTCACCACAGTTGGGAAGAAGTTTGTTACCGATGCTGATGAGACAATGGAGAGGAGCATGATTGTGAAGACCCAGGTCTTGATGTCGACCAAAGCAAGTTTGAGGCCCTGGAAAAAGGTCTGCGCCTCTGAAGATACCCAATCTTCCTCGCCAATGTCTTCTTCTAGCCGAAAGACAGCAAGCTGACGTTCTTCATCGGTCAGCCATGATGTTGTGAGTGGGAAGTTTGGCAGTATCCAAAACGCCAAAAGGGCAATGCCGACAGTGATAGCGCCCTGCAAAAATTAGCATTTTTTAAACACTTTCTTGAAGAAATTACCTCTATAATGAACACCCAGCGCCATGCTCGCAATCCATGCGTCCCATCCATGTTCTCTTTGATGCCCGCTGTGATTAGCCCACCGAAGGCGCCTGATATCAGAGACCCAGAGTACAACACCGCAGTTCTGAACCCAAGCTCTTTCCTTGTATACCAGGCACTGAGATAGAACAGGCAGCCGGGGAAGCTAGAAAATGTTAAAAACTAACTTATAATATATTTAAGCAATACTCAACTATGCAGCCTCGATGACTCCGAGAAAAAAACGGCATGCAATCAGTCCGCCGAAATTTTGACATCCAGCTGTAGCTCCGGAGATAATACCCCAAACAACCATACAAGTTGGTAGGTAGAGTGCAGGTTTTCCGAACTTATTAAGGAAGAGGTTAGAGGGGACTTGCATGAGAATGTACCCAACAAAAAGGATGGAGATGATGGTCTGGACAAGGTAAGTATACGCTCCGCAGTTTTGAACGCAATTAAATGGTGTAGTCGTACCTGGTACTGTACACTAGAGAGGTTTAATTCTTCTTGGAGACCAGCCAGACGTACAGCAGCGATATTGTTTCTATCAAGGTAGTCTGGCAGAATCAGTCCCCATCTTAACCATCGCATCACCTTGTAACTTAGTGTCAACTCGACTTACTCATGATGTACATCAGAATAGCCATGGGCATCAACCTCGTATCGATTTTCCTCCGCAACCGCTTTTCGGCTAGATCTCGCTCCTCGGGAGTCATAGCAGCCACCAGCGGCGGCGGCTGCAATGTCTGCCTCGGATCATCTTTACTAGAACCTGCTTCAAGCATTACAGGCTCAAGTCGGTCCTCTGCGATTTGCGCTTCAGAAACCTCCTTATCATACTCCGGGGCTGCAACCGTTTTTGTCATATCTGCTCAAAGAGCGAGCGTGTAAAAGTGGAGGTGCGATACCACCAATTCAACGGGAAAATGTGGTGGTTGAATAAGCAAAGAGTGGAAGACAAGATATACCAAGCAAAATTGCGCGGCCTCAAGCTTACTTATACGGAGCTTACCTGAACGGCGAAGCATTAATGGCGGGGGTGGCTGCAACCCATGTCCAATCTCATCTGCCTGCACCGGGGTAATTGCCCGCGCGGGTCGTGTCACGATGAGCCTTTGCCGGCATACATACAGGAATGACGGGCCGCCGCTGGAATCAGCGACCCAACAGCGTCCAGCGTAGACAATGATTGGCGCGACAACCATGACGATGCAACAGTATCATGTGGCGTGGGCAAAGGATACACAAGACGGGTTAGTACTATAGTTTAACCGGCTGGGGGACCTGTTCAGTAGAAATCTGTTTTGCCGCTGCTAAACCTAACCTTGTAGCAATCTAGGCTCTATCTAGAAAAAATTAGAAATAGGAACATCGTTACATTCAAAATCAATATTCATTTAGTAGTTATAAAATAAATCTTTTGATACAATGTACATAAACCGCTATTTAGTGTATTTTAACAGGTTTCTGTTTATAGAGTCATAGAAAATGAAAAGGATTCTTTTTTGTAAACATATTAAGAGAACCAGTGCGTTATAAAATCAAATAAAATCAAAATTAAACTATGAACTCTTACTATAACTCTCACTCTAGCTCTATTTGTCTCTATATACTTAGGCGTCGAAACTCCAAGTTGTTGAAACAAAAAGAGCCTTTGATCTCTCTCTAGGCGCTCATCGCGATCCACAAAGCTCTTGTGGTTGCCAGCTTATACTTGCGACAGCATTTGAGAGCGACTAGGTGTCTTTTTAACAGTGGATGGTATGGCCGCTGATAGAACAGCCTTGCGCGGCCCACTTTGGACTCATTAGTATCTGAATTTGAAACTAATATTGACAGGCAACTTACATTGACCCATCCACCGTCACCATTGTTGGTAACAGAGCCTGAATAAACCTCGAAACAAGCATAGCTTTTGAAACAGTGTTAGTATAACCTTTTTACAGCTGTAGGAAGAATTAAGGAGCTTACGTGGTGTGGTAAATATCCCACGAGAATTTCTCAGTGGCAGGACCTTCAAACACAGCGCCAGGACTAGTAGAGTATGGCCCATTCATGCAAATAACGCCCTTGGTGCCTGGTACTCGGGTCGCGTAAAGATCCCGAATATGCTCCTGCATAAAGGCTGTGCGAGCCTAAAGCGATTTGTTAACACATGGTATAAATTCAAGTGTGGCATTAGCTTACCTGGTCGAAATCTTTCCAGCCTTCCACTGAAGGTGCGAGGGCATCTTTCGCGCGCTCGATTGCCGCACTTATTGCACCAGCAAAGAGCTTGCCTCCGATGACTTTAAGCAAGACTATAGCGGGAACAATCCGTTTCTCGAGCATGGCGGGAGCCTGTTCACTGCTTAGCTTTTCCATCGATACTGAATTTCTAGCAAAAACTGTAGATTGGCTCACCTCAACATTGACTTGGCTCACCTCAACATTGGCGACGCTCCCAGCATCTTCAGTGACAGCAGGAAGAGCCAGTGCTGAACCTGCGAGAACGGCGAGAGTGAAGTTGCGGATCGTAGAGAATTGCATGATGGCGGTGGAAGTACTCGTACTGAAAGAAGAGTGGGAAGGCTGAGGTGTTCCTTGTGGTTGTTGATGTTGTAGATGTTGTGCGAAGTGATGAGTAGATGGGTGGCTGCGACCTGCATACTTATACTGTTCGAGGGCTGCTTGACCACGAGCATGTCCATTGCTAGCAACTGGGTTCAAAGTGTTCTAAGGGAACATTCCGTCGCCGTGATACTACGGCGTAGCCTTTGCAGATTCCATCATTGTACTACTCACCGTCTAGCCCTCTCTCTGTGACATTCCGTCGCTCTAATACTAGCGTACACGAGCATATCCCGTTAGCTCAATATATCAGCCAATCGGACCTAGAATAACATAACGCTCACTAGGGTAACACTAACGATTTTTGTAGCTATACTGGGGTAATGCTAGAGTTACTAAGATTAAGCAAAGGCCTGTCCCGTTGCCAAGGACATCTGCTTAGATATTTACTAGGGCATCCCTTGAATCCTTATGTCTTCTTCTGATAGAATCTAATCGAGCTAACGGAATATACCTATGTACACCAGTAGCTTTTTACAGATCCAGTTATTGTACCACTCACGTTCAGACCTCCTTCTGGTCGACGTCGTCCCTCAGGTGAGTTTCCCGATCAGCTGAACATTCATAGCCAGAAGCCGCACCGCCTGTTCGAGAGACCGATCGCCTAATTGGTCGTAATGTTGCATTCGGTCAATTAAAACCCTATTCTAAAATCATAATATCGTTACGTCAGCCGCAACGGTCCTGGTTCGCGTAAAAGGAATCGGAGGGAGCGAATAAGTGCTTTACTGCAGGATGAAGGTACTATCGCCCTAGTAAGCGCCGAGAGAAATAGTACCCCTCTTCTTACAAGCAGAAGCGGTCGTAAGTTGGCAGCGAAAACAGTGCAACCGCATCAGTGGATTCGGACTCTTCGAAGCAATCGTTCGATGCTTTCGTCCTTTAGCCTTTACCAAGTTAAATGATTCCGCAGTGCAAGAGGAGGTGGCGCCTATCTTCTGCGCACCTGATATCCTTGTAATGTTGGAAATCAATGTTAACGAGAGTCGTCCCCTGCGTACCAATGTAACTAGCGCATGATGAACACGGTTGCTGACTTGGCTGCCTTTCCTCTTTTCGTTGTTGGAGCTCCGAGGAGATCGAGTTCACGGACAGGAACAGCGCTACACAGCATCCCGTCCACGAAATTGGAAATCCCTGGCCTTGGCGAAGCACTGCCGCGCAGTGATCATGTAGACTGGAGATGACATTCAAGCGCCGAATCTATACAGTGCACTCGTGTCAGCATCACACGTGGCACCCTTGGAATAAGCGGCGTATCAGAAGCGCCACATACTTTAGTCAGCTAAACCCAGTATTACAGTACTTATCACCTTCACTTGAACTTCCAACTTCCACAACCCCGTGCCGCTCTACGCCGTTGGGTCTCGACTACTTCAAGATCACAGTAGTCAGTGAAGTCACAGAGCAATCCAAGCAATGCAATCACTAGTCGCACAATTCACATCAAGCACATTAAGTGTGCGTTGCGCGTTCTTGGAGGAGGCGGTAAAACCGTCGAGGTGTGCTTCTAACCATCATGAGACGCGGGTCGGAGTCCAAGCACTACTAGCTAGGCTGTCAAAATCTACCTATTTCATATATGATATAAGGCGTGCCTATAGCGTGCGCTCTTTGCCTCTTGCGGCTCCTGCGGAGAGCGGATTTTTTTAATTATTTCTCTAGCTTCCGTAGCTACTCTAGGATAGTCCAGCGCAAGGTTAGTTTTCGAGCTCATTTTCTGGCTGATTTTTAAGCTTGTATCTTGGCTCGTTGTTTGGCTAGTTTTCTAGCACGTTTTCTAGCTAGTTTTGGCTAAATGCTTAGCTCATCTTTAAGCTCGCATTTTAGCTTGTCTTCTAGCTTGTTTTCTAGCTTGTTTTTAACTAGTTAGACCAGCGGGGATTTTAGTGTCTATCACAGAGAAGACTTTCAAAAGTTCTTGCTAACAGGGATTTTGAATACTACCGAAATCCTACCGAAATCCTACCGAAATCCTACCAATATATAGAAAGTTTTGTAAGCCTAATATCCGACTGAGGGGTGCTGATTAACCGAAGGTTTGGATATCCCGGAAAGCGGGACGGCATGAACGGGCACAGTAATTTTCTTCGGCTTGGCTTCCGAACCGGGACGAAGTTCTAGATCTCCCTTGAAATGTGGAATACAAGGCAAGATTGATACGAAGCTTTCTTGAACTCTAAAGTCACACCCAATGAAGACCCCAGTCCAGTGGTTGCTCTTCTCGCCCAGATCATACCGTACTTAGTATGACTCCATCACTATTATCGTGTCTTGCTCAACTGGTTTGCGGGAGCGTAACGTCTCACCCTTCACCTTCCACTTGTAGTTACGTTTAACGGCCTTTTCAAACTTTAAATCTTCCTTTGAGCCCTCGACCAATGGAACAAAACGGGAAAAACCGATAGAGTTCTGCACTTCGCCCGTAGTCTCACGAGTCTCATTTGTCTGCTTATCACCTATGTTCAAACAGCTGACATCTCCTTCTTTCGCACATTCTACTTTCCGTGCGTCGTATAGGTAGGACCGATATGCTTCATGGCACTGTGGACAGAGAAATATCGGCTCTCTCCGGGCGTTTATGTTAATGCATTTACAGTTTGAAGCGCATTTTGAGGATGCGTCCAGGTTGAAGAAAATAGCTTGGATGATGTGCCCACAGACGAGCTCGTGGACCGGCATTCCCGCACAGGGTTGGATTCGCTTTGTAACGAAATTAGGAGACATATTGAAGTCTTCTGTCGAGGTTAAAACGTTAAATTGAATGCGAAGACTTGACTGCCAATTTTTGCGAGTAGGTGCTACGCAGGAGATTGGGTATTTATAACCTATACGTTACATTTATACAAACCGTGAAGACTATACTGGACTCAGTTCACATAAAGAAGACATCAAGCAATGAGCTTTTGACCACCTCTTTTTTCAAACATATATCATGCTTCTTACATCGGCGGCGGGTTCAGGTCAAGACCCTCGACACTGAGTTTGAAGCTATCCATGCGCGAATAGCTTCCCGCAGAGTCAAAGTCAAGTCTTCCTCGGTCGCAATCTTCAAAATCAACCTCTGTGACAAGGAGCTCATCGTCCTTTTCCCAAAGTGGTCCGGCTAGCACCTCACCAAGAGGCGATACGATTATTGAGCCACCGCGAGAGACGAACTCTTCACCGTCTGCAGACCATGACCGAGGTTGCGAGAAAGACTGCAGTTTGATGCTGGAGGTTTCTTCTATGGAGTCAATAGCTGATGAGTCGCCGTTAGTTATTGCATCTTGTCCCTTGGGCAATGGCAAGCAGATCTCATGGCCGTCTTCTGTCCTCGTGATGGTGCTTCGCCGGCGCGCGGCACCGCCACTCTGTTGCAATATCGTTCTACCAACTCCGCTACTGCTTGCGATGCTTGGCGAGCGGGCTGTTTCATTCCTTGTTTCGCCTGTTATCCACTCAGGAAGATGCCTCCTCTTGACGCACTGGTTTGCACTGAGAACAAAGCAACGCCCCTCGCACCCAACGGTCCGCATCAGTGCAGCCCAAGTATCGCGCGCATCCGCTGTCGGCGCAAACCAAAGATTGACATTTTGGCTGTACAGACTCTGTCTTAGCAATGGCATGTAGTTTTCCCAGCAAATCGCCGAACCCATGCACAGCTTCACGCCCTTGATCTCGGTCGTTACTGCCCTTAGCGTACTCGCACTGCCCATCCCCCATACTAAGCGCTCACTGCCTGTCGGCATCACCTTCCGTCTCTTACCCAAAACACCTCTCTTCGGATCTACAAAAACGGATCCACAATACAGTGTTCCTCCAGATTTCTCTACCAGTCCTGTCACGACAAATACACCCGTTTCCTTTGCAATCCTCTCCAGCTCTTCTCTCGTGCCATCACCTCTATACTCCTTTCCCTTTGGTAATTCGAGCTTTCGGTCAATCCAGTCTTCGCCTGCGCCATTTGGAGTGTCTCCTAGATCGACAGCATCGTGGAAATAGTGCAGGAATTGCTCGCGACCTTCGGGCGCGCGTGCGCCGACTGCAGCACCGAACGAGCAAGTGCGAGGGTATCCGCCCAAGTACGCTTCCGGGAACAAGAGTATGTCTATTCCCTGAGATGCAGCGCGCTTGGTGGTAGTTTCAAGGGCTGAGAGGGTTTGGGCTGTTGTAGAGAGGGTGCGAGATTGCGCGGCTGCGATCTTGAGAACCTGCGGCATCCTGTCTAGATTGGAGCGAAGCGAGAGTATAATTCAAGGTGGCCCGACGATGTGGTTAGATCTGAGACGATACGAACCAAAGGATCATTCATATACGAGGACGAGCCCATGACGCATAATGGCATGATCTGGAAGAAAATTTATATGTACTACGCCTACCCCGCCGTCGTACTACTACCATTCATTACCCCGCGCCTCGGACAGTAAAAGTAGGCCACGGCATCTTAGCCAACGTCGTACACACTGGCTGGCCTGAAGCTAGTCAATTTGGGCATTTCTGTTTATCACCGCAGGAACTCAAGTCGCAGATATACAGAAATGCACAAAAGGGTATGAACTAAGCAAGGGTGCAGTGGAGCTACTCGACCAGTGGACTTCAACTCCACTACGACGTCACAGCATGGATAGGACAGCACTAGCCGGAGAATTTCTTACTTTCTACAACCATTCTACATGTGACGCATCAACGATATTTCAATAACATTCAATTCAACAACGCGCCTGGCCGAAACATAAGAATTCAAACCAACCCGGAGCACAAAATACCCGCCATGGCATCAGGCACTGACCTCGCGACTCATCTCCAAAACCTTATACCAGACTCGTACGCCCAGCTCCGCGACTCTGTCCTGCCATCCCTCTTAAAGTCAGTGCACACTATAGCCGGCCATCTGCGCACTTCACCCAGTGTAACCCAAGTCGGCACCGCCAATGCATTCGGTGACGATCAACTCAACGTCGACGTGCTCGCCGAGGACGCCATCCGCCAAGCCATCAAAGACTGCCCCAGCATAGTCACCGCCAGCAGCGAGGAAGACCCAATCGAGAAATCCTCAGAAAGCCGCAGTTCGGAAACCAGCGAACAATACACACTAGCCTTCGATCCGCTCGACGGCTCCTCTATCATCGCCCCAAACTGGAGCGTAGGCGCCATCCTCGGCATCTGGACCGGACCCTCAGCCCTGCACTCCAACCCATCCACCCAGCAAATCGCCTCAATCCTCGGTGTCTTGGGTCCTCGCACCACAGCCATCATCGCTATCCGCATCCCCGGTCATCCACCTACCTGCTTTGAAGTTGGATATTCCTCATCGGGATCCATTCAAGTAATCCGGCCAACCGTACAATTGGCTTCCCCTTCAGATACGAAAACCCGGTACTTCGCCCCCGCCAACCTACGCGCCGCGGCCGATGACGCGAAATACATGAGTCTCATCACGAATTTCATACAGCGAAAATACACCCTGCGCTACAGCGGCGGTTTAGTACCGGATATCGTGCACGCCCTCGTCAAGGGCCACGGTATCTACATCTCCCCCGTAACACCGCAGAGCAAAGCTAAACTCCGCCGGCTCTACGAACTCACCCCCATTGCTCTGATCATCGAGTGTGCAGGTGGCGCGGCACTGGATTCCGCAACGGGGAAACGCGTACTGGATGTTGCGGTGGCGGATACGGATGAGCGGGGGGGCTTAATATGTGGGAGTCTGGAGGAGGTGGAGGAGGTACGGAGGGCACTGTTAGAATAAACATTTGCATACACACCGGTGTAGACTAGCTAGCTGTCTGGATAAATGTTACATTGTTAAACTATCGATTGGTGCACCATCATCCTCTCCTCTCCCTTTCACACTACCTACGTAGATCAAACCTTCCTACTAGCTACTATACCCACATGCCCACGTGCACACACACCTCGGCGCTTTTCTCCCCACGTGGTTTTTTCGGGCCTTTTTGCCCGGCACTACGAGACACACGGACGAACCTTATCCCCCCGCGTCAGTGAGGGGGATCTGCGGTTTATCGTAATATTAAACTGAGAGTTTCTTGGGTTGAGCACGTTTGGTCTTTGAGGGGGGGGGATGGGTTGACAGGTGACAGTGACAGTGACAGTGCCGCACGAGGCGGTAGGTAGTAAGGGGATCTGTGCGGAGGGGTTTGGCTGCAGGAGGCTTGTATTTGGATTTCTTTGTATTTTTGGGACGTGGAAATGGGGTTGTATGCTGTGAGGAGTGTTACACAAGAGATGCTTGGTTTGTAGATTGATTTGAATTTTTATGCGATTCTGATATTGTACAGTATGAGACCTGTAGCCAGAATGATGTATTATAGGTGGGAAGTATATATCCACCTTTTTGTGATTAACAGCTCAAAAGACCGCCCAGAGAATGTATGCTACATGCAATCGTCCCCCCTCCTATAAATCCAAGTATTAAAAGGTCCCCAGGAGTCCTGTATAAAAGTCGAAAGATTCGTCAAATTTGGTAAGTCATACGCTGTGTGTGAGAAAAATGCAAGTGGTATCAGGCTCGAAAACAAAGCGAGTGTTGTACAAAAAAGTAAGATCCGTATGCCAAGTGCATAATGATAGTATTATGTTTTTCTTCAATTCAAATAGCGCGGCCGGTTTCGATATCGCCGTCTCGTGACCGGATTCCAGGATTCCCCATGCTGCCTGGCCGGAAGGCGGCACAGACATTCCTGCAACTCTCTGCCCACTCTATTCTATCTCGCCACGCTTGGTGGGATGGCGGCAGCTCAGTCAATGCCTTTGTGCTTTCAAAACTCTTGTGACTGCTATCGTCTCGCTCCTCGATGCTGATCTGGAGTTTGTGATTGACATGGATGCCTTCTAGCGGAATTTCCTCGCTAGGGGTAGCATCACCGCCTCGGATTTGAGATTTGTGTGATGAAAACTGCGAATGTTTTGATAAGAATGCATTCGATGCCAATTTCGACGCTACTTCGGGCGTTTTTCCGCGGCTGATATTTCCAGTGTAGCCGTCGCGTGAGGTGTGCTGTGTAAAATAGCGGTTGAAGAAGACCTTGAGGGAGGGAGCCGAGGCGCAAATGACGGCTAATTGTGCTTCGAGGTTTGTCCAGATCCAGCCGTAGTAGGCAATCCAGGTGATATCATAGGTGACTGCGTTACAAGCGTTAGGTTTCCGAACCATCCAGTCTGGTTAACAATGAGCTTACAGTAATATAGCTTTGTAGCGTAGTATGTACGCATTAGGCCACAAAAGCACGTAATCAGTCCCATGCCAAAGATGCCACAAAGTGCAAGCTTTTGACGCTTACTGATCTGCAGGTTCCAAATCAAGAGGACAGGAAGCAGGCAAATGATAAAGTCCTGAACAGAGCTTATCGCTGCGCATGCCACAATGAGCGCCCCCTCGTCGCGACACACCAACTCGTTTTGAATTCTCCACGCTATGTCGAAATAACGCCAGAATCCCTCGATTGGCGTGCAAGTGAAGAGAATGGCAAAGGTGAACACGACACCGTAGATGACACAGAATGCAATAGTGGCATATACCCCTGTTGCACATGAATTATAAGAGCGTGTTCTCATGATAATATACAGTGACTTCTACTCACAGTAGACAAACTGGTGCGTGAGACGTCCAGTGATACGGCGATAAAAGCACAGAATCGAGACTTTGATTAGTGATGTAGAGATCATGTAGAGGAGTTCAATAGCGAGAGCAATCTAGAAGGTCAGTAAGTGCAAAAACAGAAATGCAAAGCACACCGACATACCTCTCGTGACGTGACCAAAGTCTCGGTTGTTTGATCCCAGCTATGCCACTGATACCCATAGATTCGAATGCCTTTCCTCGTCAGCAGACATCATGGCATGCGAACGCGAGTCTTACCAAGTACAGTTGCTATTGTCAATCCAAACAGGGGTATCATAGAGAGGCTGATGAGGATATCGTCGAGTCCAGTGTTCTTCGATATAGCGATTCGGGCCCACATGCGTGCAACGTAGACGAGAAACGTTATGCCCAGAAAGACCAACAGCACAATTGGTGCTGCCCATCCTCTTTCCTCGGGGTTGACGTAGTTTGGTTTCGGCCAGTTCAACATGACCTCTGGCGGAGGGTGAAGTCCTCCACCACGAGCGACAAGGCCACCAGCATGGGAACTTTGGCTGTAGACGTCCATGCTAAGGTATGCGGGCTTGGATGTCGGACTTGCAAGCGGGAAAGAGCGAAAGGGAAGTCAAGCGTCGTTCAAAGCCGCAGACAGTGAAGGTGGGAATGAGCATGTAGTATACGGCAGTCAGACCACGCCCAGCATGGCCAATGACTCTCTGGCGTTATGTGGGGTTCACATGTACCGCGCGCGCTAGTGAATTGATCAACGGCATGTCGCGACATATTCCCTGTTCACTCAGAAACCGATCCACGTGTTATACGCATACCGAGTGCCTGGCCGATTGTTTCCATGAATAGTTTAGTTTCGTGAGGGGATGATGCCAATTCCGGTGACCATCCATGGTTCTTGAAACTGGAATACGTACTGTAATTGTTTGTAGAAAAAAAGTTAATATCGCGTCTATGGACTGCCTGAAGATGCGGGTAAAAATTGCGAGAAGCTAACGTGGGCGGATGTACAGGATCCACTTCGCTATACATACCTTGCTCTTAACGCCGATTGTATCCAAACGTTCTTTTCGTGGGCTTGAATGGGTTCATCTAGCAACCACACGTGGCATGCGAAACATGATGGCGTATTGGCGTCGCCAGGCTGCAGATAGTACAGGGTCCAAAACGTCCCAATGCGGCAGATAATCAGGCAACATGCCTTCGGTTCTGACTATCCTGAGTAGGGTTGCCGACTTCGCAAAAGCTAGCTCCAGAAGGGCTAGCGTGATGTCGTGCTTTCACTATGCATGCTTGTCGATCTACAGCGGCTCATTGTCGAGCCATCATTTTTAGGAATTGGTCACTGCAGTTCTTGGAACGGACTTTACCCTCAGGGCGAGCAGTGGCTTTTGTGCCTAAGCCCTTATGATTCACCAGCGTATCCATTCCGAATAGTTTGTAGTGTTATAGTCAATGGTTTTTTTGTGGTTCAAGACACGGCTTCGATGTCACCATGAGGATCCATACATGTTGTAACCGAGCCATGGGTACAGGACGCTTGTTCAGGGATATAGCTGACAGCACGTGACTGATAGACACGGCTGATGGGACAAAGTTAATTGTTGTACTGTAGATACACCTGTGTATACACATCCTCATATTCTCTCGTGCCTACCCTACTGTGGTGGGTGGGTGTGGTGGTTGCCGAAGCGGCATACTACGCGAGTAGTAAGTATGCTTCTGAACACGGCCTAGGCGAACAGAAACCTCGACGTCCATGTTTCGGCTTAAGGTGGATCCACAAAAGGGTCGAGCCTGAGCCGCTAATAATTAACATCATCGCGCAGGATTTGTCGGCAGCGCGCTGACAACTTGCTGAATAAAGTTACTGGTGGTCGGCAGGTCCCTGTCAAACCTTAATCCATCGCTACCCAACCACAGACGGCTGATGAGACTCTCGTCACGAGACATCCCGCTCAACTTCGGCGACAGATAATAGTAGTCGGAAACAATGGAGAATATCGTTTGCAGATCTCGCGAAAAGGGTGGCGTGCATGGTGTTGATGTCCCTACCCAGGAAGAATTAACCCGAACGCTTGACTAGGTTCTGTCATGATCGCGATCCTGCTGCGCACAGATTTCTCAACGCTACTAACCCCCCTGAGTACTTGTGGTGATATACCGATCCTCGACGGTTCGGCGAAGAGTTCACTTCGCCTCATGTCCGCTCTGGGTCTTAGCAAAGGATGTTAATGCGCATGGTGTTGGGCATGACGCCCGCGCTCAGATCAGGAGAGTGCGGCTCGATGCCAAGCATTCCGAGGACGTTCCGCATTGTTCCAACCGCCATCTCATTCCCCCAGTGTCCAGACAATGTGCCACCAATGGCTTCCTGGTATATAGACGGACTCAATGCCCATATTGTTCTTCACCGGTTTGATTTGATCGATGACTTCAGCCGCAGGGCGGGTGGCTGACATTGATGGCTCGGCCCCCACCGCGCGCCTGTCCCTTTTCTTAACATTGACGTATACTTTTCGCCCTGTGTTCGCATATGGTGATCTTCGTCTTTGGCGGATTTGCTCGAGTAACGACATTTGTAGTTCTCCCCCCTCGGGAGCCTAGAGTAGACTGAAAGCTTCCATCGCCTTCCGTACTGCCTCTGTGGCCGCGCTTTCAGGAGGAAGGTTGACCCATGTCTCAACAGATTGGCTAGGATTTCCACCCATGGCGCCACCGACTGCTTGGTTCATATCAGCCATTTTTTTCCTCTCTGCAGGAGCGCCGCCGGTAGCAGAATCACGGAAATCCAACGTTCGAGGTGTTTGGTCCGAGCCGTTCTGCTTTGCTTTTCTTGCCGTTGCCGTGCCTGGACGTTTGCGCGGCGTCACTGGCTCCTCTTTATTGCACTCTTCTTCTACGCCGCCGAAACCATCCTGTCGCATAAACTCGTCAAAGAATTGGAGACGCGGCTCGTCAAACTTGGCGACGGCCTTACAGGCGCGATAGCCTCTTCGGAGCATGGCTGCGATATATTGTTCGGCAACACGGCGCACCTCCGACTCCTGACTCGATCCGGAACCCTCCACCGCCTCGTTATGATTCAGCTTCAAAGTAAGCCCTTCGAGAGCTACTTCGGCGCGCACCACGTCGATGAGGCATGTTGGACAGACAAAGGGATAGCCCTGGACAGGGCGTGCGCAGAGCCCGCCACAGCTTGCAGTATACTCAGTCTGGATCCTGTGCCCACACTGGAGATCGTGAAATGTTGATGAAGAGTTGCATGGACTGTACATGTCCTGGAATTGTTGTTGATCCTGTTGTTCCCAAGCTTGATGTTGTTGCTTCTCGGCTGCAGCGAGTCTCGCATGGAACGCCTCAATGGTAGCACGAGCGCTGGCTGTTGTAGCTTGCATTGTTGACATTTACGAAGCTCGAGTGTTGCGATTTCGGGTAAGATTGGAAGACGAGCACGAGCTGGTTTTGAACATGAAAATCGGATGCGGGGCGATCGACTACTACTGTATCGTCAACTCCCGGCAACCCCATCTCGCTAGCATCACCGCGTAAGTATTACCATCTGCACATCATTATGCCATATCGGCCCGTCAGCCCCACGATGTCCATAAACCCAGCCTGACTGGAGTTTCGCAATGCTTGTGTGATTGTAACATCTTTTTGGGTCAGACAAATGACAATGCTGTACACACCTCGGCAAGCCATTGCTGGGCCAACCATATGTAGGTATGGGTGTACGTATATACATAGACCAACCTCCAGAGAACTTCTACAATATCCAATGTAATACCATTATGTTTTCACCGTGAACCATCGAAAACCTGCAAAACCTCTCTTTCTGCCTAATGATTAAACGTATATTGAATAACTATGCTAAAACGAACGCAAGAACATAAGGTAACGTATGGTATGCTATTCTAGAAAAGCGCACTTGGCGCCTGTACCTCCCAGAGCGACACCGTTGTGAGTGATGCAGTGCGCGTAGTATGTCAGTTCAGAGATTGTGTGGCATCAAGTTTGGCATTGAAGGCCGTGGAATGGGAAGCTGTGTAAGCTGCCCGCGCAGTTCAAGATGGCTAAGCCTGGATTGCAATGACTCTAGCTTTCTTCGTACCACTTCTACTTCCGAGACTGCCTCTGCACCGGGATATTGAGGTGTTGACAATGGCAAGGACAAGGGTGACACTGTGGTAGGTGGTCCAGGTTGGGGTTGCGTGGCTGGATCTTTGGAGCGAAGAGAACGTGATGCGAGTTGTTCTCCCGAAGCGTTAACCTCTGGTGGAAACCCGGATTGTGTGTGTTGTGCGGGGGACGGCATTTTCGCTTGTTTCGACCTCAAATTTGGGTGAGAGCGCGGTTGTGAGCATACTTCTTCCCTCTTTTTGCCTCCGTGTTCACGAGTATCTGATGGCGTGCCAGTCGACACTTTGACCTCCTTGCTTCCGAGTTCCAAAACAGGGCTTGGTATGTTTTCCTTCTCTGTGGTTACTGCCACTGGCGCTGGTGACCCCTGCGCTGATGATGCAAGATTTTGCCTCAGCCGATCAAGTGTTTGAACAAGAATGGCACAGTTCTTGCATGCAGACAAGTCGATAGACTTGGTGGTTGTTCGTGGCAACGAAGACATATTAGAGGCATCACCCATATATATATGCTGCATCCCCGGATTGTTATCACCACAAACGGGCTGTACTTTCCTCATGGTTGTTGTAAGCGACGACGTTGCTGATTTTGAACTGCGCTTCTTCCGCCACTGCTCAATCTTTTCCTCTGTAGTCATGGAGCGTCCAAAATTTGATGAGAGTGATGGTCCTACCCAAGGCTCAAGTTCCACATTCTTATGTTTGAGGTCGGCTGGTAAGGTTGCAGATCGTGTAAGTGGCCTTTGTACAAGTCGCGGTATTTCCTTTGGGATTCCTGGTGCGCGTAAGAGTGGCGCTTCTACTTCTTTACTTTTTCGCTGTGAGATTGCCACTGGTCGATCTAGCGGACTTTTCACTTTTGACTTGCCCTGTCTGATGATTTCGAGCATCGCTTCGCCCTTGGGAGCAGTGGTCAGATTCTCAAAGCCTCTGGCAGTTATCAGAATATCATCTTCGATGCGAACTCCGCCCACAGGTAAGTAACGTTTTAGTGCTTCAGTGTTGATAAATTTCGAATGGACCGGCGACGGGAGATAGAAGTGTTGCAAAGCGTAGGCCGAGAAGTAGATACCAGGCTCGACAGTTACCACCATGCCTTCCTCAAGATGGCTGCTCCGAGGATCTGCTGGCGCGCGACATGTCTCGGGATTGTATACTGGGCTGTGAAAGTTTTCTGGGTAGAGAGAAGGTGCCTATGGAATATCAGCAGCTGTCGATGCATGTTGCGCGTTTCAAACTAACCTGTTGAGTGACGAGCTTGCCTCTTCGGATGCTCATTAGATCTGCTTGGCTCGGGTCATGGACTTCTAAGCCGACGTGATGTCCCAATCCGTGAGGAAAGAAGGCTCTACTTGTGCCTGCTTTGTATATTTCTTCTTTTGTTCCATTATGCAGGATTCCGAGCTGCAGAAGACCATCGATCGCAATTTGATGTGCCAGAACGTGCAGGTCTAGATACCTAACACCAGGACCTAATCTCTCGATGCACGTGTCTTGCATGCGTTGGACCAGCTTGTAGACGTTTTTGGCTTCTTTGCTAGGCCAAGAAGCAGACAATGGGAAAGAACGGGTAATGTCGCTAGCATACAGTTCGTACTCACAACCAGCATCTAAGCACATGAGTTGCCGACCAGCAAAGCTCTCGTTGTTTGCATCATAATGCAGAGTGCCTGCATTTGGTCCGGATGCGGCAATAGGATCATAGGCTTGCTGTTTGGCCTGACGTGATATGCACACATCCATGAAGAGGCCTTCGACTTGCGCTTCGTTGTTGAAGCTGAGGATGTTCTCAAGTACCTGTCGATGCGCCTGTGAGCTGATGTCATTCGCTTTCCGGATGAGGCTGATTTCATGGCTGTCCTTGATCATGCGACACATATTCATGGCTGGTTGGAGAGAATGAAAGTCTGTGCGAGGCACAAGATTATCGCAGCCTGGTACCCGCGAAGATGGATGCAAGACGTAAACGCCAGCGTGGCGATTGACATGGGCCCACTCCTGGATGACATACTGTAGCTCGTCTGTGTAGAACACTTGGTCAATGTCGTATTTGGTGAGCGCCTCTGCTCGAGTGGAGCCACGGCCATTCCAGATGACGCGCGCAGGATTGATGCGCGGAATGAATAAAGTTAGGACATCGCGTTGGACATCGTAAGCCATGTGGCAGTCAGGTTCATTACATCTTGCCACTATCAGCACATGAATGAAGCAGTCAATGACTTGGGCGCAACGCACCCGCTCAAGTAGTAAAAGTATCGTCGCTGGCGAAAGGGAGCTGGCATGTCGCTGTCTTCATTGTTCCTCGCCGGCTGGCCTGGAAGGTAAATCAACCCATGCTCAATGCCCATCTTTTCTTGCACGCGCCGCGCATGCTGTTTGGCTGGATAATGTTAGCATGACGCGCAACAGGTCGAGAAGCTACAGTGTTTACCTGGGTACTTGTCAAACGGCGTCTCGGCCTCGAGGTGCAGCCAGTAGTCTTGGTCCTCCCACCTGAGGCGTTCGGCAAGACTGGTCGCGTCGAGAACTTGCATGGTTGCACCTTTTTCCGACCTGCAGAAACACTGCGAATGCAAAACTTGTCGCATCGGCGGAGGCGCGGTCGCTCTATTAGTGCTGTGTGAGCTGCTCACCGGTGAAGCCCCCGAAACCGTGCAGGCGCCAAGATCCGGTCAAGTAATCCGTGCAGCAGCACCGGTTTTTCTTTTGAGATGCTCAAAACGATTCTAGTCCCGCCGTTTTCGTCGGAATTGCACACCATGTGCTGACACTGTTTTTATGCCACCGAAAGGGTGAGAATGAGGGGTGAAGGCAATGGTGAGCCCGACGATGAGACGCCGTGGTGTCGAACCGCATTTCTCGTCATGTGCTCTTGTCCGACCCCACCCCTGCACTTCCCCAGATGCATCGTGTGTGCGACATCGTGTCCTTGTGGTATTTGCAGCTCAGCTGGGCGCCGACATCATCTTAACAGCTATTGATAGGTGACACGAGATGGATGACACCTGTTCCGGGTCCATTAGGTAGTTGGAGTGAAGGGATTGCCATTTGGCGGCCTAAAGGCCTGTTCATTGGCCAGCCTGTTGACCGGTGGCTAACAATATCTTTCCGTTGCATTCAAAACATCGAATATCGCAAATTGGCACGGAATATGAGCAAAGCTGGAGAATGCTGCCCAACTGTGACCTTTGCCTAGCGAAGTTGCCAGAGGGCGTGCTCACCGACAAGATGAAAGGAGAGTCGAGTAGCGGCGACGAGGCGGTCAACACCCTTGTGTCTTATAAGAGTGACTTTTTATACCACGATTACCCCGCAAATCCTGGCTTATCCACATCAGCTCCACACGTTTCTCAAAAGCGCTGTGTGAGCAGAAACACGGCGATTGGCACCAATCCACTCGTTTCATTCACTGTTCAGAGCGCCATAGGATGTGCATCAACACGGAACAACTTTTATGCTACTGTGCTTTTCGATAGCAACACAAGCAATGAACATCGAGGTGAGATGCAAAGAGTCCGTAAGATTTCATTACAATTTACGCTAAATTGAACAAGATTATGCCCGGACATGCCGTACATGTGCAAACCCATCACCAAGGCCCTAAACATCTATCTTCTTTCACCGTACAGCACTCGCATGTGCGGCATTGTATTGTTCAACAGCGTCAGATACATCACTATCATCATCATCATCGTCTTCTTCTTATTCTTGTTCTTCTTGTTCTTCTTGTTCTTCTTCGTCGTCGTCTCCTTCCTCTTCCTCTTCCTCTTCCTCTTCCTCGTCACCCATATCCTCATCTTCACCCGAATCATCACCATTAAAGTGTGATGTTTCAGGCTGTCGGTCCACAAAGACTTGTTCCACCAACTCTTCCCAAAACTTATCCATTCCATTTCCAGTGTGTTCTTTGACCTTAAGCGACTTAGCGTCCTCCTTTTCCCTAAAGTTCACATGTGAGTGGTCCTGCTGTAGCATGCCGACTTTGAGGTGATTGAGGTTGAGCTGCGGGATTCTGGAGACCTTGTTAAAAAAGTCTCTCCAAAAGTTTGGCTGGTGACCCATGGGGATGTGGGTGAAGCTATGGATGTTCATTCTCCAGAGACTGAGATCCTCCAACGTTGGCGCAAACTTGGCAATGAGCGAGATGAGAATATCAGCCCTAACGCTCTGCTGACCCAGTTCAAGCGTTTTTAGCAATGGTAGCGCGATTGGGTCGGGATGCAGGAATGAGACAGGCATCGTTGTTGTGGGTGGTG